GGAGTCAGTTCCCAAGTCCTGAGTCCTACTGCTCCGACTTCGCTTCATGCTTCATTCATCTTATCCGAGGGAGAGAGAGGGCTGGAGGGAAAAAGGATAGATGGTTGTGAGTGCTCAGGCCTCGCCTCAGCGCCGTAGAGTCTCAGATGCCGAGGACTTCCGAGTTCCAAACCACGCGTCTCACTAAGACCCGCACACCTGCGAGGCTACAGGACGTCCTCAAGACTGTGGCCATCTTGCAAGCAGATCAGAAGACAGGCGACGAGCACCGCACTCAGCGTCAGGGCTTGCCGGCCACGGTCCCGCGTTCTGCTCAGCAACTCCAAGGACGTCTGCTGCTCGCTTCGATCGCATTGAAGCTACTGTGGCCAAGCTGTCAGCGGATGCAGAAAAGTCGACGGAGTTCACCGAGAGGATGCGCGGCTGGGTCGAGAAGATGGACGACAAGACACAGCGTTTGGGGTCCACAATGGCCAAGTTGGAGGACAGCCGAGTCAGTACGGAGGCACTCGTGGCGAGAAGCGAAGTCGACTTCGCAGGTGTGCGCGACCAGCTGGAGAACGCGACGACCCGCGTGGCCAACTTCGAGTTTCGCCTCACAGCCTTTGACGTGCGCCTCTGCACCGTGGAGCCTCTCTCAGACATGAACGTGAAGTTGTGCAGCATGGAGCCGCGGATTGCGAAGTTGGAGCAGTTGGAGGTTGGCGTTTCACGGCTGGAACCGGCCGTCCAAGAGCTCGCGGCCCGTTTCAGCAGCTGCGAAGCTCGGGCGTCGAGCCTGGAGAGCTCCGTCCAGAAGCTGACGGCCACCAGCGACAACCTCCGCGCCGACCAGAAGGCCTTTGCACACCAAGTCGACGACCAGCAGCTCATGCTGGAGGACGCGAGGACGGAAACCGCTGCATGCAAGGAAGAGGCCAAGAAGCTGAAATCCCAGGCGGAGGCCATGCAGAGGGGCCTGGAACAGACGGGCAAGACACAACACAACCTGCAGTCTGACCTCACGGAACTGCAGCAGAACCTGGAGCAAGTGCAGCAACGTCTCAAGACAGATATACGTGGAAACGAAGACAGACTAATCGAGAGCATGCAGGAAGTGGATTCCCAAGTTACGCGCCGCCTCGAAGATACCCGAACGACGATCGACAAGCAGAGTCGTGCCTTGACTCTGCTCCAGCACAGCAGCAAGGATCTGGAGCGAGCCATGGAAGGCTTGAAGCGGCAGGCAGGGCCCAAAGCCCCGAAGGCTACCCCCCAACTCAGGAAAAAGAGATGCTAACTCGCCAACCGAAGCCCCTGAGGTCGAGGACGAGAAGGGAGCGGCGAGTGCCCGGGTTGAGCCAGCACCAAGCGCACCTTTGTATTCGTAGGTCGTAGTAAGTATTAGTAAGTAGATTCGTATCTATGGAAACAAAAGCGGGGGGCCGCAGGGCACGGGGGGCTGATGGACGGGTTCGTTGCGTCTCTTGGCCAAGGCCAGGCCGCGGCCGCGGCACAGCGAGCGGCGGAGGAGGCGGCCGAGGCCGCCAAGGGCACCTGCGAGGCTTCCAAGGCGCTTCTGTCGGAGCACTCCGAGCGACAGGGCTCCTTGGCCCAAGACTTCGAGAAATGGAGCCACCAGGCCCAGGAGGAGGCGGCGGCGAGGGTCTTGCAGGCGCACGAGGCAGCCATCACCGACATGCTGAAAACCATGGACCGGCATCGATGGCAGACGAAGGAGGATGCCCTGAAGACTCGAGAGGAACTGATGACGGTTATGAAGAGCAATACCAAGGCCTCGGATGCAGAAACCGCATGAAACACATGTTTCACAGGCATGCTTGTGCCACTTGATCGCACATGAAACCAGAAAGCACGACACCGGAAGCTTACCTGGACAGCCCAACTCACAGAGTTGGAAGCACACGTGATTGATTGTAGACTCAAGTGGTCAAGCCTGCATCTTCACAGCATTGCCTTCGTCCAGGTCTTCGACGGCAAAGTCGCAGAGATCAGGCCTCGACAGCCGTTGCACTTGTAGCCATTCCCCGTAGTCATGCAAGTGTGGCTGCTGTTGCTGCTGCTGCTGACGGTTTGTTTCCTTCCGGCTTGTCTCAGATTTTTTTCTTGTGATTTCAAGGGCCTGCTGGGGACCCCCCAAATCTCATCGGATCTAAATCCTTCAACACAACGTCCTACAGTAGAGATCATAAACATGACATGATTCTGCTTTCAGGGGACGCCTACAGCTACTTGCTGCCGAAGCCGGCCGCTCTTTGGGAGACCTGAATCTGGATGTGGAGCGCCTCCGACGTGGGGACTCCAGCCTCTTCCAGGAGAGCACTGTGGAAAGCCCCTCGCAAGGAGCCTCCAGCTCTCTTCCGGGTCTCAGAGAGCTTCGGCATGCTGTCTCGGATGAAATCCGCCGGCGAGACCAGGAGCCTCAGCGCATCAGTGAGAGGCTAAAGGAGTACACCGAGGACAGCACGATACCAGGGCCCAGTCGCTTGTCTCAGTTCCAGGAGGAAAGCCAAAGCCAAACCAACAAGGCCTCCCCGATGGCCTTCACGGTCCTGGATGGTCTGCGTGGCTGTGAGGCAGCGATATCTGCCATGGACAGGCGAGTGACGAAGCTTGAAGACTGTGTTGAAGACCGCTTATATGACATGGTTCGCTTCGACGTGGGCAAGCACGCAGCAATGCAGCAAGGCCATCTCTATGAGATGGGTCAAAAGATGGATAAGTTGGTGCATACTTTGCATACGCCCTCAGGGCACGAGAACGCCACCACCGCCCAGCTTTCTGCCGGTGCAGGGCCTCTGGGCAGTCGAGAAAGCTGGCGACAGCAATTTCGCTCTGCTTTGAGTGACTCGACGTATGTCCAACGGGCTCTGAAGACAAACCGGCGCACGAGTGGCGAGGACCCTCAAGGATGATGAATCGTGGATTTGGTCGCACGAGGCCCCTCTGCCTCAGTGCCTGGCAAGCCGCTCTCGCCGGCTTCGTTTGGTTGTTATTGTTGACGAGACAAAGAGCTCTTCAAGGTTGACCGTAGGGGCCGGGAGCAAGGCTGTGCACCTCGGCTGCTTCCTGCAATCATTTTGCTGACGAGCACTGTCGTAATTGCTCAAACTCTTGTGTCAGAACACTTGCTCCTGCCCCGAATCTGCCACATTATGCAGTTCATGAACGAAACGCGTTCAGAATGACAGCTAATGGACTTGGGCATGAAATTTATGCCCGGCTCCAGCGCTAAGCCAATGCCTAACGCTACTCATGTCGAGGACATGCAGTAGTCCTCACATGTTGCAAATGCAGCTTGTATATCTTGTCCGAACGAGCAGGTGTGTCGGTTCAATCGTTCGTTGCGTTTCAGCCCTTCTATACTAAGTCCTGAGGCACTCTGACATAAGTCTGTCTGCGACTTCGACACACCAAACCTCCGAGCCATCGAAGGGGCATGTGCTTGCTCCAACGCGAAACAAAAAGTAGCGCTCCGTCTTGGCTTCGGATATCGTTCCCTAGATTTTGGTACGACGCTATTCGCCATGTGAGGACTCTTGTGCTCTTGCCATCGTGCGCACAGCTTCTTCTCCCAATCAGCGACAATTGCTTAGGAAGTTTCCGTCTGAGGACATGAAGACATTCAAGAGAACTGCTGGCTCCAACTAATTGCTGAGTGCCACCATGATGAGCAATGCAGTCAGGCTTTCAAGACTATTCACGTGCACTTGCCACCGCCCTACGGTTCTCAGCCATGAAAAAGTTGCATTCGAGAGGCAGGGGAGGCGATGAACAATTATTCGCCTGCTTGTCCCGCCTCCCGTCCCTGGACCTCTGCAAGTACACCTGCAGGCATAGTGTGTGATGACATCATTCAGGAATGGTAGGGTGCTATGGGCGCCCGGGGCCGCCGGGTCGAAGTGTTGTCGTCTCTCCAAAATGTTGCAAACGTGTGGCAATGTGCGTGCGGGTGTCAACTATCCAGCCGTAGGCTTCGTCACGGGCCAGGAGTCTAGATTCCGGAACGCCTCGATTCGATGCCTTGGATCCGAATCTGGAGTCGAACAGCCGGTTCTTGCAGATGACGGAGAGGTGGTTACAGGTTACAGATGGCCCTTGTGGTCGCGATAACAGCGACTCACCGACCGTTGCAATGATTCAGGCCAGCGCCATGCGAGGGCCAAAGCCGCCTTCAGGCATACCCTTTCGCAGCTTCCCCATGTCCACAGTTTTCTGAAGCAAGCTTGCGCTTTTCCACAGCATACCCGGGCTTCACTCTTGCAAGTGTCAGGTTTTGTCACAAGTAAGTATCATGTCGCAGAGGGCTCTTTCAGAGGATGCTTGGCGCAAGCGACAGGTGGACGTTGGCTCTGCTTCTGTTCAGCCTGGGCTACAACGGTGACAGGCAATCACCGTAATCACCCCGGCTTGCAGCAACTTGGGCGTGCCTGACAGGTCTCCGTACGATTTCTTGGTAAAGCAGGAGTAAACGTATGTCCTTGTGGCCCGCCTCGGTGCGTGACCTTCAACTACGCTTGCTTGTCTCACCGGGATGCGTGCCATGCGCATTGTGAAGCGAATCATGTGACCATATGTGACCCCTTCCAGTGTACGTAGTTGCAAAGCTTTCGCATGGGACCTGGGAAGGTGAAGGACAGCGAGTAAAGAAACCAAAGCGCTCGACCGCGGAGCTGTGGAGGCCCGCCTGCCTCTGCCGGGCCGCTTCGGTAGTGCGGTGCCCAGAGGACGGGACCAGAGCTCCGATAAAATTCTCGAGCGCTCATAGCGCCTAAGCGTGTCAGTCGCAGATGGCCACAAATGACGAAGCCTTGAAGATCACGCGCAGCAGATCCATGATCGAAGTATGGGCGTTGGTTTATGTTGGTTTTTGTTTGTGGCTGGGAAAGGCGCAGTGGTGATATTTCTCAAAAGGCAGGCTAGCGATGCGGTTTGAGGAGACTGCAAGGCCGGCACAGATTGTTGAGACGAAAGCTATGTCGAATCAGCTAATTGCTTAAATGCAGGGCTGCCGTGTGAAACCGCACGCTGCCCCAAGAGCATCTGAGGCTGGCGTGCCAGCTGGCAATCAAGCCGTGGCCGAGGGCTTGCGGAAGGCTCGCAGCTCGCAGTGCCCTTTTCACAGAGGTCGCCGCACTCCTTGAAATCAGGTGCAGTCCTGCATAGCGGAAGCAGCCGGCGGCCGTGACGTTCGGTTGGTGGCCGTGTCGAAGTTCAAAGCCGCAGAAGCGGTGCAAGCAGCGCTGGACTTGGGCCAGGCCAGGAATGCCAGGGCCAGGGAAGCAGGAAATACGGAGGAATGTGAAGTTTCTTCCACGGGATCTCCGCTGAGAGCCGGGCTCGGCCTTCAGGTGGATTTCGGAGAGAATTACGTGCAGGAGTTGGTGGAGAAAGCTTCCGCTTTGCCCTCCAGCGTCAGGCCGAAGTTCTACCTGGGATGCGACATGATCCGACTATCTTTGTTCTGTTCTTTTCGTCCTCAGGTGGCATTTCATTGGACGTCTGCAGTCCAACAAGGCAGCGTGAGGCTATTCGCTCTGGTCTTGCCGTAATCGGCCGTAGCAGCACCAGCCGCGATCAGGTGAAGAAGCTGGTTAACATCCCGAATCTGGTAGCAATCGAAACAGTGGATTCGTCGCCGCTCGCAGACAGGACACTGGTGCACTGAGTTACTAGTGAGCATCGACGTGTAGCCGTCTTGTCGGCAGGATAGCTTCTGCGGCGCAAGCTGCCGGAAGGGGCGAGGGCGGCATTGATCCTCTGGACTTGTTCGTTCAGGCCGGAAAAACTTTGAGGGAAGGAGACGATCACCACTGCTGCCACGGCGGCCCTAACTCACCGCGAGGATTATGGTGACGACGACAACACTAATGATTATGACGATGATGGTGATGATGATGATGGTGATGAATGGTGATGGCGTGGGTCATGGTGATGACGATGACAATAATGGTGGGAATTATCGTTCTTATTTGCCTGTTTTCGCTGTAAGGGCCGAGTAACACACAGAGACCTTGGCAAAGGGAACTCGGCTGTTGGTCAGGTCGACACCAGCAATGAGGAGACGAAAGGCGCGTCGCACGGATTTGGAGTTTGAGCTGAGCTTTCATGGACAGCATGTGTCTCTCTCGATCTCTCGTTATCCTTCTCCGCCCCCTCTCCCTCTTCATCTCCCTCTCCCCCCACCCTCGCTCTCCCTTTTGCTCTGCCTCTCCCTCTCGCTCTTCCTATTTCTTTCGCTCTCGCTCGCTCTCGCTCGCGTTAAATGACACGAGCCCGATGTAATCATGACTGTTCACGATGCATTTATGAGTGCTACGATGCCGACTGGCACTGGCTCGCATGAAGGAATGCTTGCTTGAGTGTGTGTGACTGGGGAAAGTGATTGATCTTGGTTGCCCGGGGTTGTCTCGATTGTTCCTTTGATTTTTACATGGTAGCGGAGCTTCGGCTCCAGAACCAGGGAGTGAGAGAATAGACTTTGGAGTGAGAGGAATCGGTGGCGAAATCAAGTTGTTCCAACCTCCAGTGTACCACGGTGAACTGGAGAAATGGGAAGACTGGTGAAGCGATGCATCGGACTGTGCAAGCCGATTGCCAAACGGATGATGGATGATGTTGAAGGAGCCAACCTGCAAGGTTGTCGACGCAAGCAAATTATCCTCTTCACTCGTTTCAACATTCTGAAAACAGCCATGCGCAACCAATCTGCACCTTAGCTCATTCTCATCCTTCCAAACCTTGACCCATCGACAGTCAGCTGCTTGATTAATATGCTCTTCGGTCCAATCCTCAATCTTCGTCTCATCATACACGTCGAAGTTCTTATTGAGTTCATCTCCTTCATCATTCCCTTCTTTCCTGCTCAGGAGGGAACTCACTCTCCCAGAGCAGTGGCTCGGAGAGTCGCAGTTTTTGGTCAAGTTCTCCCTCCTCAGCATTCACTTCGGCATCAATCTTTGTACCATCCTTTCCAACAACCTCGTCAACTCCAACAATCGATGCAAGCGCAAGCGGGAATTTTTCCTGCAATCATATGCTGAACTGCAGAATTCTCATTTGCTTGTTCGACGGGACACTCTTTTGAACATCTGGGTCAATCCTGGCACTCTTCCGAGGCTTCATCATTCACTAGCCTCCGGATTCTCATGCTCTTTTGCAATTGGCACACGATCAGTGCCTCCGTTCTCCAAAAGCTCTTGTGCGGTAACATTCTCACTCTGTTCAGGCACCATGTCTTGCAGTTGTATCTTCTTCATCGACGCATTCCAGTCCATGAGGTGGCTGCGTTCTGCCCTTCACTCCAAGATCAGGTGGCATTACAAACGCAGTCGAATCCTTTCCATCTCCCTTCGGCTGCCACGGCAAGATGCCGTCTTCGTGACGCCAGTGGCGCTCCATTGTTGAGACGGGATGGTGGTCTTCTCTTCACAGTCCTCACCTTGAAGACGCCATTTGCATTCCCAACGATAACCTCATCCGCTTCAGTTTCCTTTCCAAGGTACATTCCAGAAAACCACTGAGATCGTTCTTTGGGCACTTTCTTGCCGCGTGGCAGTTTTGCATCAAGCCACCCACCAAACATGCACAGAGATCCACCGTAGTCTCGCGAAAACCTCTGTTGTAGGCAGTCTTGCCATCAGGTCCAATCACGTAACGATTGATCAACCATTGCGCATGCTTTACGGCCCATGTGAACATTGGCGATTCAGTTGTCAACTTCAACCCAGTCCGCTCCTCAACTTGTGCCATCAGTGTTCTCAGTTGCCCACAGGGAGTGCTCTGGGCATTCCCGACACTTCCTTGGCTCTAGGAGTGTCCGGTCGGTGATGCACGTATCGACAATCCTCCGACAGTCTTGCGCACATCCTTGGCAATCGACTTCAGAGAATTCTCCTTTATGATACTGAACACTCCCAGACGTTCTGCCAATCTCAAACACAAATCCGGCTACAGAATACTTTTTAACGCAATCTTTGGCAGGAGGCACTACAGCCATTGCATAGCCAGTCTGCGCATCAGTTGCATTCAAGATGGCCCGTTTCGGCAGATCATTTGAGTGCAAAGCAATGCGGCATGTTTTGCAATGTGAAGTCTTTGTTGAAATGTTGAATGGATGTTTTCTGTGGATTGCAGAGACTGAAGTTCTCGGATTCAATGTTGTATGGATCAATGCCCGACTGCCTGCGCATGCTACGTGCAATACATCAGGCCTCCACTTTGCAATGGTTCGAATGTCGACAGAGTCGAGCCAAAAACGTCCGGAATGAGACCAATGTAGCCTGTGTGGCAATGTTGTTTGTGAATGGTTCTTGATCGTTTCGCGAATACTGCTATGTACCATTGATTGTTTGAATGATCCTAGACTGAAGTCAGGATCAAGGGATTGTGTTAAATCACACGAGCCCAATGTACGCCTGAATGTTCACGATGCATCTATGAATGTTACGATGCCGAATGACATCTGCTCGAGATCACTGCTGACTGGCTTGGTCGCATAAAGGAATGCTTGCTTGACTGCACGCGTGTGACTGGGGAACGCCCCTTGTTGAAATAGGCTCGCAAAACGTACTATCTAGTAGCAGCGGAAAATGTTTGACGAGAATGAAACCGCGTGCATTGTTGTAGTGGTGCTTACAGTACTTCCAGCTCGATGTATGTGCGTGTGAATGTGTTTTGTTTGGTACATGTTGTGTGCTATGTGCGCGGCTGTTGTTGATATATTCCATGATTTCCGCGTAGGCGTAAGGCTACAGCAAGTTAGCGTCGCATGCACGTATGTATACAAATAACTTACAACGTGTTAGTCTGTATGATGTATAGACATGCATACTTGCATGCATGCATGCATATATATATATATGTATATATATATGTGTACACATACATGTATATATATATATATATGTATATATGTATGCATGTATATACACATATATACATACACATACACATAAAAATTTATCATATATGCATAAAAATACTGCATGCATGCTTACATGCATACATACGCAATGCATTCACCTACATGGGTACACATATCATACATAGGTACATAGGTACATACATACATACATACATACATACATACATGCATCGCCGGAGCAGGCGGTGTTCAGCCGAACGACGCACCCGAGCTAGCATCCCACATCGCAGCGTGCGGCAGAGCCGTACGATTGGCTGCTTGGACTTTGGCTCCTAGAGCAGGTGTCAGGATTCAGGCAAAGAAGGTTCTGAATATCTGACACTGAAATCCGTTACATGTTGTTGCCGTAAATAGACCGTGTTGACCTTCTGTGTGTCAAACCTCATTCGATGCTCCTCTTTTCATCGCTTTCGGTTACCCACTGCATGGAAGCTTGCTACTGACCCAGTGTGTGTGCTTGAGCTACGTATGTCGAACATGACAGATTTCTGGCAACTTCACTTTCTTACCAGCTGACGCATTCCGAGCTATCTCCGGCTAAGTGCGGATCCCAAGTCCACAGAAACACAGATTCCGGCATAATCGATGTCAGCCCGGCTGAAAAGCTTGCGTCCGAAGTCTGCGCCGGTCAAAGGCTGGGCTGATGACCATCGGTGCCCCTGGCGACATGGGTACGCTGGGATGCAGCCAGTTAACCAGAAGCAGCACCCGCAGCGGAGCGACTGCAATCCCACTATTTCGATTGCTGCTGCATGCTGCTGCTGTTGCTACTACTACACCTACATGCCCCAAGTTCTTCTGCTGGGTGCCGGCGTGCTCCCACGAAAGTTCACGAAAACTTTTAGATTTTCACTATCTCGTAGACCTAGGGTTTGCCCAGGACTTGTTTTGAAGTGCAGTTGCAGTGCAGACGACTGCAATTTGTGCTGCCAACTGAGGCCCCGCTTCTGAGCAAAACCATCCAGATGTTTTCAGATAGTTGCAGGATTGAGACTACAACTGCTACTATTGTTTTTAGGGTCCGCCGCGAGCCAGACATTTTAAGCGAAGCGGTGGACGGGAGAACGCTGGCGGCCCCTACCGCTCCTACTCGATGACGACAACGCGGACCACTACCAACCCCAACCTTGCCACCACGACTACCATTACTGCCCCACTTCCTCCTGCTCCTCCTCCACCTCCTCCTCCTCTTCGCCTCGTCCTCCTCCTACTACTACTATTCTTAGTATCATTATTATTATTATTACTACTACTACTACTACTACGACTACTGCTACTACGACGACGACTACTACTACTACTACTACTGCTACTAGTACTACTCCTCCTACTCCTACTCCTACTCCTAGTCCTAGTCCTACTCCTACTCCTACTACTCCTACTCCTACTCCGACTCCGACTCCGATTCCTACTCCTACTCCTAGTCCTACTCCTACTCCTACTCCTACTCCTACTCCTACTATACCCACTACTATACCTACTACTACTACTACTACTACTACTACTACTAAAAACTACTACGACTGCTTCTACTACTTCTACTTCCGCCTCAACTGCCACCGGCACTACCACCAAGCAACCTTTGCCACTACCACCGCCGCTACGGCTACATCTACCGCTGACATGATTTTCTGCCACCATTCGTCATACTCGCACTACGACGACTCTGAGAACCACCGCTCTCCGCCCTTTTTAAATCCATGCTACGGACCTGGTTGGCATCATCGAAGCAGCTTCGGGGGCCAACTTCCCTGAGCCACATCTCGTGTTCCCTCGTACCTTTACTCCCGAAGCGCAAACATAATCGTTTCAAAAGTAATCGTTTCGAATCTTGTAAGTTTGTGTCGCATGCAAGGGGCCTTTGATCGACTCCACGCTGCACGCAGTGCGGTGGCGGCGGCTTTGGGCGCAGCGATCTTAGCCATGTTGGTCGGCTGATGCAAGGAGCTTGAGTGGTAAAGCTGGTAGACATGTGGTGCAGGTGCCCGACACGGAGTTGGGTTTGAGCATGGGGATGTCAGGAGACTTTCAAGAGGCCGTGGGACTGCCAGCGACAGCCAGCGAGTTTTCCGGGTCATGTCTGAGACTCGGCCACAGGCCATCCGCAAGGGCGCCACCTCAGTGCGAGTAGGCGGGGCATGGGACGCAAGAAGAAAGCGCTGGTTTCTTCTGCCCATGCCTCAGGTTCTCTCATCTTCGGCTCCCGACCGCCCCAGAAGCTGTGAAAAAGCGTTGACGTCACGAGCGACAGTCGCTGATCGTGCTCGTCGCTGTGTGCTTTTGGAAGATCCGCCTCCCATCTGCGAGTTTTTTTCAGCTCAGCTTTTGCAGCCGACTCAGAGCAGCCGTCTGCTTCCAACAGGCGTCACATCGTCGGCACAGTTTAAGGACCCGACCCACTCGCACTCACGGACGCCCACAAATGCACGCAGTAGTTCTCACGGAAGCAAGCTCCTCGACACATGCCCGATGAGCTCCAAGTAGTCTACCCATCAGACAGTAGCAGGATGGCTTTTGTTGGCTCCGCGGGCTTTTGCGTCCACGGGCAAAATCTTGAACACAAGGAACTGTGGAGAAACTGCAGGCCTGAACAATGCCAAGGAAGAAGAGACAGAACGATGAGAACAGCGGTGGTGAACGGATTATTTTCCTTGGAGCATCGTCCGACAAGAGCTCGAGCGCATCATATCCTGGGAACACCATCTCCACCTCGAAGTACAGATGGTGGTCATTTCTTCCGCTGGTGACCTTCGAGCAGTTCCAGAAGCGAGCCAACTTGTATTTTACATTTATCACACTTTTGATGTATGTGGGTGAGCACAGTACGTTCATTGACTCAACCGTCTCATGGTGGTCAACGGCAGCAGTTCTAATTCCGATGATGGGCTTGAGTATGATCATCTCCGGATTGGATGACTTGCGGCGGCACCAGTCGGATCGTCAGATAAATTCGCAGCAAGCCAGAGTCATCCGACTGGGTGGGAAATACGGAGTTTATCTGGACACCGTTCTGTGGAAGAACATCCATGTTGGGGATGTCATCGTGCTGAAGAGTCACTTGTCGGATTAGCAGCACCGTCATTTGACGCCCTTGCAAGCAGAGTTCTTGTGCCTCTCGTGTGGCCCGGTAGAGTTTCGACGAACACATCGCATATCCTCCATATTTGGACGCAGAGAAATTGTCAGATCCAACTGTGCTTTGGACTTAGCAGCCAAACATGCAAGCGTCTTAGGACTGTCATGTTGAGATGCGTGGCGTACTGCATTGCAATGTATTGCGGTGGGTCGTGGTGGTGGTGGTGGTGGTCATACTGTACTCCAAAGCCCCTCAATCACGGGTTGCAGGTGATGAAGAGCTTCCAGCTGACATCGTCCCATTGGCGTGTTCTGGCAGTGACGGCCAGTGTTATGTGTCGACCGTGCCGTGGCTGCACTGCTGTCGTCGCAAAGCGGCCAGCACTGTTACGATCTGGGGCTGCATGCAAATGTAAATCTCTCTCTGTTCCGAAACAGCCTCGGTTGGTTAAGCCTTGGGCATTTCAGCTTGCAACAAAATCGAAAACAACCGGAACAAACTCGAATAATTGTCGCATCCTGGCTTCAGCTGCACCTTACAATAGAGTTTAGGGTTTAGGGGTTAAGGGTTTGGACCCAACTAAAACACACACAAAACTGCAAACACAAGGCAAGTACAAGGCGACCCCGCGGGGCCGAAAGGGAGGGAGGCGGGAAATCAAATTTGCGGCGTTTTTGTTTGACGTTTTTTTTATTAGTCTTGTTCATTGTTTATTTAGTGATTAGCGGCATGCTTAAGATGTAACCGGATCAGGTTTGTTAGCTTTGCTAGCGCTTAGTTTTGGTTTGTGTTGTGTTAATTTTGGGAACTTGTCAACCCTAGGTTTTGGGTTGTGTTAGGTGAATGACCTTTCCAAGTATAGCCAGTCCAAACTATCCGAAATGTGATGAAATCGGTGCTCCGCTGCAGTCAGCTGACACGGTAGGTATCAACGGTGCTCAGCTCCCTAAGCTCCGAAACCCTAAACCCTGCCCAGGCAAACCTTGATGGTGAGACCAATCTGAAGATCAAGGCTTGTGCCACCGAAGCCCAGGCCTTTCTGTGTCGCTTGAACTGAGACTTTGGTTGCTGCACGGAGTGAGAGAGCTTGTAGGAGTTCATAAGTTCACAAACGCATCGGAAGAAGTCGACTGATGCGATAGTAGCAATGATTCAGTGCTTGCCATAGTGGTGGTTCAGCGGCGAAGACCAGTCACCAGTCATGCTGGCTGCTTTTGCGAGAAGAATGCTGAGCTCGAGCCGCTGAGGTGAGGGCCATGCCCATGGACCCCCTCTGTTGGATCAGGCCCGAAGAAGATGGAAGATGACTTCAGTACCTGCTGCCTGCCCCTACTAACCCCGCACGGCAGCGACGGCGATTGCCTTGTCAGGCCGTGGAGAAGCTGGCCGTGTTGGATGCCGCCCTTAGCGTCGAGGCTTCCAAGATGCAAGAGGGTATTGACGGGATCCGTTCATGCTCGGGAAGCCCAGAGCCAAGGCACCGAGCAAGTCCATCACTAAGTTCTCCGGATCCTTGAAGATCAATCATGGCGGTGTTCAGTCTACTTCCTCCCTGCAACTCGGCTGCTAGTGGAGAGTATGCAGCGCTGCAAACCCCAAATCCTCGACTTGTAGAGGTCTGCCAGCAATTTGCTTCTGCGGGGCACCCGACTGCGCAACACGGCCTGGCTCTTTGGCTCTGTCGTCTACACGGGACCGCATACAAGGATGGTGATGAATTCTCGTGACATCCCCACGAAGATGGCGAATTTGGAGCGGGTTGTCAACAGGGCGATGCTGGTGGTCTTGGGTGCACAAGCTCTGTTGTCCAGTCTCAGTTCCATTCTCTACGTCTCCACCGAGTATCGGTTTCGGACGTCTTGGTATCTGTATCCCTCCGGAACCTGGGTGACAGAAGGGGTTGCTTCTCGATTTGTGGCGAACTGGTTCAAGTTTTTCATTCTGTATTCGAATCTGATGCCCATTTCACTGTATGCAACTATGGAGATCTGCAACTACGCACAAGCATTCTTCGTAAAGAGCGACCTCTTGATGTACGACGAGGAGCAGGCGAGGTATGCCAGTGTCAAAGACTGCTGCTCCATGCAGCCTGATTGCCGAAGTGCATTTGCAGGATTGTCCTGCGGCTGTTCGGTCAACGAACCTGTGCCACGAACTTGGACAAATTTCCTACATTTTTTCAGAGTCATAGCTGCATTGGCTCTTGGAGTGCACCGGAACTCGTGCTTGCAGTTTGATTGCGTTGAGAAAGTCCAGCCCATGTTGCGTGGGTGTCCATCGGGCAAAGAACCGATAATCTGACCTCCTAAAGTCCTAGAGGAACCGAAAGACCGAAGGCTGTCAGGCTGGGTTAAGAGTAATGCAGGCTCCGCTCTCAGAGACCCGGGTAAGGATAAGACGGGGACGCTGACGCAGAACGTGATGGAGCTTAAGCGTGCCTTGCCGCATTTTTGAGCAGCCGAGCGGTTTCGTTCAACAGGAAATCAAGTGCTTCCTGGCTGCGCTCACACCTGGCGATTCAACATACAACATCTCACAACCTGTCAACCCGCTTCTGCTCGTCCGGACTAAACAGATGTAACAGCAGTGAGCCAAGGTGTTTCGATTTCGGGCCAGGCACGCCTTTGCCATCATTTGTTTGTGATAGATCTTGACCGTGAGGATTTTGCATGCGGGTAAGGAGGCTTCTACTGGCTTCGACTTAGATGCGCCAGCTCACTCCTGCGCAGGTGTTTGGCGAGGTAACAGAAGAGCCAGGCTTCTCAGATGTTGCTGGCGTTCACACCTGGCGGCAGATGGGCAATCAGAAGCACGCATGATGCTCAGGGAATGCCAAATGTGCTGAGGAACTGCTTCGTTTTTGCATTGCACACAAATGTACACATACACACGCATCACGCGCATTCATTTCAGCAAAAACAAGTGAACATGCAGCAGAAAATCAACACATGGCTTGAGTTCGTGAATCGGCAGTTCCACATGGCGACGCTGATGCACACTTCGCATCACGGTGATCAGCTGTGAGTAACTAGAAGTCTCAAACATTGCAAAGTTCCCCCGCCCCTTTGCTGGAAAGCGGTCGGAAGGTCGGCCACCATCGGCATGATTGCAGGTATGCACATACACACCGAGTCTCACGCGTACGTATAGAAGCAGCAGAAGAAGGCAGGAGCCCGGACGAGCAAGAACCGAGAGCCAGAGAGAGGAGGTCGGCGGGAACGAGCCAAAATCCCAACGCAAGTTCGGCAAGTCTGGCTCATGTAGACGTCAGCATTGGCCAGAGCACACTGGGACATAGGTTTTCAGCTGTCACAATTACTAGCTACGTTTGAACAGTGGAGACCCCGTGTTTACTGGGTCGGACAGTCGCCGGAAAGGGAGTGTTTGGTAGCTGTCGCTTATGCTGAGAACGTTCGATGAAAGATATGAAAGACGAGCATGGCTCTGTGCGATGAAGACTGGGGCTGGATGCTTCCCTCCGACTTGCAAACTGGAAAGATGGCGTGGTCAGGGGTGGGGCGAGGGGCGGCGGGGCGGCGGCGTCATGGCGATGATTGCTGTATGTCAGAGTGTTGGGGATGCTGGTGGCTTTTGCATCGGTGCGTAGGCAAGGCACCCAGCCTGGCAGGAGGCCCACGGGAAGCGAGAAGTTAGGCTGTTGCCCAATTCAAAACATGTCAAACGCAACTGCGAGTTAAGGTCGACGCATTTCTGGAGATCCTAGCAGTCGCACACACTGCCGCTGTGCTTCGATACTTCAACGAAGGGTTGACCCTTCAAGCGTTGATCCCCTTGGCTGCCTGGTCCTGTGGGCAATTTAGGTCATGGTGACGACCGACAGGAAGGGCAGCGAGTGCTACGAAGCGGAAAGTCCAGACGAAGGCGCCGTGATGTCGCGACGCGGCCAAGGGAAAAATGGCTTTGTCAGGTCTGCAAGGCACTTGAGACGCGAACGGAATGAAACGGGTTGCGACTTGCAGAAGGGTTCACCGTTTGCTGAAGCTACACTTCGCCACCATAGTCGCAAGCGCCTTAAGCACTACGATCTACCGAAAGTTTGGCCAGGTGCACTGGTTGAAGGCGCCAAGCAGATGGGATGGCAACTCAACTGACTCTTTCTGTGATGGTGTATTCGATTGTCGGCTGTGGCCGACGTAGTCCATGCATCTATCATTCTGCAGGCACTACTGCAGTCGCACCGCAGATGCCCTCGTGATAGACATGCACCACCAGTCGCAGACATACAAGATCTTGGGTGTCAATACCTTCAATTCCACGAGGTGGCTGGGTAGTGTAGGGCAACCAGAAGCAATAGATTATCTGTGGTCCAACTTTGTGTGCAGGAAGCGCATGTCCTCTTTGGTTCGAACGGCCAGCGGAGAGACCTGGCTTCTGGTGAAAGGTGCCGACAATGTGATGATGGACAGGGCGGAGCATGTCCCAGCCTGGCTAACGCAGAGCTTGACGAGCTTTTCACTCAGTGGTTTGCGGACCTTGGTTCTGGGACGCCGACGCTTGGAGCCGAGCGAGGTCCAAGCCTGGCTCCAGACCTACGATGCAGCGCAGTGCGCCCTCGAGGATCGAGATGCAAAACTGGAGGCCAGACCAGAGGGAGCTGGCCGAAGAAAGGAAGACGTCGGATCATTTCTAGTTCTTCTGATCTCCTGAGGCGGCCGCTGAGCAGATTGAAGTGAAGCTTCAGATGGTCGGAGTTACGGGCATTGAAGACAAGCTCCAGGTTGGCGTTCCAGACACCATTACGAAGCTGAGGGAAGCAGGTGCAATGGTTGAAAGAGGGCACGGCGTCAAGAAGTTAAGGCCAGACATGTCCTGAGCTCCCAGGCATTCAGCTTTGGGTTCTGACCGGTGACAAGCTGGAGACTGCGAGAAACATCGGGTTCAGCACCAATCTTCTCAGTGCCAACATGGCTCCTGAGTTGCATGTCGGCTGGCCGGCTTGGGTTCAAGGCCCTAGGAGTCCGTTCACTCTTTTGCGCTCCTCTGCACGTAAATGTGCGTTTGCAAGACGAGTATGCCCCTACCAAGGACATCCGGGTCTTGGAGCAGTCTGAGAATGTCAGGCATGCCTTGCAGGCCTCTCGTGGCTTGTGCGCGGCTTCCGGCGTTCAGCTGCCCTCTTGTAGTGAGTCAGGATTTTGAAGGAATTAAGTGAAGCAGAGTAGCCGGATTCAGCAAATCGCTGCCACATTCAAGGGAGGCCTCGAGTCAGCAGCACGACAGCCGAAGGTCAAAAACAGGGAGGCTGCATTCGCAAGCGTCCGACACGGCAAATAAGATGCCGAGCAGACTTCCAGCCGTTTAGGTTTTAGGGTTTTTTCCAGGGGCAAGGGGCAACCTCTTCATGTTTGCAATTTCGGGCGGTGGCGCCTCCGACGGTGGCCTTGAGCTCTTCTGAATCCATCTGCGGTGTTTTTGACTTGTGTCCGGGCTGTTTGCTGACAATGGCCCCGCTGTTTTTGGCTTTGTTTGCTGACTGTGGCCCGGCCCCATTTTAGGAGAGGTTCGTGTGACACCAAGGGGCTAGTTTTTCGGTCTTCGGGGAGTAAGTCCATTGAGTTTTTGTGCAGGAGCTTGCTTCCACAGCCCTGATGCCGGATGAGGGTGGAGATTCCGCGCTGACGCTGGGCCCGACACTGGTACTACCGGTACCACACCTAAGTGATGTTTTCCTTTCACTGCGGCATTCCGCCCCTCGAGGCTTCCTAATTGTACTTTCCCTTGGTAGTAAAAGTTCAGCATGCAGCAGAGTCATGCCAGGGCGAGAAGCAGTCTTTGGAGCTAGACGCGAAATGCAATTCTAAGGCAGCTGACGCACATGTGCAGAATCGGTCTCGTGGGTGCTTAAATTGGGTTTGCCAAGGATGGTGACGGGCGCAGCCCTGGAACAGGTCACATCAGTTGGTCTTCTGGAGGACCTACTCCCCGTGCTTCCCCTACAAGTGTGAGGCACTTTGCTCTTGGCAGGAGTTTCTTCAGGCGTCGAGTGTCTGCAGCGTGGTGATTGCCTGCCGCGTTTCTCCACTTCAGAAGGCTCAGCTTGTGCGCTTGGTGCGCGAATCATCAGATCCGCAACCGGTCACGCTAGCAATTGGCGACGGTGCCAACGCATCTGGGCACATCTTGGCACCAGTTCCCACGGCTTATCCATGTTCAACGTGTTTCGTCGCAGTCACGAAAGTGCACATCTGCCGAGGACGTTCCCATGATCCAAGAGGCTCACGTCGGCGTGGGCGTGTCTGGTAAGGAAGGGCGTCAAGCTGTGAACGCATCCGACTTCGCGATTGCTCAGTTCAGATTCTTGGAGAGGCTGCTTCTAGTTCATGGTCGCTGGGACTACCGCCGAACCTGCAAGTTCATCTTGTACACATTTTGGAGAAATGCAATCATCACCATGTTGCTGTTTTACTACACGTTCTTCTCCGGATATTCTGGCACCTGTATGTTCACGAGTACTGTCTGGACATCCTTCAGCATGATCCTTTTCTGGCCGATCATTGCAACCGGTATCTCTGACAGAGATGTGACGGCCAAGCAGGCAGTGGAGCACCCGTCGCTGTATGAAACCGGTCGCCTAGGTCTCGACTTGAACATAACGAAGATGGTGGAAATGTTGCTCTCGGCTTTTGTTCATTCCTTTGTTATCATGACCATTGCAGTTGTGGCTGTAATGGACCTCGATGTGGCAGCGACTGGGTCCTATTACTCCTTCGGGTTCATGGTGTTCTCCTGGGTCGTGTTGACGATGAACTATCGGGCCACCTTCATCACCACCACGTACAACTTTGTGTTTCTTGCTGCTCTTGCAGTGTCTTTCCTCACATACCTGCTCTTCGCCTGCGTGTACTGCAGCCTACCGTCCATGTTTCCGGAAGTGCGTCTTGGCCGACAACTTTTGGAGTCCTTCCTCGACTGGCAGTTGTAGCACTAGGCTCTGGATAATGTAAGCATCGGGATGTTGCTGTGGGCTATGTTACATCTTAGGGTGGCAGTACGCTATGGTAGTGAAGCAAAGCCCGAGGTATGGAACTTTCCAGCACGTGGTTCGGAATCCGGTCTTCTGGATGGGAAGTCTCGCAGTACCGCTGCTTGCCGTGATGATCGATATGTTCAAGGCGCTTTGACTAGAGCTCGGGTTTTGAGGTGGCCTTCTCAGGCCCTCAAGCTGCATAGAGTGATCTAGACACCCGTTTGAACATCTCCAAGTGGGAACTGCGAGCAAAGTTCTTGTCGACAGGTGGTTCCAGGAACCCAGGTGCTGGCTGATGTTCGGAAGGGCCGAAGGGGTGAAGCTGAAAAGAAGGTTATTTTTTCTCGGGGGGGTGCTTTCTGGATTTATATTTGTGTTGCTTGGCACTGCGGCGATGCTGAGCTGGATGGGGCATAAGCACCCTACAAAGACATCTTTCCATAACACTTTCGGATTTACATTCACATCTCTGCAGCTGGGCGAGAAGGGGTACCTTGAGTTCCAGCACCGTACTGCCACTTCGCTTCCACACCACCGTCCTGAGTGCCCTTGCAATCACGGCAGCCGGTGCTGTGCCCCTGTAGTCACTCTTGAAGGCATACTTGATGCTGGAGTTTTTTCCGGATCAGCGCGACCTGATCCTCGAGCAAAGTTTACAGGGAAAGCTGTCAGATTACTTCCGCGACACGAAGCAGGCTTCTTGGCAGGAAATCTGTCTGTTCGGCTTGAAGGGAAGGCATGGCAGGTATTCCAGGCCCATGTGAGCATTTGATTTGTCAGTGGCCCCATCTCTCGGCTGGTGCAGGGGCTGCCGTTGGGCTTGAAGCTTTCAGTTTCAGAAACCATGATGTTAGGCAATCGGATGCAAGGGGAATCGGGCCGAGCAGGGACATGTGTGAGTTTTCTCAACCCGTCAAAAAATTACCCGTTCATTTTCGTGTTGATGCTAGTTTGGCAAATTCCCAACTTCAGGAGTGCATCAAGCACTGGGAAACGTGATGCCGCATTTCTGCACATGTTTTCTGAGGATCCGCTTCGGCGGGGTAGTCGAACTTCCTCGTTCGACAGGCCAAAGCTGCGCCAGTAGGGTGGGGACATGTCATCGAACTGGAGCTGCAGAAACTGCCTCAAGAACCACAGCGCATGATAGCAATCTCGCAGCGCAGGAGCGCGACCTGGCACACGGGGGAGGTGTCGGCGATCTCGTCTAGCTATGCTTTCAGCTTCCCGGAAGGCCAGAAAGTCGCTAAAGGCTTAGGAACCTTTGTAAGGCGGGTCAGGCAAGATACGATTAGCTCTTGGATTTCAAGAGGCGACACAGTGTATCACTGCTCGGAAAGGCCAGCGTGTGCAGTCCCTGGGGTCCACGCCTCAGGCCGTGGGCACCGAAAAGGGTCATCCTGCGAAAGCTTCATGAAATGCTATGAGAAGTGACAGAAAGAAGACTGACGGCTGTGGAGTGAGGTCACTTCCGCGATTGCAGAGAGACTCTGATACAACGCTGCTCGACAATTTGGCATCGGGACGGCTCCTCTGCTGCCGACAGAGCTCAAAAAGATGCGACCTGGCGGTGCCCAACGCGCTCAGGCCGTCCCCAAGGCCATCGCCGAGCTTCACCACCATCGCATCTTCCGACTCCGACTCGGTGGGAACCTCCACAGGCGGTAGAACCGAAAAGAGAACATCGTGCCCTCTAAACCAGACTAACTAACGCCCCTAAGTGCAGACAGAAACACTCGCCGCGAACCAGGCGTCGATGCCCATATCCAACACTTCCAAACCGTCACTAGGAACTCGGCTACTTTCCTGCACCCTCGTGCGCCTTAGATATTGTCTGACCGTCTTAACACTACATATTCAACGATGCATGACCAAGTCTAACTACGACTATAATCTCCTGTCTGTTCTCGTGCTTCGGTGGGCTCAGGGACTCACTCAGTCCCGTCCCGCAGCACTATCCGCGGGAGCTCGTGTTGCGTCATGAAGATTGCCACGAGGCACTGGTAGCAGCGCCGCCGAGCCGAAGCTTCAGAAGCCAAGATCGAACAACTTTTCTCAGCAGACCATGCCTTCGGTGCAGCTGCTTTGCGCTGCAAAGACAGGTTTTCGGGTCTTAGGAACACAGTCGCCCCGCCTTCATGCCCAACATCTTCGTTTCAGAGCCTTTGCGGCGTGGATAAGGCAATTTCAGCACAAGTGCTGGCAGCACTCAGTCTTCGCTTCTGCGCCAAGGTTTGCTCTGAATCGCAAGGTTGTCCTCGCGGCGCTCATTTCTTCCGGTGTCCTCTTCGTATTGATGGGTTTCGCGACACTGCTCTATTCCCTCAGCTCCTCGCAGTTCAGAGTCGTGTACGAAGCACCAGATGATTGGTACGTCGGTGCTGGGGGGAGCCGCTCGGCCAGGAGTGCAGATTTTGAACGGTCATGCGTCCACTCGACAGCTCAGCTTTGCCTCAGCCCAACCCCTGCAAGAGACATTGATGTTGCGCTCCCTCGTTTTGTGTGGAGTCTGTGGAATGTACTTGTTTATTTATGTATCTATGTACGTATGTACGTATGTACGTATGTACGTATGTATGTATGTATGTATGTATGTATGTATGTATGTATGTATGTATGTATGTTGTATGCATGTATGTATGCATGCATGCGTGTGTGTGTGTATGTATGTATGTAAGCATATACATATGTATGTATGTGCGTATGCATGTATGTATGTCTGTACGTACTTACATATGTACGTACATACATATGTATGTAGGTGTGTGTATGTATGTATGTATGTATGTATGTATGTATGTATGTATGTGTATGTATGTATGTATGTATGTACGTATTTATGCATGTATGTATGTATGTATGTATGTTTGTTTGTATGTATGTATGTAGGTTTGGCTGTCTGTTTGCATGTCTGTATGTCTGCATGTATGTACGCATGGCTGTCTGTTTACCTGTCTGTATGTCTGTATGTACGCAGATTTTGATGGTCTTATGTTCTGTCATAAATCGATGTGAGCTGCGGTGTCTGTCTATGTATCTATATTCTCATCCCAGCCTGTGACAACTATCTGTGTTTGTCTGTGCGTGTGTATATTTCTGTATGTACACCAACATAAACAGATATTCGTGCTATTTCGTGCTTGCACCATGCCTCAGAGCACTGCTCAGCTCAACTAGGGCATGACAACCGCCAGACATGTCCACACCTATCTACGGCATTTCCCGCGTGTTCGTTCTTCGAGCTGCGACCTGGCAAGGTTGGAAGCCTTAAAGCATCTGACTGCTATTAGTAAATTGCATCCAAGAATGGCATGTTCCAGCGAGGCATTCGGTCCTACAGCGGCGAAATACTGATCCGCCCCTGCCACGAACCTCAACGCTGCGCCTTTCCCATCACTGTTCCTGCTGACTTGGATCCGCCAATCCAGGCCAGACGATTACAGTTGAAACCAAGCAGCGCTAACCGCAAAAGCATCCACATAGTGGCGCGTACTTTCTATCGGAGTGCAAATCCGCAGTCCATGGGGCCGCCCGGTAGTAAAAAGGCCTGCCTGGCTGAGGTGTACTACGAGGTGACACCGTTCCTACAAAACTACTACACCTACATTAGCCAGAGCCCGAGTGGACTGTGAACTCCTTTGCACCATTGCCCCATCCCGTTGTCAGCGTCGACGGCTCGAGTCAGAATGTGGAGCCTTGAAGCCCCGGGCTGGCCGGACTTGGAACCGGTCACACGGAAGGGAAGGGCAGGCTCGTATGCATGGAGTCAATCCTTTGTTTGCTGAGCAAGGCTCCGTTGCGTGGCAACAGCTTGAGGGGAAGAAGGACGTAAAGGCTCCTGTCGTATGCGAAACTCGTACCCGTGCCTTGGCAGTGCATGGTGGTTCAAGAGGCTTCGAAGGGTTCGGAGGTCGACATAAGATTGCTTACTAAACACTGTTACATGGCTTGAAAAGCTGGTGATTTCGTCACAGCGAGCCTTGAATGATAGCAAGATGAGTTCAGTGAAACGGCTGGGCTTGAATCCTATTTCTGCGAGTCCATGGAGCTCTGCAGGGAGACTACTATGTTAACTACATGAAGCCTGAGTAAGAACTCTTGTGTCTCCCGCAGCTATCAAACCTTGGCCCACTCTTATGCAAGAAATGGCTTGTGACGCCATTTCGCGAAACACGCATACACGCAGACTTGGTACACATTCAAATCAACACCGAATCACACCAACATAGATATTCCCTTTTCGTAAGTCTCGTACTGGTCAGTGGCATGACATGCAGACAGACTGCAATGATGCAGAACGATATGAACATCAGGTCAGACGCAGCAGGGAGAAGAGATTTTTCCCTGCGGGCTTATCGCGACCTCCGTGTTTAACGATTCTCGGCCTCGCACATGTCTGAAATGCATGACAAGAGTGAGAGCTCTTCCGGGGGATTCTGATGGATTCTGGGTAGTTTGGCTGTGCGGACTTCTCAGTCCACAGACAAGGACACGTTCGAGATTGAGGACATCCCCATTGATACGGAGTCATCAGACATGCCTGTCTGGCGCGAGTTCGACAATCCACCAGACTATCCAGAGCGGTCCAACGTCTCTTGGCTCTACGAGCGATACCCGACGGTGACGAGCCGTGCCCTGGGGATTCAAAGCAAGCGCTTCATTGCATGGATGCTGCCCAACTTCCTCAACCGCGCCGGGAAGCCCTACGGCGTTGTATCGCAGCCCTTGAAGAAAGGGCAGCTCATTACCTTGCACATCACTTCCACATTCCGAGTGCAGGCTTTGGGAGCCACAAAAACGTTGCTGCTAACACGAGGAGCTCAAAATTACACGCTCGCCTACATTCTGCTGACCAGCAACACGTCAGCAGGAATGCAGTTTCGGTGCTGCCCTTGTCCAGCACAGCAATTTCATTGTTCTTGTTGCGTCAACATGTGACATCTCAGGCGGAGCTCTCTGCTTTGCGTTGGTCGCCACGGTTATCGCCGTCTACCTGTCATGCGGCCGCCAGCCAGGGAAGCCGCGGCAAGGGCTTTCAGGCTTCTCCGCCAACTGGAGACACGGCCCAGAGTTTGACAGCACGAGCAGCGAAGAGGAGTCGCGTGCTTGACTGTAATGTCTGACGGAGAGTGTTCGAACAGCTGCCTCCGTCATTTCTCACGATGCATCAGGCAAGTAAGGCGCCTTGCTCTGCCTGTCGCCAGAGATGCTTTATGGGCCAAAGAAGTCCAGACGTTAATGGCGACTAAATCCGAGATTGAAAAATTGATGCTTACTCTATAAAATCTGTGTGCTTTTGTGAAACTAGATGAGATTGACTGAAGCCTCTGGTCAGATGCGGTGTCCGAGCCCAGACCTTGACGACGCTGGCCGCACATGGCTCAAGCATGCACTGCGAAAAGAGAATGGTTCTAGCCTGCCCTTTGTTTTCAGATTGGCAGCGGAGCCATTGCGCTCTAGGGCTTTGGGTGCCCGATTTCATAACCAGCCTAGGCCGTCTTAGCACTTAAGTCCTAGGGAAGCTTCCGGAAGCAAGCCGCCATGGCATCGCTACTGGAAGGCCTTTCATGGCACAAATTCGTGGAGATATCAGAGAGCGAATCCACTGAAGGAAAGTACGGGATTCCTCGCTTTGATGGCAGCCTCAACTTGTTGCAAGAGTACTCCTATAGGGTCAGGCTTCGTGTGAAAAAGGAGAAGGAGATGGACCCGACGGAGGTGCAGAAGTTGGGGCCTTTGGGCCTCCGACTCGTCGAGGGCCTTAGAGGCCCGGCGCTTCACATAGTAAAGGCTGTCAAGGAGGAGACCCTCACCAGCGACAAGGGACCAGAGGCCATTCTGCAAGCTTTGGTTGGAGCCTTGAGACCGAGGCGACAGCAAGAAGCAAGGGAACTTTATATGGCCGGTTCCCGTGAACACGGCATTCTCAGCAGGCAATACTCTGAGCCTATGAGTACCTATATCCTCCGGAGGAGGACATGGTACGCTATGCTCACCGACCTCGACAGCGAGATCAAGCTGCCAGATTTGCTGCTGGCTGAACAGATATTGGTGAACGCCGGGGTGACCGAGGAGCATCAACTCATGATAAGGACAAGCCTCGGGCAAATCATCACCGTGGACGGCGTCTGCAACGAGCTGATCAACCAGCACGGCAGCCTGCACCTGCGTGAGAAAAGAGGGCCGCCTTCCTGGAAGCGCTCCGGAGGCAAAGGCCAGCAGCCGTGGAAAGGAAAGTGGAAAGGCAGCAGCCACAGCTACTATGCCGACAGCACCGCCGAGGAGAACTGGTATGGACAATACGCCGATGCGGCGGGCGATGCTTACCTGAGCTATGGAGATGCTGGCTGGGACTCGCACAGCCAGAGCCTTGGAGGATATGAGGATGAAATTTCTTCGGGCTACTATGGAGCCGAAGCCGCGAGCCTGGACCACGAGTACGAGGAGGCTGAGGACCCCGCGCTGTTCGTCTTCTCTGCCATGGTGAACGAAGGCCTGGACGAGACAGGGGACCAGGAGTCTGCCGAGTACGCGGCGGAGATCATCCAGGCCGAGGCCGAGGTGTACTTTGCCAGACAGAGGGCCCAGCAGAAAGGGCACTCAGGGTTTGGGCCGAAGCGCTATGAGGTGCGAGGGCAGCTCTCCTTGGAGGAGCGCAAGGCGCGAGTCACCGCGCTGAAGAGCAGGACGACCTGCCGGGCTTGCGGTGCGCGAGGACACTGGCAAGGGGATAGCTCGTGCCCAAAAGGCACCGGAAAAGGCAAGCGCTCACCCTCTTCGGCTTCTACTTCTTCGACCAAAGGCACGGGGAAGCCGAAGGGCAAGGGCCCAAGTGACAAACGAACCTCGAAGCCCCGTACGGTGTTCTTTGCCGTCCGGGACCCTGACACAGCACAGCCTCGAGGTTACATGGCAAGTCGGGGCGACTTTTCTCAGGTGCCGCCCCCGACCGAACTGGACGCACCCGAGCAGCGGCCGAGCTTGCCGAGGATTTCGCTGGACGGTGTGGCCCCGACGTCTCTGAGTTCTTTGCTGAACTGGTCTGCCCGGGGTGGGCCGGAGATGGCTTCTCGCTCTTCGGGATCCCCCTCTCCTTTGACGAGGCCACAGCCGGCGCCTACGGAGGCCACGTCTTCCTCGACGTCGCTTTTGCCGGTTCCTTTGGCTCCTTCGCTGGCACCGGCTTCGGCAAGTTCACAATGGAGCCTCGTGCCCGGGCAGGACTGGGACCAAGAGATGCTGTTCGCCGCCCTGAGGGAGAACAGCGATGTGGTCATGGACCAGCTGATTGCCCTGGCCCAGGCGCAAGGCGGAGAGCAAACAGCGGGGCCGATGGCGGTTGAGGACCTACCTCTTGGACCAGAGTGCGAGCTGCGGGCTGTACCGGTGACTGGGGCCTACGACCTTCCGTTGCTCCGGCCTTTGTGCGCTGAAGGTGCGCCTGAGGACCCGCTTCCGGAGCCTGAGAGAGCCGAGCCTCAAGACAGCGAACCCCCCAGCCACCGGTGCCGACTGACGAGCAGAAGGCCTGCCGCCACGAGCGGACCACCACGAAGGGCACGAACAAGTACTACTACATGAAGTCCTGTGTTAGGTGCGGTTTTGTCTTGGAACGGGTCAAGAAAGACGTCGTGGGGAACCCGCCGGCGGCTAGATCTTCGCTGCAGGCCGACCAAGAGAAGTGCCCGCACAAGAGCGTCACCCATGCTGGCACCAACCACCACGTCTGGAAATGGTACTGCAAGGACTGCGGGCTACGACGGCAAGGGAGACAGAATGAAAGCACAGCCGCTGCCATGGGACACGGAGCTCTTGGGTCTAAGAACATGGAAGGCCCCGACACCGCGGCGGTGAAGGTTCTGGAGATGGCCGGCACTGTGGTGATGGTGCAGGAGAGCGGCGGTGTTCCGGCGCCCTTGGACAAGCTGCCGGGGATCGTCGCGAAGTGTGCCCAGATCTACCGGACAAGGCACCCAGCAGAAGCAGCACCACAGCCAGTGCCCGTCTCGGCGACTGGTCCTCCAACGGTGTCTTCAGCTGCAGCCGGGACGGCTGCCGAGCAGAATTCCTCTGATGTGGGGATAGTTGGCACGGCCCGACTGGAGTCGGGCAAGCACAAGGGCAAAACATATGCTGCGGTGTATGCCGAATATCCTGATTACGTTGCCTGGCTTCTCTCTCAAGGAGGCAACATCCAAGCCAAGTCGCTTCAGGATTTTGAACGTTATGTTCGAGGCCGAAAATGCACCGACAGCGCTCCCTACAAGCCAACATGGCTGTGAACGAGGACTTTGTCAGCGGGAACACCCCGATCACCGGGGACATTGTCAGCGAGAACGCCCCGATCACCGAGGACATTGTCAGCGAGAACGCCCTGATCGCCGTGCTTGATACCGGGTGTAATCAAACATGCCATGGGTCGGAGTGGATGCGGCAGTACCTCAAGGCCACCGGGCAAAGTTACGAGCCGCTTGCGTACACTACGGCTTCGAGTCTCAATGGCATAGGGGGAAAGGTCAAAGCTGTCGGCAAGCGAACCCTCAACATTGCGATTGGGCTCGCCGACGGCACCATGGCGACAGGCACAGTGCAAAGCACCGAGTTGGAGGGCTCCACCGCGCCTTTGTTGCTGAGCTACGGTGCCCAGAGACAGCTTGGCTTTGTTTTGGACATCGAGGCCGGCACCGCCTACAGCAAGGTCTTTCAGCAGCACGTCGAGCTCATCGACCGCGACGGGCTTCCTGCTCTACGGCTTCTCCCCCTTCTTCCGGGAGATGAACCAGAAGGTTTTGCAATGATTGCGGAGGCCGGCGCGTGTGCCTCAACTCTTCCGGGCTCTGTGGTGCCGATGGAAGATGACGACGACCACTGGCAACAGCAGGGAGACACCTGGGTCAGAGTCCATGTTCGCCCCCGGCTTCACCTTTATGATCCTCGCCGGGAACCCAGCAACGAGCTAGATATCGAAGCCGAGGTGGACCAGCTCTGGTTTCGCAAGACCGTGACCTACAGTGTCGCCACCGGAGAGCGGGCTGAGTTTCGAGACAGCTGGCACCGAAGCGGACATGCCGAGAACGACGTGTCTGAGGAGACGGGCGGAGAATGGACCGGCTACACCGTCTTCTTTCGTGACGCTGCCCATTGCCAGCAAGAGACCCAAACGGCCTTAGCCGATGAACCTGCGAGCTTTGGGTTTGTGGCCTTTGACGAGGAGAAGCCCGCCACGCTCAACAAGGGACAACGCCGGCACCTTCAAGACGGCAGTGAAGGAATGAAGCGCCATGATGCAACCCTTTGGGCCCAACTTGATCCACGACCATCTCATCGGGCCCGGGCTTGCCGACGACTACTTCCAAAGGGGTGCGGAACCATGCTGCTAGAACTGTTTGCCGGTGCTGCTGCCCTGACCACCATGGCCTCTTCGCTTGGGATTCCTCACGAGGCGCCCATTGACTTGATGAACCACGAGCTCCTGAACTCAGCCGGGCGGCAGCAACTTTGGGAAAGCATTCAGCATCAAGATCCCTACCTCCTGACGGTCTCTTCTACCAAGGCACCCTGGGCACAATGGAGCGAGAGAGACCTTGAGCCGGGGAGCCCGAGAAGCCACCGCACCACGGCCGAAAGGAGGCTCTGGTACCCGGTCATCAGTTGGATGATGGATCTTGTGAAAGACCGCCTTCTACGTGGACGTGAAGTTTTGGTAGAAGCCCCGTGGTACAGCCTATTTTGGCAACTTCGCTGTGTGGACCAAGCTGGCCCGGCACAACAAGCAGTGACTCAGGGAGACCATCTACTGTGACTGGTGCTCTCTTGGGGGAACGGACCTTCGCGCTGGCCTCCCGGTGCAACGGCCCACTGGCTTGATGACTTCCTCTCGGGCTGTTAAGAGCAGGCTCTGCCGTGGATGTGAAGGAGGGCACCGGCACCATTCTGGACCAGCTCACCTTACGACTTCATGGCCGGACGGGCTGGCACATGGCATTCTTGAGTCGGTGGCTCAGGAGCTTCAGGAGTTGAACTGTTCTGTGGTCTTCGCCGTGGAAGCAGAAGCGGAGGAGCACGAGGAGTTTGGCCCGATCGATGGTGTACATGGTGAACAAGACGTCGGGGAACAGCTGCCACCGCCACTGGATCATCAAGAAATGGGCCGGGAAGAGCGACTTGAAGAACTACCACCGCCTCAGGCCCAGCCTGAACTTGAGAAAGTTCGCAAGCAAAAGTGGCTGGCACTGGACCGCAACAAGAGGCTGGCAATTCGCCGGCTCCACCACATGACGGGCCACGCCTCTGTGAGCTCTATGGTGCGGATGCTCCGTTCGGCCGGGACCTCGGCCGAGGTTGTGGCTGCTTGTCGTCATTTTCGGTGTCAAGCTTGTGCCGACCGACAGCAACCGTCGCAGCCATCATCGACCACCACGGCGCCACCTTATCGCTTCAACCACCAGATTATCTGTGATGCCTTTGAGGTTGTGGACGCAGCCGGGAGCAAGCACACCATACTCAGTTTGGTGGACAGCGGGACCAAGTTCCACGTTGCAGGTCGAGTCGCTCCCGGAGGCACACCTTATTCCAGAGTTTGTGCCGAGTTTATCAACACAGCCTGGTTGTCTTGGGCCGGAAACCCAAAGTACTTTCAAGCAGATCAAGGCGTGCACAACCAGGGGCAAGTGGCCTCCCTTATGCGGGCCCACGGGATCGAGAGCAGCCCGACAATCCCCGTGGCAAATTGGACGCGGAGAACGCCACGGAGGAATACTAAAGGCCATGGTCAAGAGGCTGATCACCGCTCACCAGTTGGCCGGGGACTTTGCAATCTCCTGTGCGGTGACCCAGAGCGCGGCCGTGAAGAATGCCATGTACAACCATGATGGCTATGTACCGGCCCAATGGGTTCTGGCCAGAATCCCGCATGACGTCACTTCCTTGCTTGGAGAAAACGGCTCGGAGGCACTTGGGCCACAACAAGAGGTGCACGAGCCGGAGACCGTTTTTGGTCAAACCATGCAAATGCGGCAGTGGGCCAAGGAGTGCTTCGTCTACCTGGACAGCAGCCAGAGGATTCGACGGGCCATGCTTCGACAAGCTCATCCTCTAAGAGGGCCTTACCAGACGGGAGATTTAGTCTCCTACTTCCGCCGTGGACGATGGTACGGCCCAGCGCGCGTGCTATCCCATGAAGGGAAGAGCTCTCTTTGGCTGGTCCATGGTGGCATGACCCTGCTTGTTGCCGAGACAGCTCTGAGGCCTGCCACCACGGAGGAGATACAACGGAAGCAGGCTCTGGCTCTACGACCGACATGGAACCGCACGCCGGCCAAGCGCAAGTACGAGGACTTTCTTGAGGGCTTGGAGGAACTGCCGTTCGAGGAGCAGACTGCTGACTTTGACGGGCCGGACCAACTTCCCTTCTTCGACTTCTCTCAGGCAGCAGGGCCTACAGCTGAACAGCCGGCTGAAGCAGCCCCACCAGAAGTGGAGGAGGTCAGGGCCGAGGACGGTCCCACAAGACAAGTCACACAACCGGAACAGGAGCCACTCGAGGAAGCTGAGATGAGGACCCCAGGGGCGACACCACCAACGGAAAGTCCACAGACATCTTCTACATCGGGGGGCCCACGTCAAGAAGGCATGGATGCAGCTAACAGTGGTGAGCCACCAGCGGCGACACCACCGACGGAAAGTCAACAGACATCTTCTACATCGGGGGGTACATCTATGACGCCTTTGCAGGAGGCTATGCATCGTTCAGTAGATCGGGTCGATGGTCACACAAGATCTCGTTCGCCTTCGGTGTTTACAAGAGATGCCGCTGGACCTGGTAGGGCACCACCTGGGCTTATGGCAGTGTCCTTTCCTGAGCAAAGGAATGAACTCCAGGAGCACGCGGAACAGCAGAACAGGAACAAGGCCAAGAACATCCTTGCCTTCCTTGGCACCCGTGTCGAGAAGCGCTATCGCAAGAAGACCGTGAAACAAGGCGCGGGCAGAGAGCTCAACTACAACAAGGCCGACGACACTCTGAGAAAGGGCCTGAATGAAACCCGGGCCAAAGAATGGAACAATTGGAAGAAGTACTCCAATATGAGAACCATCTCCAAGGAGGAGTTTGCCGAGCTCAAGAGGCAGGACCCGCAGCTTCGGGTTATACCCACGAGGTGGGTGGACACGGACAAGGCCGAGGCTGGACAGCCACAGAAGCTAAAGAGCAGGTTCGTGGTTCGAGGAGACCTAGAAGACCGCCATGGGCATCCTCCTCAGCTACGGGGCCGCCACCCAGCGCACCATCAAGTCCGGTGACATCTCGGCGGCCTTCCTACAAGGCTCCACTTTGGACCGGAACCTGATACTCAGCATGCCAAAAGGTGCACCGCCAGAGGGCATGAACGAAGACGACCTGGTGATCGTCTCCACCACAGTCTACGGGACGAAGGACGCACCCCGCGGCTGGTTCAAGAAGCTGGACACTACGTTGCGTCAACATCACCTTCGGCGAGTTCCCCTGGAACCTGGCTTCTACGTCTTGAACGGCACCGACCAGCAGGGACACACTTACGTCAAGGGTCTTCTTCTGGTGCACGTAGATGATCTTTTGTGGGTTGGAGATGATGACATGGAGGCCACCATGCTGCAGGTCCAACAGCAGTTTCGCTTCGGGTCGCTCGACCAGCAAAACTTTAAGTTCTGCGGCCGTTGGCTGAAGCAAGGACCTCGTGGAATCGAGGTGAGTTGTCCGGACCTTATCTCCAGAGTGCGACCGATACATCTGGAGGCCCGACGCAAGGGGCAGCGGGACAATCTCGCGACCGAGAAAGAAAAGTCCCAACTCCGATCGGTCGTCGGGTCGCTCAACTGGCTCGTCAGGGTTTGCCGCCCAGATTTGGCATACTCTGTTTCGAGGTTGCAGTCTGCCGTGAGTAAGCCGTTGGTGCAGGACCTCGTGGAGGCGAACGCTCTCATCAAACACGTGGCCCGGACAAAGGACCATGGTTTGCTCTACCCGGCGGCAAAGCTCGACTTCCAGGACCTCGCCGTGATCGCCGTGCAGGACGCTTCCTATGCCGCGGATTATGACCTCAGTGCCTCGGGAAAGAAGATGGGATACAGAAGCCAGAGTGGCAGGATCCTCTGCCTGGCTTCGCGCGACTACTTGGACACCCTTGAGGGCCATCTGTACCCGATCGAGTGGCACTCTACGATCATCCGCCGCGTCTGCAAATCTACTCTTCAAGCTGAAAGCCTCTCCTTGCAACTCGGAGTGGCCGAAGGAGAGCACGCTCGCGCTGTGCTCCACGGACTCTACGAGGACCTCGGAAAGCTGGACTCTGTTGAGTGGGCAGTGGCGGCACAAGACAGGACTCCGCTGCTGTGGGTGACTGACTGCATGAGCCTGAAGGAGCACCTCATGAGTCCCTCGGCAGGCTCTGTCAGTGACAAGCGACTGGCCATAGACCTCAGCTCTCTAAGGCAGGAGCTGTGGCGTGAAGACGGACAGGTGGTCGGAGACCCCTTGTCCAAAGACTTTCCACCAGCAGAGGGCAAGACAAAGCTTCTCTGGACAAGCACGGACAAGATGCTTGCAGATGCGTTAACTAAGCGCATCGTAGATCACGGTCCTCTTCAGGACCTGATGCTAGGAAAGTCCGTGAGCTTGGTGCCGACATCTGACCAGAAAACTAAGAGGGGTGTGAAACTAGATGAGATTGACTGAAGCCTCTGGTCAGATGCGGTGTCCGAGCCCAGACCTTGACGACGCTGGCCGCACATGGCTCAAGCATGCACTGCGAAAAGAGAATGGTTCGCAACACGTTTAGCCTGCCCTTTGTTTTCAGACTTTCTCCGGTTTGGGATTTGCGCACGACGGCTGCCGGTACGAAACAACGAAACTCTTGGGATTTTGGGATCGTTGGTATGCTTGCGGCTGTTTGCCTCAAAATAAAGGCGAGTCCTTAGTACGAACCCAGAAATGCTTAGGATTTTGAGGGTTTTGTACTGTTTGTGGGAAATCTCGTGGAGTGGCGGATGAGGGCGAGTGTCGTGGGGTGGCGGGCGAGGTTGAGTGGGCGGAGTGTGGGGATTCGCGGGGGATTCTTGGGGGGAATGGAGAGGGTCGTGGAGTGGCGGAAGGGTGTGAGGGGAGTGCGGCGGGATAGATGAGGGTGTTGTCGTGGGGAAGGGAGTAGGTCGTGAGCAGCGATGGGCGAGGGCGTGTCGCAGAGAGGCGAGCGAGGGTGTTTATGTCGGGAATATCGTGGAGTGGCAGGCGAGGGCGGGTCGGTGGGCGTGGAGGGCTGTGCAAGAGCGGGTCGGAAGTACTGTCGCGGAGTGGTCTGGGTCGTGGGGGTGTCGGATGAATGTATGGGGGAGGGCTTATGTGAGTCGTCGAGAGTGTCGTGGAGTGTGGGTGAGGGTGTGGAGGAGAATTTCGTGGAGTGGTGGGTGAGGGCGTATAAGATATGGGGAATGATGAGATCGGGAGTGGGCGAGGGCAGGGCGAGGGAGTGTCGCGAAATGACGCGCGAGGGCAGGTTTGTCGTGTCGGTGGGAATATACTATCGATGGGGGGCGAGGGCGAGGGGAATATCATGATATGAAGATATTGATTCGGAGAAGAAAAAAAATGATGATTTATATATAAATATAATGTATCGATATAATTAATATATTATATTATAATATATGGGGGTTTCTGAAAGTAGGGGACCCTAACATAGTACCCTACATAATAGGATCCCTATTATAAGGACCCCAAAATAAGGTACCCTAATTTTCTGAAACTCCCATATTTATTTTAATTGATAATAATATCTCAATATTTTTGAAAAAAAAATTAAAAAATTCATTCGTTCGAAATAAATTACTTTATATAGATATTTCAATAGATATATGAATAGAAAATAAATTTATTATACTATATATATATATATATTTCTCTAGAAAATGAATCTTCATAATAGAATATTATATAATTCATTATTTGAATATTTGAATATTTTAATTTAGGCAATTTATTTTTCAATTTATATTTGATTTCTTTTTGTCATATTTCTTGATTAAGATTTGATATAAGATGAGTTAAGTTGGGTGCCGGTGCGGAGAGATTTCTTAAATATCGATTCAAACTGAATCGATCTACAATTTGAAATTGAGATATTATTTAGAATATTTCTTTTTAATATTAGAAATCTCATATAATTTTCGCCTTATTCTATAATTTTCTTTAGTCTCTCGATTAGAGATGAGAAAATAAATAGAAGATATTCTAAGATATATCTGAAATTTATTATCTCATATATTTCTCTATCAAAAATAAAATCCAAACCAATAAGCTTATCGATATAATGAAATTTCTGATTATATATATGCTCTAGAAATAGATATAGATATTTTTTCTTTTTTAAATGAATATTAATTTATTCAAGAGAAAAATCTCAATGATATTAATAATTGAGAAAATTTATTTAATAATACATCGTTATCGAAGACGATCTTTGAATCTAATATTAAGATATTAAATTGGCCAAGGGATTTCTATGATGCTTATTATCTTGATTTGCTCATGTAGATACCGATTTTATAGAGAGAAATTCAAGGGGCTTAGAGCGGTCATTGAAGCCAAGAAAACCTTTAGTAGCATCTAAAATATCGATATAATCTGATCTATTTGCTTTTGATTAATTGCATTACTAATTATACTAGATCAAATACGAATTATTGAAATAATATCTTCTGCTCTATATATTTATTTTGCTGCTTTTTATTACTTTATAATGAGATTTCTATATGGAGATTTCTGAAAATAGGAGACCTTAGTTCAACACCCTGAATGGTCTGATCCTTCTTATAAGGACTCGCCAAAATAAGACTTCTTATTTTTGGGAAATTCCCATATATATCATGAAAATATATTATATATCTTATTCTGAAAAAATCAGATATCAGAAGTATATGATATATAGAATATATATTGATATATGAATTAATCAGAATAACATATCATATTTCTATTTTTGTAGCTAGAAATAATGATGATATATAATCATATGAAATATCTTTATTCTATTTTCTAAATAGATATAATCCCGCTATCTAGTGCATCTAGAAGCGCTATCTATCACGTCACGAAATATCTCCCGTATAGTGTTCCTCTACCTTCGTCATCAATAGAAAGGATTAATTTTAATATAGCTGGTCATTTGATGGATTTAGTAATGCAGGCTTCTGCAGGTAATAATCGGTGGCAGCTTCATTCCTACGAGCGCCTATAATACCGTAGCCACGAGCCAGCTGAACCTCATATTCTCAAAGAATTTCTCGGCACTTCTATCGGAGATAATAATCCGCAATCTATTATGATCTTATTTGATGCCCATATCTTTATAATTATCGGTTTATTAGAGTCTATCTAGATTAGAGATCCTTTTTCTGAGATTGTTAAGCTATAGATCATTATTTCGATCTTCAGAGATGGATTTATTGATATAATTATATCTTATATTTTAATAAGATTATTTTTATATAGATATCTATGATTTTATAGGGAAGTTAAGATTTCGCGCCAATCTTCCGGAAAATCCTTTCGATAATAAAGAAAGCTACCTAATGATTTCTCATTAGACTCCCGGGCTTCTATATGAGGCGGAGCTCTTTGATCCCGAAACTAGAAATAAGGAAGTCCCAATCTCAGATTTGATCTATAAATAGTGATAATCTTATGGAAGATGCCAAATTTATCAATAAGAAGAAATCGGAGAACGATATTTTTATTTATATCAAATCTGATTCTGGAAAATCTATTATAAGATGGCCCGAGGGGAAAATTCGGGCCATGGTCCAGAAGAAAAATCGAAGCATTTCTATTGCTCATGGAGCTCAGAATATAATAGAATTCCTTCTTATAATATTCAGCCTGCTTCCTATAATATATCAAGATATCTTGCTATATTTATACCTCTTTCTTATATCTTCTGCCATTCTGTTGCTTGGAAGTCCATGAGGGGGCAAAAACCCGATCCTCATTATTATGATCATGATTTGGGATTATTTTCCTATATGATATCTCGGTCTCTCTGGAATCAAGCCCGACTGGCGACGACCAGAATCACTAAATAAATTTAATTATCGTATTTCGCAAATTCAAGAAATTTTTATCTAAAGATGATCCGTCTCGCTCCAGAAGCTTCGTTATCGAAGATGAGGACGAGCAGGAGATAAGATGGGAATAAGAGATGATCGATTTCTCTATAATAATTTTTAGCTTCCTTCGAATAGATTTATGATTATATTAAAACTTATCAATAGAATGATATAGAAATGATCTAATATCGATATAGTATCTTTTTATTTCGCCAGAATCTTCAGATTATGGGGAGCCTTCTCATCTTGATTTTGACCTCTCCGATCTTCTATCACATTGGCATTACGAATACCACTTTCATAAGAAAATATCTTGCTTGATTTTTCCAAGGGTATCTGACGTCTAAGATTCTCAATTTAAAAGATTATAGAGCCTGATTAGCTCAAGATTGATATGATAAAAATATATCAGCGATTGCCGCTATATAGTTATTTCAGCTGCCACCTAGCCCTGGAATCTTCTAGGCAGCCAGGCAGCCCTATGGCCCGAAGCCCCTACGTGACCCCCCAGCCATGGGCCGGGTTGTGGGGGAGGCAAAAATACAAAAAAAAATCTAAATATCTATCTATATATATTTATGCATATATATATATATATTCTTTGAATTTTTAATTATTCCCCCCCTGGACCGGATCCAGGCCGGATTCAGATACCCAGACCCTCTGATTTTTTTTGTGGCCAGACCCTCAATGCCTGTAGCCGAGGGGTCCTCGTAGCACACGAGAGTTTGTAGAAATATAATTTCAAATACTATTGATATATTGAAATTGATATGATAATCTAAGATATAGCTACTATATTGAGACTAAATAATCTCATGACGTAATTTTCTGAAATCCATAATTCACGAGAAACTCCAAAAATTGAGGCTTAAATGCTCTTATTTTCTATATATAGATATAATACATATATATGAATATATATATATAAATAACAGTGAAAATATAAATATACATATATATATATATTCATAGATATTTTCTAAAAATTATAATTCTAAATAAATATATTTTTATATTATTTTAAATATCCAATAAATATATTCATATAAGGATATGAAGTATATTTATCAAATATTTTTATATGATATGAAAAATATAGATATATATATATATATATTTATATTTATATTCAGGCGGTCCGTGGTCCCCCTCCTCTCTCTTCATGATCTATGATCCAGGATTCGATTCAAATTTTGAGATGAAATTTATATGACTACGAATCGCAAGGAACTAATAGGGTTTATGATTCGCGAGGGAAATTTAGCCGCCCCGCAACAGCTCCCCACCCGCCCCCCCCGTCCCTTTCCGAAGACGCCTTCTACGAGATTGGGGGGGAGGGGATCCAAGAATTCCCGTCATCTGATCCTATATATATATATCAATTATATATTTATTATTTATTCATATTTTTCATATAATTGAGTGGTTTATATATTTAAGATCAAAATTAAAAACTAATTCATTAAGTATATGAAACTAATCTTAAATTTAAGAAAATTCAGGACAATGAAATTATTAATTAATCATATAATGGAGCAGGCTTCGAAAACGATTCAAGCATCTTTATTATGAAAATAAATTTGAAATAAAATATAATCTTGAATGATTATTATATAATATAATATTTGAAATTTAGTAAAATAAAGGCGCAAAATAAATCTTTATATTTTCTAATTATATCTATTAATCTTGTCTTAAGTTCAAAGATATCAGTTCTTCGAATAAGATTATTATATTATTATAGATAGTTATAGATATAAGAAAATAATTAAGATTGAAAAATATATATTTTAACTAAAGCTTTTATTATTTTTAAAATTAGATTAGATCTATTCTTCCTATCGATATTTGATATAAAACTATTTATAATATAGAAGTCTTCGATTCTTTGCGGAACCTCGATCCTCCAATCCCGAACCTCTAACTCCGAATCTCGAACCCCAAACCCCGACTCCGAACCTCGAACCCCAAACCAGAAACAAGCGGCCCTCCAGAGTCGCTACAAATATTATCTAGAATATATATATATATACAAATAAATAATTAGTTCTATAGATAGAAAATTTGATTTCGAATTATAAGCGCCGACCCCGACCCCGGACCCCAAACCGAACCCCGAATCCCGAACTCCGAACTCTCCGAACCTGAACCTCGACTCTCGACCCGAGATCCTGAATCCTGAACTCGGACTGAAAGCGGGTTCGGGGTTCGGGTTCGAGATATATTCGGGGTTCGGAATTCGAGATTCCATCCCTACACTTGTGCTGCCTGTCTTTTCTTAATATCTATTGAATAATATCAAGAGCCATTATTTGGTCGACTACAGAAATTACGCGACAGTAACTGCAATAGTATTAAAACCAAATTTCTATTGCAAAAAAGAATGCATGAAAATACATCCCATTTGTTCTAGATCTTTTGCCAGTTCTTGAATTAAAAAATAAAAATCATGAAATTATATTTGTTGCCAATAATTGTGCTCATATGAGCAAAATAAAGTTATGGGTGTCAAGTGCAGTATTATAAAATCGAAATTTTTACCATATACCATCACCAAGTGAAAAGAACGAAACAACAAGATCATTTATTTCAATTCTCGCATTATTGAAATCTATTCTATATCTGAAATCGATTCATATTCCTTTGAATATCTAAATCTTGACCCAAATAATACGAGTTTCACCTTTATGATCTAAATTCCAAAATATCTTAAATAGCATAATAGATTCCAGATTCTTTAGATTGAATTCTTTTTTTGGAATAATTTGGACTAAATACTATTCTGCATATAAAAATATTGCCGCCATATCTGATTACCCTCCTTGGTATCCCATTTTTTCCGCCAGATTTCTTATTATTCTCTTTTTCATATTCCGATGGTCATCTGTAGGACTTCCTTTTAGAATCACCGATATTGGAAATTTATACGATATGGAATTTCATTGGGATAATTTTCAATTATTTTCAATTCAGTATAGAGCTTGTATTCGCTCATCGAATGGAGAACATATCGAACCATCGCCTGATATAAACTACCTCGGTGCCGTCGTTATAGATACAGGTTTGCCTGGACACGAGCTTAGTCGTCGCATCGGGATGGCAAAAGCAGATTTCATTCCATTTATAAAAAATTTGCAAGCATTCTTCCCTTCCTATATTTGCAGAATTCTGGTTGAATCCAAACTCATGCATGGTCTGAATTGAGTTGTTTATGCCTTTCCGTAGCCGAATAGAGCCTTCTGAGATGCTCGTATAACAACTGCTTTTGTTCGGCAAGGCCTTAAGATCTCTATTGGACCATCCTTTGGACATATTCGTATTCATATCTAGAATTCTTCAGCCTGCTACCAGCAAGTATGCGAGGCGAGTAAATCGACGGAGACGAGAATGGGTTTCTGAAGTAAGAAGTAATGCTTTTCGGTATTTTGGTGATCATCGTGAAATAGTCAGGCTTAGATATGACTCCATTGTCTAGTATCGCACAATATATCAAGCCATTTCATATATATTATCAGCTTATAATCTGCTTGCATTCTAGAGAAATAGCAATATCTATCTCATTCCTTAAATAAATTGAAAAAAATATTAAAATAATATTCAACGAAATCCTATATAATCTTATTCGCTATATTTTTACTTACTCATGCAGAAAACGACACCGATTCCGAACTTAGAATTTAATTTATAATACATTATTATTATTATTCAATTTATAATTTATAAATATTATTTTAAGAATCAAAATCTTAGTTCAATTAATAATATATTCCTTATAAATAATTACCGCTATATAACCATCGAATTTAGAAATTAACAAATAATTATTAAAATCATTATCATATTAATTAAATATTACGATATTCAATATAATCTAATTAATTAATATCCCTAATCTTATGAAATAATATAATATTCAAGAACGAACAACTCGTATCGAATTATTCAATTTATTACTAATATTCAAATAATCAGAAAATCAAAATTTAAAGATATAATAATTATCAATAATAGAATATATTACAATACTAAACTTAAATCAATATATTTTCTTTTTATTATAAGTGTTGCTATAGGATATATCTCTATATATGGAAGTCAAGAAATGAATCAAGAAATATAATATATTATTCTCAATCGGAATAACTATTCAGAATTCTTCTTTTTTTAAACTTCCTATATTGAAATCTGAATATATCAAGAAAGTTTTATATTGTTTATCTATAAGAATATAAAGGTAGATTTAAATATCAGAGAATGCCCGGTCAAGACGAAATCCCTGAATTAATGATTTATAACTCGTATATAGCTCGTAAAAATTAGAGACAGGATTATTTTCGATTCGTATTGCTCTCCTCAAGGCTTCACCAGTTCGAATTCCTCGTCCTGAAATCTCAAATCAAGTATGCTTTGGAGGCGAATAACCGGATCTAGAAGGCACCTCGTCTTCTTCCTCTTCTTCTTGAGACTCCTCCTCGCGCCTGGCCTCGAGATCGCTGCAGGTTCTTCGAAGTATTGTTGGCGAAGAATGATGATGATTACAGGATTTCCTGAAATCTCCTGAGAACAAGAAGCTCAGCAAAGGGATGGCCGCCCTCGTGCGAATCTCTTCACGTTTCTATCTTGTTGCAACCATGCTTGCTTGATACAACTCAAGACGAGGCCCCGAGATGCGAGCTGCACCCAACGCAGCGACAGCTAGTAGTGTGTAGTGAAGGTGATCCGTCAAAGGTATGATTGAGCTGGACAATGCCCTGAGCCCGCAGCGCACATCTGCTTCATCCGGCAGTCTGTAATGTAGATGAGCGCCGCCTGAGCTCCAAATAGCGGACTGAAACTTGTTGACAATGGTTTTGAAGACATCATGCTCCTCCAACAAAGCAAGAACAAGTGTGAAATCACACGGCACTCGTGTTCGAAGACAGGACCCGGCATCCCCCAAGTCAAAGAAGACATCGCAGGCGACTCGGAAACTGAAACTGAAATCAAGATTCCTGAGTGCCACGCTAGAAATATGATGAGCATTATCAGGAAGGCAGGTATGCCTTGGCAGCGGAGCAGTCCAGATCTATCGAAACCTGCCCGACGGCAGCAGCAAAGCGTGAGGTGTGACAAAAGGCCAAGACTGCTTAGTCCCAAGCGATAGTCACTGTCGTCAACTGCGTCATCCCCGTCCTTTCACGCACAAGCCCCAGACTGAATCCGAGCACGGGTAGCTTCGAGGAATGTGGGAGTACGGAGGGAAAGGTGTCCTCCGTGACCACATCCTCGGCTGGATGCAGAAGACTGGAGAAACTTCAGAATGTTTGCGCTGGGACACATGTCTGAGGCCTCGTCCTGTGTGCATGTCGCAAACGGACACTTGAAGGCATTCTTCACTTGTTTTCCGAACGCAGGAAGGGCATGGAACGGATTGAAGGGATTGTAGGCATCGTCCTGCAGCGGTGCAAACTTGCCTGAATTCCCCTCGAGTGCTGAAGTCCAATGTACCGGCCTTCGTCGTCAGGTTGGCAGTAATCAGCGTGTTGACGGGTCTGCCTGTGAGAGGCTGACAGATGGACAGTTGAGGACAGTGTAGCCTGGCGGTCTTGCAGCAAAGCCGCCATCGAGTCCAATGCCAGGCGCAAGAGTCGCGGTTGGGACTGGGCTGTAAGGATTGCTGCTGTTGGAAGCCTCCGTCATCAGCTTGACACACAGGGTCAGAAAAAATTCCCTGCTCCGGCCTCACCCACTGACAGCAACAAGAATTGCAGGAAGGTGAAGGCAAAAGAACATCTCGTCAAGTCCACCATAGCGAAAACGGGGCTTCCAACGGTTCCGTTTCTTTGTTTCCGTCTTCCAATATGCTGCATTAGGCCAGTGATGCCAGGTCGGCATTCTGCTGATCGCTCTAGTTCATGCACAAACTGCTATGTCTATCAAGCCTCTGCACTATCTGCTTGATTGGCAAGCACTGTTCCAAGTTCCAATTCCTGGACATGCTCTGATGCAGGCACCATGCGTGAGTTCAGCTGCAGACATTTGCCACAACCCGAGCCAAAAGACGTTTTTCTCCATGAAGCAAATCAACGCGGGTTTCGGTCAGATTGTCGACCTCCAACCCCTCCGTAACGGAAAGGATTCGGTCGCGGCTGCCTGTCTACCGGCACTTGGGACGCTGGGTCTGGCCCTCAGCCAAGAGCTTCCCCTCACCACCAGCACGCAAAATAATGCAGAAAACATGTAAGGGCATGACTTACAAGTACTGCTAGAACTACGATTCCAGAGCGGCGCACATCCAGGAAGTGCTTCCTTCCGTGAACGTGTCTGCTTGCACTCTGAGTGACAGTCTGCCACACAGACCCACTGAGTCACTGCCTCGCCATGCATAGGAGACAGGACACTTGTGGCCGAGCCGCGTCGTTTTGCATTTTTCTGCGTAGGGCGAGAGTGCAGGGATAGCTTTCCAAATTCCGGGAGCTGATGCATCAAGGACACAGGAAACGTTCGCCATTGTGCGATAATATGTGAACACTATGGGTGCGCCACGTCATGGAATTCCCAGCTCCGTCGAGGGAAAACGAGAACGACATCGCCCCTCATTGAAAAAAACACGACGCGGTTCAGCGAGAACCGAATGGATCTGGGCGTCTAACTTACTGCCATCGCCGGCCCTAGTCTAGCAGTTACGGTCATGACAACTTCGATGACGACAATCAAGCCCGCTCAAGCGTAGCCATCCTGGTCGTGGTGATGTCGCCGAGCAGGGCCTACAGGAGTCACCTCATTGTGAGGTGTCGGTCTTCGACATGTTGGAGCCTGGGGAGGAGACTGGCAACAAAACGGGGGGAGAAGAGGTCTTCCAGTACGATATTTCAGTTCCCCAATGTTCCCTGGCCAGGCTCCATGTCGAGTGGCTTAGCTGCGTCTAGCTAGCAGCCAGCCTTGTGAATATGCCGGCAGTCGAAAGCAAATGGAGCTTGCCGTCACACTCTGTCCGCCTATTCGGCTTTCGACTGCCGACAGCGCAAGCCCTCTGATTGAGACACAAACTCCTAAATGGCCACCAGAACATCATCTTGCAGAAAACCTAAGGTGAAACGGCAGGGTGCCTGGACACGAAAGTTCACAAGTTGCACGAGCAACAGAATTTTGCGGCATGGCACGACTTCGCATAACAGATGAACCGTCATGCTGCGTGAACTAACGTCGCATCACTGCAAACACTTCCAGCTGCCAGCATTCTCGGATAGAGGCGCCTGACAGTCGAACGTTGCTGGGGAACGGAGCGTGGGCGCGAGGTGCCACCGGCCACAAGGCAAGTTAGCAAGTTGTAAGACCAATTTGGGCAAAGCTGACGCAGTCGCACAGCGCATACCAGGGTATCGCATCTCGGGGTGATGTACAGCCTTGCCAGTGTTGATGGCACCTTGCAAGCTTTCAGCTTACGAATCCGCCGGCTGTTGGCAGCTGCTATGCCGTGCTTGGCATTGTAAAGGAAGTCTTCAAACGTCAAACAGTCAACCTCAGCTCGACAAAAGCAAAGCAGGTTTTGAGAACAGAATCTACCACGGAGAATCTTTTTGCGGCAACTCCAGAAACTTGATGTCTACGGCAGATTGAGCGTCAACCCACTGCTATAAGCACTGGTTCAGGCAGCACTTGGCCAAAAAAACACTCTGCGCATCAACCAGGACCGAATCGCCCAAATCCTGCTCAAATCGACTTCCTGAGGCCACAGCGCGACCAAGTGCAAAACCATGCCTGCCCAGGAGTATCAAGATCGGACATCTGCCCCTCGACAAGTTCGGCAATGACATTTCACCGACCGGTGGAAGCCAGATCGCACAACAATCTGGGTCGCTCTCAGCTTCATCAAAGATAAGATTTCCATGCCTCTGCAGAAGCCCTGCATGACTGCCCGGCATTGCATCGATGGCAGCCCTGGAGCCGTCGTGAGGCAAGATTCCATTCTTTGCCGGAGTGTTGGCAAAGCTTGCATAGCACAGCTCGCCAGACAAATCTGTGGCAACTTGAACCTTCTTTGGTCCTTACTCGCCACACCTAAAGCTTGCCCAGGCGCTGCCTTTTAGAAGCTGTGCCCAACAGCCTGGGAATATGCAAACGTCGAGGTGGGGATCCACCGGGCGAATTGATGCGTGGCCTTGCTGTACCAATCTCAATCTCGCGGAAACGGCATTGTCGGACTGGCATCGGATTGTCGAAGCCCAGTTCGCTCTGGTTTTGGTCAGTCGTTGCTCGCTCTGGCTGAAGCTGTCCCACTCTGCTTGCCTCGGTACTGACTATCGACACATACCAAACTGAATTGCAGGAAAATGGGCAGATCCTCTGACAGATGATATTATTAGCAAGACCACAGCTTAGATCTCCAACGCAACCCGGCACCTGGTGCGCAGGCTCCGAAATCCTGCTCAGTTCATCATTGAGCTCTGACACCTGCAAAATGATGCTTGCACTCGCACATCGTGCTGACCTCAAGAAAGAGGTTGAAGGATACTGCTTCGATACTCAGGACCGTGCCTCTCTGAGAGTTTCTGCCAGTTTATTCTCCATGCAATCATTCTTTTTCTCCAATTCGTTGCATAGCTCCTGCAGGCAGAGTGTCATGTACTTGTCTACTTCTTGGACGGGCAAAGCTGATGGCTTAGTAGTCGGGGCGGGTAGCCAAACAGAGGCAGACAAACTGGACATCCTAGGTGGAAAGATGCTATTGACTTTTGTCCAGGATAATCACTGCCTTCATACCACCACTACACTTTGTCGCCTCCACCTGTCCCGTCTTGGTCGCCACCCTCCTTACTTGCCGCATCATCGTTAACACTAGTTAACACCCACCACCGTCACAACGGCTGCTACCTTATGCGTTCCTGCTTGGATACCGACCGCTGCTGCTAGACTGATGTGTAGCCCAGACCTCAGCCTCCATCAAACGAGCTTTGCCCGTGCGCTCGATGCATGCGAGACATTCCACTTCCTGAGCGCGGCGTTGTCCTTTCAGGCCGTGGAGATAATTTCGCTGATACGGTATAAGGTGAACTGTGAAAACCGTAGATTTGCAGATGGCTGGAAGAGTTGTTGAAAACTCGGAAATGAGCGTGATATTGGCATACGGCATACGTCTCAATCCCACGAGCCGGCTGGCATCACTTCACGGGTTGCGAAGACGTGTCCATGTCCGAGCTTCACACATATGACCGAAACGGATTTGGGTGGCGACTGCTGCAGACAGTACTCAGTAGTCGCAAGCACATGTCTAGATGAGAACTTCGGGAATGACAGCCGGCATCCTTCTTGCTGAAAGCGTAGCAGCTGCTGGTCTGTCCAAAAGGAAAGCCTGAGATCATAGTGCCAGAAGAGTTCCCGTTAAGAGGCTCGAGGAAGGAAAGGGAAGCTTCACAGTAATCGCACCACAAGCAAGGTTCCGCGGCTCCGCAGCAATTTCAACAGACTTGGCACAGACACCCGAGGCGCGCACGAGACCTCGAGGGCTCGGAGTACCTCCAAGCAGGAGACAGGCGGCCGAAGCACCGGAGCACCCTGCCGCGGACCTACGAAGCCCTGCCTCCGGCGGAGACATGCCCACGAGGCAGCTCTTCCCACGCCGTCGCAGGGAGGCACGAGACCTTGAGATGTGAGATCGGTACAATACGGTACAAGTAGCATCATTTTGCTCCCATTTCTTACTTTCTTAGAGGTAGACAGATCCATGCGCACCAGCTTCACCGGGTTGGTGCCGCCTCAGCGTCTCGGCTCTGAGTTTGCGGATTCCAAGACCAGAGCATCCCTCCCGTCCCTCCCCTGACCGGAGGCCAAGTCCGTGTCACACAAGCCGGGTGCTCGGCACACCGGGCAGGAGTCATGGCTCGCAAACCATCTGCGCGCATGCCTGAAGGTGACCCTTCACAGTACTAGCGCGATGCCCCCTAAAGAAACTAGGAGTTCAAATGCGCAAGCAGACAAGGACTTGCTGCTGACCAGGGCTCTCATTGCAGAACAGGTGGGAGCAGGCTGTAACCCATCCTTTGTCCAGCGGCTGCTCACAAGGCTTGCCGTCCTGCCAGAGCATGGTGATGCAGGAGTTGGAAATGCGCAAGCCGCTCACGTGGTTTGCAGGCATGTATGCAATTATGTTGCAAGCAGTGAAGGTGGCAAGAAAAGCCGCCTCCGCCCACGAAAGTATGCCTCTCACATGTACGGTGGGAGGTCCTTCTCCTGGTGATTGCAACGGAAGAGGAGGGAGGGATGCTCGGCGTGCTTGGATTCAGCACTCAAATCGGACCGCTGACTGCAAGGCAACTCCATGGCAAAGCGGCCCTAGACAACTTTGCTGTCCTTGAGCAACACGGCTACGGTGGTTGCGGTGCAGTCACAACGCGACGACCATGTTCTGATGCTGATCAAGATTGGTAAACTCTGTACACGATCATGCTCAAAGGCTAGGTGACGCTACGATCTTTGCGCGTGCTGTCCACAGACTGCGCCTGGATACTTCAGGCAGTCGAAGCGAGGCCCGCATTCGGAGAATCGTCCATCAACCTCTGCTGCAGATTAGGCGACCATTCACTCATGAAAGCGGGGGGGGGGACTCAGATACAAACCATCCGGAGAACCGGGAAACACTACGCAGGTCCCAACATTTGCCCAAAAGACGCGGTAATCCACTATGTACCACGGAATGCCTCAAATCCCTCACTCCAGCTTTCCAGGGAGGTGATGGAGCGCCAACAGCTTCACAGATGAGTTCCAACCCGGTACCCGGGCCCCGAACTCTCTGCGAGCAGAGGATAGGAGATCTACCCACAGATGCGTTGCTGCGACCTGCCATAGAGTTGCAGGCAGGGTCGTAAGCTGCGGGCTTCACAGAAAGATTTTGCTCGGCAGTCCACAGCCGTTGTCGATTAAGTCAATGCAGCTGCTCACAGATGGTGATCTGCCGCTTCCGTGGTTAATGTGGCTCTGCCAGAGATCTGCTACCGTCGTCAGATCGCACAAGAACACTCACAGCATTCCGAAAAGGCAAGCCCGGCCTCTTCCCATATTTCACTCTCGCCACCCCGAAAAGTAGCCAAGTTGCTACTTGTTTCAGAGTGAATGCACCTGCACTGCACAGGTTGGTAGGAGGTGGGGCCGAAAACGCAGGCTATTGCCGGGTTGCCACGAAGCTTCGCTTTTCTGGTGGACACCAAGAACTCGTTCAGCAGTGACCCTGCCAATCCAGTTTCAAACCATTGCCTGAGATAAGCCACGCCGTTGTGATGATTTTCGCTCACGGCAAACATCTCGCCGACCTGAAAGTGAAAGGGAAACTGGCTAGCGTTCAAGTCATGAAAAGGCAGCCTTCTACTTGATGTAGACGGGGTAAGTCAGAATCGTTCTACGGGATGCCACAAACTTCGGCGCTCTTTGCTTGCTTGCGTTGAAGCTTCCCGAGAAGTGTCTTTAACCAAGAGGCGTCGTGCGACTCGAAGAAAGCACCTGGGTCTGCCTGCCACTGAGCCTGCCGACAAGACGCTCCAGGGTTAATTGCCTGTATGCCTTAACAGACACAGCGCTTCAACTTTGACGGCTATACCCTGCTGACTTCCAACAACTCATGATACGCCAGCTACCCTCCAAATCTGAATGCCATTGCCATCTATGCATAGCCGTTGGCTGTTGATCCTCCGTTGGTACCTTCCCCTCCGCGGAGTCAAACTTTCCCTGCGTCTTAGACCCTACCTTTGTCACTAGTCTTCTCGACCCTGCTTGATCCTCCCGCAATGCCCTTCAGCAATCTTTAGCACAGACAAGAAGAGCAGGGCAAGCCACTGGGTTTTTCGGTCGTCCGTCTCTCTTCTTCAACTCAGCCAAATGAGGGAGGGGTCCACCAAGTTCGAGAGGATGAGGTCAAGGGGTGGTGTGGAAACAGACAGTAAGAAACGAAAGGCTCACAGCTTTCCACCGAGCCAGGACCCAGATGACCTGTCATTGCTTATGTTTCGGGAACCTTGAAAAAGGCAGGGTGCCTTTCAGGCCCGATCTAAAGTAAGATGGACTCCATGAACTGAAGGACCTGGACGTGACCTGCCTACCTGTCTGAGGCATGGTGTGCACAACAGGAAAGCGTTTTCTCTTTGCTCTTCCCGCTCCCGGAGAGCTCAGTCTCCGCGATGGCCGGAGACAAGATGTGACGGCCCAGCTAGCAGGAGCTGGACGGGATGGGATATGTCAGTCTCATCTGCATGCCGGCACTTAAAACTTGCTGGCTGAATAGACAACGCGGGGGCAAACTGGCACGCAAACCACTCGAGAATGGTTGACATACACACATCTTTCTGGTCTGCAGGCCAGTCAAGCCGAAGCAGGCTGACAGCGAGCACTGTGCAGGCACGGTCTATCATCTTGGGTGTCGAACCTCTGGCCTCTATGAATTCAATTCAACATCACACTTTTGCCTGCCTGAACGATCGTAGAGTGTGTGTGTGTGTGTGTCTCTGTGTGCGCGCGCGTGTGTGTGTGTGTGTGACTGTGTGTGACTGTGTGTGTGTGTGTGTGTCTGTCTGTGTCTGTGTCTGTGTCTGTGTGTGTGTGTGTGTCTGTGTGTGTGTGTGAGTGTCTGTGTGTCTGTGTGTCTCTGTGTGTGTGTGTGTGTGTGTCTGTGTGTCTGTGTGTGTGTGACGCAAGGGCGTGTTTCCCTGCAGACCTCTAAATGGTCCCGCCTGCATGCTGCTCACGGCAGCCACTGGTGAAACTTCGTTTCATTATCGCAGTGCTTGGTGACAAGCACGAACCCCGACACAGCAGAACGCTGGTTGGGTCAAGAGTTGCAGATGCCTGCGGGAGACTCCGACTGAGCATCGCTTCTAGAAGTCTAGAATCAAACAGGGTCTTCGCAACTTCGCATCTCCCACATCCTCTGCACTGCACAACGCATCATCGAGCTTGAACTGCTGCAACCTGTGCTTGTGACATCCAATGCAAGCAAGAGAACTGTCTCCATGAGTTGCGACAGGTACGAGCCGAAACCCGAAGCATTTAACGCCCTTCTATCTACACGCGGTGCGCAAGTCTCGGCTCTAAAGCTGCTCCAAGGGACAGAAGGCTTTCTCCGAAACGATGTGGCTTCCAAACAGAACGGGCACTCCGAGTTTGCCTGGCACATCTGCAACAGCTTCTGAGAGTCGAAAACCTGAAAAGGATCCAACACCTTCCTCAGCAACTAAGTAATTTCGAGCACCAGAACGCTTCAAAGGATCAGGAACTGTCGTGCGAGCTGAAAAACAGAGGCGGGCAGGCCCGTCGAAAGCAAGTCTTATGAAACACCGCTCCACACCTTGGCGGCGCTCTGCACAACACAACCGTCAATGTGCTCTTCCGGACCAACGCTCCACTCAGAGACGATTCACCGTGTGCTTGCAGCAAGCTCGCCGTGTACCGGCACTGCAAAAGCCGTTGCAGGCGACGGAATGGGTTTCGAGGAGTGTTTTGCAGATTGATAGCTTCACCAAGCTAGAAGGAAACCTGCTGTCTGCGGCCTATCAGTGGCTTGACGAGACGAGCATGGGTGTAGGGAGGTGTGAAAAATCCTAAGAGAGGTGGGTGGTTTGGAAACCGGATAGCAAAACCCGAATCGTTCAAAACCCAGGACTCGAAAACCCAAACAGAGCGCAAAAGCCGATCGACTCAGAAAGCTACAATTTGTTTCTGAAAGACTCAAATCCCGAAAAGAGTATGACGGGCGGTAAACCCAAATCTCGACACATAAGGGAGAGTCGTTTGGCAAACGCAAAGCCAAAGCCAACTCTAGTACGAGATGATGGCTGGCAAGCCCATCACCCGACAACGAGCAACTGGCTGCGTATGGGTGTCAAACCCAACACCCTGAAAAGGAGTGCTCCGGAAAACCACTGAAGCCCCTAGATTAAAGTCCGTCAAAAAATGGTGACTGGTTCGGACAATATCCTAAGCCCCGCGAGCCCCAACATGGGTGACTGAAAACCCTAAACCCTTGCCCTTAAACACACAAATCTCGCAGGGTAGGATGGGTGGCAAAGGCCATGTGGAAGGTCGGAGAACATTTCGGGCCTCCTCTTCCTCCTACCACTGCTGACTGGTGCGAGTAACTCTTCAGGACTTTCAACCGAGGTCCGTGCCGCTCGCATGAGTGAAGCTTCTCAACCTGCGGTGCCGGAGGACGACACATGATGATTGCCAAAAGATGACACGACTTCCTCGATACGTTGGAGCCGGTCTACAAGAAGGCGACTACGTAACACGGAGAGCTCCGGGCATGGTGGCATGCGATGCAGCACAGGTTTTGATTCAGGCACGAAGCTGAAGCAGAAGCTGCTACGCAACCGCGGCCCTCGGCGCCTCGAAGAGGTAAATCGGAGCTCCGGAACCACAAATGGGACAGGTCCGCGCACAGCCAGAGCCTCGGCCGAGGGAGGCTCCCTGCCTTCTGAGGGCTGCAGTAGAGGCTAGACTCGGCTAGACTATGAGTCAAAAGGGCGATAAGTACAACAGAAGCCAAGGCCGCGAAAGGAAGACGAAGGATCACTTCACGGCTTTCAGCCCACGACCCGGGCCAACGACCACCCTACCACCGCGTACCATTACTGCCCTTGGCCACCGCCACTGCTGCTAGCATTTTGCAAGAACTCTACTTTCACACAGCACCTGAAGAACTTGGTCCACCACATTGGGCGCAAGAATGGATATGGTCGGAGCAGACAGCAACGCAACCTCAGCATTCAGCATGGACTCGGGTTCCGATGCTGCGTCTAGTTGCATCAAGTGGCTGCAATCGCACCTCCTAGCTGGAAAGTTGTGGTTACCAGTCCAGATCTGGCAAAGAGCTATAGTACCTTAAACCCTCAACCCGCTTTCAAGGCTCTTTGATGCCGCATCCTCACTGTCTAGCAGCTCACGCATCATGACACAACTCCTCCGTCTCCGTGCCTGTACGCCAGATGCGCCGTGCCGCAGAAAGCCGTGCTAGCTCGGGTCCGCACGGGATACCTTCGTGTAGAGCGGACAGCTCCAGCCCTCCAGGTGGATGCGGATGAGGTCCTTCGAAATACCATCAGAAGGTCTTGTACATCGTGCGGCACCCGCGTACGGTCAATTTGCATTTGTTTATGGATCATTGCATTTCGACAAGGGTGTGTGATCACTCATGGATGCAGGCAGCTAGCCAGCTTTTTCCGTATCACAGCAAGAACTGTGGCTAACGCTCTGAGGGTTCGGTAAGATAGCCCGGAAACACAGGTGGAGGACATGCCAACAGATTTCGGGAGGTGGTAGGTGGGCGATGGTACGATCACCAAAGATGGGCGAGCGTCCAGTTAGCCGACCGACGGAATGGGACAACCAACCTGAATGGTCCTGCATGGCGTAGTACTCGTGGCCGCGGGCGATGTGGGCATCAAGCTGAATCAAGGCACGGTGCAGAGGAAGAGATCAAGTTGCAAGTCTCACAATGCATCTTGCAGGCCTGCGCCACAAAGCTGTGCATCTGGACTCCGAACTCGCAACCCTGCTCGGCCACAATGTCCTTTATCCTGCTTAGCTGCTGACCTGGACAAGATTTGAAGTTTCAATCCATTCTTCCTGTGCTCCCTCTGTTGTGTCACGCGTCTCTAAGGTCAGGGCGACAATTGTGGATCTCAGTCAAGATCTTTTGGGAAGACACCTGTCCGAAGTTCTTACGTGTGTAGAGGGAGCCTCCCCATGCAAGCTGTGCTGCAAGCAGTTATATTAGCCAGGTGACTCGGAGGAGTGCCAAAAAACAGGACAGAAGCTTGGGGGCAGGCTCGCCTTCGTCTGCCGGATGCTGGTGATGGGAACGAGGGGCTGGTTGACTTGGAGGTCCAAGTACTTCGCAACGGCTCTGCACACCTCACCCGCAGAGATTCGCGAGCCGGATACTGGCTAAAGAGGTGCTAAGCCCGTCTGTAAGCGGCTGGATGTACTTAGGATATCTTAGGATTGAGATGAAGCTACACAAGGTCCAAGCAAAGTCTCGCGAGCCGTGCTGGCCTTCTTGGGTTCGAAGTCCCAGCGCTGCGCCACTCGGGCAGGGATTACACGGATATCGCCATGGTGGCAGTCTGTGCAGAAATAGTAGCCCATGTAGTGGCAGTATCTGACACGAGAAGGCGTCGAATCGAAGTGAACCATCTGGGAACTCTCGCCTGGGCCCCTGGAAGAGCGAGATAGCAGGAAGTCTCCCTCTGCACCCAGGACACAGACCTCGTTGTCTGGACACCTGGCACAACAACAACAACAAGGACCCGAACGAATGCTGCTTCGCCGCAGCCTGCACTTCCTTCGGAAGCCGAGTGTGCATCTTCAACTTCCACTCCAAGTGGACCTCGGCCGCCAGCCGATTTTGGATGCCTTGTGTCATCACTGGCAAAGCTATTCGACCGTCTACGTGCTACATCTGTCACGCTCTGCGGCCGCGGCCCCGTGCGATGGAAAAAGTGTCGAAGGCTCACCCTGTCAAAAGCAAGGCAATGGAAAGGCGTCGCCTTCATCTCCCCAGCCGCAATCGCTTGCAGGAAAATTTGTGACCAAACAAGCAGGCCTTCACGGCCACCAGCAGCCAAAACCAAGAACTCCTGAACCCCGACACTTCCCCCTGCACAGCTGGGCCTGCAACGCGAGCAGGGACGGCGTTGACACCTGTGTAGAGCACTTCACCGAGACTTTCCACGAGCCAACCCGCAGCCACGTCTGCGTGCGCTCTTCGAACCCCTGCTCCGACAAAACTGGGAGAGCAGCCTCTCCAAACACGAGAAATCGACACGGACACGGGAGAAGTACTGTCCTCGCGGATCATTGTAGCTACAAGCATCGCCACAAAACCTAAATCTAAACGAAGTGCTGACACCAGGAATGCTGGATACCGAAAAACACCAGAGAAAAACGCAGCAATGCCGGAAAAAACACACCAAACACACCCACACACACACACACACACCCCAATGAGAAAAGGTGAAAAAAAAAAAACGAACCTCCCCTTCTTTTCCTTTCGCAATGAGAGGTTCCGCACACGAACGACGACCAAAACCGCCTTTACAACTGAGGAGTTGGCCGATCGCTGGGAGGAAGTCTCAGAGTCGCTGCCCGAGCCGTCCTTAGGACGTCATGCCATGGCCAGCCATGCGCCATGCAGCCATGCACCCCTTTTTGTGGAAGTACTTGGAGCGGCCCTATAGGGCTAGGACCACAAATGGGCTAAGAGAGGTGACAAGTCGGACTTTTGAGCTGAGCCCCGCACTCCCGAAAACGGAGACTCCAAATGCCTGACCATGAGTGAACAAATGAGTGAACAGGGTTTACAAGCATCAAATCACTAGTGGCCCTCACACCACAGCCAGCTCAGATGTGGTGATGCACTTTGCAAGTTGCTCATGTGGAACCCTCGGCTGCATTGAAGGGCTCTGCTTCTGTCTCCCTCGGGTGTAGCTTAGCGCTGCTCAGCGCTCCTGATCCCCCAAGAAGTCCCCTAACCAAGGTTCAGGCGCTGCTCTGGAAGAGCCTGGGTGCGAAGCGCCTGACTCCTCAGGTTCGGAAGGGACCAAGAGTTACGGCAGTTGGGCTTCGGGTTTTTGTCACCGGAGCTTGTCCCTGGGGCGCCGGGCCGATTTTGCGTCACTGGCTCCGCGTGACCGCGCGTCACCTGAGAAGCGAGGCATGCTATGGCATGGTCACAGCCCTTGAACCGAGGCCGGAGCTGCGGGCAAGCTTGGAGGATGCCACGGAAATGGAGGCCCTGGCGTAACGGTGACACAAGCGTCGCAGTGTTGCAAGGCCCTGAAAGCGATGTGCGGAGCTATGTTGAGCCTCATGAGTCTTCTGGCAGTGTCCTGTCGCGAGTCCCTCCAAAGCCCCTCGAGCGCGGCGATGGCATCGTCAGCCTTTCGAGGCTGGGCCGAGTCCCAAGCCGCACTTTTCGATGGTCAGTGATTCGGCCTCATCAGCCTCACCAGCCGATGCGCCTCGTTTCGTCTTTCAACAAGGCTTGCCGTGACGAGAGACACGCTCGAGCAACCAAGTCGCTGTGGTCGTCGAGTGGAAGGGTCGCTGTGACTGCTCGAAACCTGCAATGGGCCAGTTGGAGGAAGTGGCGCCCCTTTGCCAAAGACGCTCCTGCAGTCTGGCCTGCCGCTCGAGGAAGGCGAAGCCTCCGAGTAGAAACAAAGTCGCATAAAGTCGAGGAAGCGTCTGCGACGACCGCAAAACCGCCGGACCTGCATGGGAAGCGATCCGATCTCGGGCACCTCAGGCGAGGGGCGAGGCAGAAAGCTGTTAGCTTTGCAGAGAGAGTTTTGATACGTCTTTGAAGCAGCTTGGTAGCTGACAGATCTTCTCCCCAAGTACGATCTCTGTGCATCTCCCTGCCTTGCAGCAAGTAAACCTCTAATTCTCCGATTTCTGCAGCTTCCCATGTCTGCGCCTGGCCCTGCTCCCAGCATGGACAAGGTCACGCAAGCCAATCGCGACCTGCGTCGGAGCGCAGCGCATGGAAGCACCGCATGCAGGCTGCTTTTTTAACCAGAGCCTCCGGAACATCTTCCCTTGGCATAGACGCATTCAGCCCAAAGGCATCCTCGAGGGCAGCGGGAGGAAGACGAATTCATCATCAGCATCTGCGTGCATGCGAGAGCTGCACAAGCTTCTGAGTTAAAGCCCTACCGAAGCTTGAACGGAACCTGAACAATGCAAAAGCGCATTCGTTCGACAGGGCGCTGCGAGCTCGGCGCCGAGGTCCGCAGCTGAGCCGCCAAGCACAGAATGCTGGTTCTCCTGCAGTCATTCCGTCTCCACTGTGACATTGCGTGGAGTCTTGTGCCCTGTAACTCGACGGTGAGAGTATTCAGTATGGCCAACATCACCATCGACATCGCCATCATCATCATCATCATCGTCATGAAAGAGGGCATCCTACTTCAGGATGCTTCAGGCTCATGTCCTGTGATTGGGGCCCCGAAGTGTCTGAGACTCGTATAGGGCTCAATCGAGTGCGACAGTCTTCACTAGAAGAGCTTTCGCCGATCGAGCTTCTGAGTCATCCAGAAGGCACTTAACACGCGAACCATGATCATCATCACCATCATCCTCATCGTCAAGATAACCCTCCGCATCTGCGCCGCCAGCATGATCTGGACTCTAAGTCACGACCGGGACTCTGCCCTGCGAAAGCAGGTGCGTTCGATCCAGATCACAGGAGGGAAGGAACCCATTCCACGGCACGGAAGGCAGGGCGTGGGGATCGGGGAGTGGCATGTTGGGGGTGGTGGGAAGACTGGCGGAATGCCATCGTGCACACCATGAAGCACGGAACCGACATGGACTTAGATGGCCTGGACCCCCTCCGCCATCAAAGAACAACACCCGATCCATCAAGTAGCAGTAGCAGTCGCAGTAGGCAGTCGCAGTAGCAGTAGCAGCTTGCGTTCGAATCTCTTCTGTTGCTCATTCGTCTTAAGTTGATACTGATGCTGGTAATGTTGTCGCTGTTGTGGTGGCATTGTAAACTCGCGGCTATCTAACTCTGTCTTTTCGGTTTCGCAATTTGGGGCTTCAGAGGCCTCCCCCGCTACTTTCGAGGGCTTCTGTGTAGCGGCGTTGTTGATGAGTTTGGATGGACGCGGGACCGTACCGCAGAAAATTCGACAAGCAGCCGATGCTTCAACATCACGGCCTTCAGTAGGCCTGCGCCTTCGCAGGCAGGCTGGACGTCAGAGCCTGCGCTTCATGAGAATGCTGGGCAGAGGCGGCATCTTGGTCGGGCTGCAGTATCGAGACGCGAGTAAACTTGAAGGAGCAGGCATCCACTGTAGGTGTAACTGTAATTGCCGCCTTTCTGTTTTTCAGCATAACTCAATCACAGCGCACCTTCGACGGCATGGGCATCGAAGGGGCCTTCGTCATCCACCGGACACTCCGTTGCCATGTCCTGACAGGCACGGCTTGCTTGCCTGGAGCTGGAGATAGATTCTCGCTGCACCAAGACATATCATGACCATCGCGAGAAGGAGGAGGACGAGGATTTTTTTGCATGAAAGACGTGACGATGCCAAACATGAAGTAGAACCTTACCTACAGGATCCTGCAAGGGCTTCAGAAGCTTGTTGCAAGACACAAGCCTGTGTACAAACTGGCTCACCCGGCATCTCTGGCACCGGACTCGGCCGACGAGGATGAGGAGGAGGAGGGCGAGGAGGACCGTGACGACTGCAGCAACTAGCAACTGCCACTACGAGAAGGACGGCCCGCCGTTCCACTAAGTCTGCTGAAAGACCCATGGATCTGGGCCCATGCCCTGCAGATCTCGTTGTCAAACGAAACCCAGACTTGTGGGGCAGCTGCCGAAGGGCCCGGCGACACGACCAGCACCCGAGTACCCCCCATCTACCAGCACCAGCCAGCCACATGCCGGAGAAGCAGGCGTCCTCCAGGTCCAAAACGTTGAAGCAGCTGGTCAAGGCTTCCGAAAGCAGAGCCTGGAAGCACAGAATTGCAAAGACTCGCATCGAGCAGGGTGGGGTTTGGGTTTGAATTTATGCAATGCTCATCAGGGTCAAGACCATCGATGTCCTGACCCGGAGTCGCACGCCATGCAATCCCACCCGGCACGACCCAGGAATGCAACCCCCCGAGCCGTCCCCACTCCCCCCCTCAGCAGCCTTGGTGGGTTCTTCTGGATCAAGGTCAGGCCGGCTCCGGGTCTCTTGCGCCTGGAGCATCAATCACAGCTTCACAGCATCGACTGGGAATTTGCAAGTTCCGTGGGGTACCGCTGATCAGTCCGCACGGGCTTTTGAGGCTTTGGGGATTTGGCTTTTGGCGCTTCCACGCTTCGGACTTGTTCACAATTGTCTTGCAGCTGAGACGCCTCGAACTCCATCTGCCTCAGAAGCTCCTCCGTCTCGTTCAAGGCCAGGGCGGCCTCCGTTCATCACACTGTGCGAGGCTCAAGTAAGCCCTTTTTTCCGGAAAGTTAAGACACAAGCAAGTAGGTCATGTCCTAACAGCAGGACCTCCTCCAGCTTTTCAGCCGTGTTGTCTTGCACCATGTCCGCCGCATCAGGGCCATCAGCTGCCTGCAAAACGAGCACACAGACGTCAAATCCCTCTAGCTCTGCCCTCCTCGCACCACATTTGACACAAGCAAGGCTCGTCCCTGGGACCTGCTCAGCCAGAACCTTCTAGGTAGAACATGGCAGAACGACCTAACAACCAAGCCACATACCAGGACCTGCCACTGTCACGATTTATTAAGCAAGTCTCAGCTAATCGTAAACCTGAGCATTGCAGTGTTGTTTGGGCTTCCCTTCAGCCTGTGCAGCATCGGCCGCACCGGCACTTTCGGCTGCCGGGCCTTTCAACACTTGCGGAGTTCCCAGAGCCGATGCGGCAGAAAAAACTTCGCTTCGGGACTCTTGGCGTCCGGCTGTCGTCATCTTTCTTCTCCACGACCTTCTCAATGAACTTCCCCGGGCCTGGAACTTTGCAAAGCAGCGGCCGCGAGCCGAGACCTGAGAGGCGCGCAGGCCGCGCAGGCGCGCCTTCTTCGAGGCTCCGGTCCACGGCTCGACGCTTGCCTGGCTTAATTTAAGGGAAGGGACCCGACACTCGGTACTAGCAAGGTGCGCCCTGCGCCCATTCCGCTTATTCCACTCATTCTGCGCGGCCTGCCAGGAAGCCTGCCAACACGCTGGACAAGGAGCCCTTGCTTCTGAGGGCTCCCAGGTCCGTCTTTGGTAGCACCTGTCACGGGACCCGCTGGCACAAGGGCGCCAAGATGCGCCAAGCCGCAGACCTGCCTTGTCCGGGCGAGCTGCCGGCACGTGATCTTCCAGCTTCCCACTGCCCTGGCGACCCATGCGCACCCGCAAGCCTGAGCCCGACCCTCCAGCTCCCAGGGCCTGTTGGAGCCACAGAACCGGCTGGAGTCGAAGATTGTCCAAAGAGGCCCGAAGGCATTGCTGAGCCTGGGTCACAGAAGCATTCGTGAAGGATCAACGAGAACGAGTCCTGACCAAGTTCTAGGTCCTAGCTGACACAAGGCTGCGACCAAGTAAGGCGAGTCCGGATGAAAATTCACGGGCTCCAACCTCGCTGGCTGCGAGCACTCGTCAGGTCGGCACGCCCATGGCCACAGGACCAAGCACGGACTTCAACGGCGCATGGCCGGAGGAGCCGGAGCCGGAAGCGGAGCCCGGAGCCGCGAGTCCGAGTCTTTTTGCCCGAGGCTTCGGCGCCATGAGCGAGGAGACGAAGGCCAAGTGCAGCTCCTGCGATGAAAGTCTCGGCACCCCTCTGCCTCTGAAATGGCGCTAATTAACTCCAACACAGGGCTCCGCATGGCTCCGCCCTGCTCCGCCCGCGACTCGACTCCTCGTCCCGCATGATGGCGCAGTCGCAGTAGAAGTGGCTCACCTTGACGCACGGCCAGACTTGCGGCTCTGCTCGTTTTCGCCGGCTGAGCGCCGGGCTCTCCGCTCGTCCTCAAAGAGCTGACGCGCCTGCGATCCGACAGCAAAGCAAACACCAGCCGCCAAGCGGTGGCAACTTCTGTCGGAAACTTGAAGCTGAGCTGCGAGCGAAGCTGGCTACAGAATGACTCACACAGAGGTGTGCCACAAAGTCAAGGTCGTTGTTGAAAGAGCCTCCAAACATGATAGGGCAGCAGCTGCTTCACAGACGATCGCCATGCTGACCAGCTTGCAGTATACTGACATATTGCATCTTGACATCATACGATGCTGTGGTTGTAAATTATGCTGAATTGTACCAAATTCGGCTGCTGACCAGCGAGCAAAACTTGCCATTCAACTCTTACATCGTCAAGGCCAAATTCCTGTTCCACTCTGCTGTAGCCTACCAGTTTGGCCAGCACTCACACCTGTAAACTCCGGCACGACCAACAAGAACAGGAAGTCGTCGACCGCTGGGTTCGCACCGCGGAATCGCCGGCATCCCGCCAGGAGACAACTGCGCTGCGAAGCTGGGTTTACAAGAACCTCTTGCCGGCTGTTCGGGCACAGGTGAGAAAACCCCTTCGGTTCAGCAAGCAACTTCGTATCTCCACACACTAGCCAGCTAAAGGATAAGCTCGCAGTGACAGCGTTTTGAAGACGATGCTCAGGATGCAGGAATAGGGTACCATTCGTTGGCATCAGCACATTCAAGAAAGCTTCCTGCGGAAATGTTCAACTCTGGCATCGCTGACCATGGCCTGAGCGTTGTAATGTCCCTACCTAGTTATTTGTCAGCACGACTTTAATGCCCGAAGCAGAACCGACCATTGCAGAATCAAAATGACGATGACACAGGGTACTGCAAGGGCAGAGCGACGGCCTTGCCTGCGGATCAGTCTGAAGAGCTGCGAGCAGAGGCTGTGCGAGCAATTGACGCAGCTGGCCAGGGGCAGTCGCTAAAGCGGTGCCAGTTCTGGAACAGCTATCTGCTATGCTCGAGCAAGCCCTGAACATTTCCAGACATTGTTTGGCGCTTCAGACAAGATATTGCAGGGCCTGTTGCTGACCGTTGCTGTCAGGATCACTGTGCGCACAGCCTTCTGCAACTGCCTTGCAGAGCAGCTTCGGCAAGCGTGCATGAAAACCAGGGTCGACAGAGTGGGTTCGGCTTCGGAGTTTCACGTTCTCACAACAGAAGGCTGATCTGCCTCAGCAGATCAAACTCTGCCGTCCGCAGGGCCTCTTCTTGAGACACCTGACATAATGCCCAGGCCATTCCACACAAACAAGCAGCAACCGTCGCTTGCTTTTTCTTTCTTCGGGTGGGGTCTGCGGCCCCGTGCAAAACCACTGCTGAAAGAACTGAGGTTTGCATCATTGCCGATGCATGCGAGCCTTCTCGGACGAGGATGGCATGCCGCAGGATCTTCCTTTTGAAGACTCAGATAGCAGCATGACACCAGCAAGTGCCTGTGTACTTGCCGGGCGCAGACTGGAATGACTCTATTTGGGGGCCGCGCCTGGCGTCTCGGCTACATGCGTCGAAGGCTATGTCAAGCCATAACGGAGAAAGCTAAAGCCTCCTTAAGCGCGGAGTAGGTCGGTTTATCGGGGGAAAAGTTGGGAAGGCTACGAGGGATAGGCGAGAAAACTATGCCGTTCAAACACATACAGAGCCTATCAGGGCTGCAGCCTTTCGGCTTGAGCGGCCGGCGCCAAGGCTACTGCAAATCCATACCGTTCTTCAGACACAGGAGCTTGGTGTCGTGCCCACAGACGGCACGGAATCGTACTGAAAACTGCCAGGAAGTGGACATGTTTCCTTGGCCTCGTCTCGGTAGATGTACATGGTTGAGCCCTTGAGCACACACCACCTTGCAAGCTAACTGGCCAAGCTTCGGGGGGGGAACAAGGAGCAGTGCATTCACAAGTGCGGCCCCAGGCCTCCATCTCCACCAAAAGCCCCAAAAACGTTGCTGCAACGGGCCGGAGATCACAACCTGCATCGAATCGAAAAGGCGTTCAGGTCCCACAGTTCGATTTGGTGCTGTTGTTTGGTTCCCAACCAAAAACGGGTCCAGATAAACCCCCGCGCTCGTTGGAAATTTGTCGAGAGCCACCTCCCTAAAGAGTGCTGGTCTGCGCTAATGGCCTAGGGCTTTTGCTGTGGGGATGCGGCCTCTTCGTGTTTTGCATCATCCGAGTCGCACAAGTCGACAGAGGGGCGGCTAACCCGGCCCACCTGCAGAGCGTGTCAGGTTCGAAGGAAGCTACAGTGTCGGTTCATTGGGCAATCCTCGGATAGCTGTCGAAACAAAATCCTGACGAGTGTCCCTGCTGCTGTCTGGCGTGCCGGCCTGGGTCATTTCGCTCCCTGGCGCGGTATACCTCGTGGCGAAAACGGCGCAATCTACACTCTCACCGACACAGTTTTCGAGAAAGGTAGTAGCGGACATTAGCGGGCAGTCTGGGTTTGGCAACTGCCTCATGCTACCCGAACCCGGCGGAAGGCACTGTCCAATGCTCTATATTCCTCACAATTCGACAGGCCACGTTCGCCGCCGGAACTCCATAAACTCCTGTTTTGGAGATGGACCTCGTTCCAGACAAATTCAAGCTGCACAGCCCCTCCCCGTTACGGCACGCTATCCGAATTTCGTCGTGATGACGGCGAACGAAAGCATGGCATTATCTCAGTCCGACGATGTTCTTAGAACTCTGCCAGGCGGTTGCTTGATCTGCACGTCCTGTTCAGGTGTTGCAATCCGTGCGAGACGCACAGCAGGCACAAAGCAGTCTTGATCCTACTGTCACACCACACACGGCGGGTGGGGACACACTTAAATTGCTACGAACTGCTGTTCTACAATGCTATCGCAGGCGATGCCATGATTGATGTGTTCCAGAGTAGAACCTTGCAGTTCTAGCAGCCTTTGCAACAAAATGCGGAAACGTCGAAACCCAGCTGGTGGTCGCGTCAGCTGGGCAGTCCTCGCGGCATTTCTGTGGATCTGCAACCTCTGGCTCGACCTCCTGCACGAATCACAGAAGGCCCATTCACACCACGCCAGCCCTTAGCCCTGCACACTTTCATGCACTGCCATCCTTGGCTGTTTCAGCCAGGTCCCAGCACTAGGATTGAATCTCCTCTCTGTACACGGCGACTTCAGCAAAATCCCACAGGACCCAGGCACTAAGCCAAGTGCCTGAACGAGCAACTGGATCCTTGTGACTTTGGGGACTACACAAAAGCTGATAGTAGCCGACTGGGGCTCACCGTTGGAAGAAGACTTTGCTAACCAGCGGCATTCAGGAAAATACCAATGCAAGTGGAAGGGATATGTCCATGCAAGAGTCCATCCGCGGAATTCTCCCTTTTGGTTTACAGTTTGCAGGCTCGCCGCAGCACCGCTGAACATTCACGAACTTGCAATGCCACGTGTGCACACCCCCAGTCTCCAACCGAACCTCTGCTCACAAGTGGAAGCTGGCACACCGCCGTGCAAATCTGACTGTACGTACACGTACACGTCAGGCAGAGTTTGAATTACTACTTCAAGTCGAAGAGGAGGAGACGCGGGTGGTCCTCTGAATGTGGATCCTGCACCGCAGCCAGTGCTGCGGTCGGGGCGATCGCACAAGCCGCACGCAAGGGGGGCAGCTGGGCAGGCAACGCCCACTTCCGCAGCTCACCATTTCCTGCACTCCTCAGCTGTATGCTTGCTGCTCTGTCTGCTGAGAAAAGGAAGAGGTCCTCCCCTCCAGCATTGGGAAGGATGTCAAAGCCAATCAGACCCGGCAGTGGACGAGCCACAGACGTTCGGGCTGGGAAGTGAAGGATGCTGTTGTTCTTCCGAACATAGAAACCCTCGCCTGCCAAAGCAAAGCCAGAGATTCCTGGCAGCTCTGTAAAGGGGTTTATGGCTCCGTCTGGGTCGGGATTGCAGCTGTAAAGCTTTCCACTTGATCCAAGCACTGCAGGCCAACAACTTGATTCCGAGCACAAAACGGAAACATCCTTCACGTTCTCATCAAGAGGCAAAGCTGGACAATCGATACTTTCCACACCACCGCCGTCTGCCCCATGTGCAATCGCAAACACGCCGTCGTCGCTGGCAAGCCAGACTTGGCCATCTCGCGAGCACGTCATCGAACGCGCACTGAAAAAGGCATGCGATGCCCAGGTCACGTTCACCTCGGTCACGTCGACCTCTGAACCATTGCCAACCTCAACTGTCATAGCCTGGAAAGCTCCCAGCGCCAACCAAGCCCAGGGCAGACAAGCTACGAGATGGCTCTTGAGCAACAGTCTCTTCATAAACATGGCTGTCTGCATCGCTTTCTTCTCGCTCTCAAAAAGGAGCTGGCGAAGCATCGGCTCTGGCGACTCTCGTGGCTCCAGCCCGGCCTCGTCACGATCGATATCAGCCTGCTTGCTTCCATAGCCCTTGCCTCGCAATCGCCTTATCTTCTCGGGATGCGCCGGTGGCAAGCCACTTTGCTGGGGCAACTTGCACAAGGCTCGGAAAAGGAAAACCGCCAAGTAAGCATGAAGAGCTCCGTGAGCCAAATACCCTTGGATCAGCAGAACCTCATTCGCGCAGAGAGCACCGCTCATCACCAGAGCTGGTGCCAGAATCATAAGTAGTCTGAGCACCCAATGCTTAAGTTGGCGTCCTGGGTCGAAACACTCTTCGCCTGCGCCATGCTCCTTCCAGTCCGGCTCGGTCTTCACGGTCAGCAGCCGGCCAAGTTGACCCCCGAGGGCCAGGCTAGCGATCGTGGTGGTGACATACATGCCTAGTCGAGCCTGCAATGATCGGTTCATGTCGTGGCCAAACAAATAATACGAGAAGCTTTGCCATAAGGCAAACACGCCCACCATCATCGAATTGTGACTTGCCATGGAGCAAGAGTCCCAAAGCAGACTGTAACGTCCGATGACCTCATAAAAGCTGTTCTCAAGTCGCTCTCCTTCTCCCATCTCCTCGTCGCTCTCGGCACTGGTAGGGCTGCCTTCCCAGAAGCGGGTGGTCGTCCCACCCTTGCGAAGATACTCCACCTCTGTTGGCTCATTGAACTCGTGCATCATGCTCTCAAAGTGATCGTAGAAGTTCTCCTTTGCTGCGTTCGCCTCGGTGGCGCCTGCCTGCTTCTGCTTCCCTTTCTTCTCTGCAAGACGACGGGGCTCCATAACAAACGGGACGCGCAATGCTTCGCCCTTGCCTTCCCATTGGAGAAGCTTCGTGATGTAGTCAACATTGTAAGCATCGTGAACATCTGGCACGAACTTCAGAAGGAACCTACGACTTTCCGCACAAGCGATTGCTAGCCCAATGAAGCAGAAAAGGATTGAGCAGCCAAAGTACAGCATGCTGATAATCAGAATATGCAAATGCAAGAGAATCTGGTGCATTTCTATCCAGCTCGCCCTCACAAAGGAAACCTGTCGATATGCCGAACAAAAGCGTGTTCAGCACCCCTGTATTCTGCAATTTTCCCATGAAAATCGTCAAGAAATCGCGCATCTCTTCACGGACTGAAGCGATCCAATTGATGTGGTAGTTCTTCTCTTGGTACATTTGGTTCTGCTGCATAGCCACGGAGTCTGCAAACGTGTCTCGGTTATAGGAAAGGCTCGAGATGACAACCGCCAAAGCATTGAGCATGTTGTCATAGCTGTACCAGACCATGGCTCGCCGCGGCTTCAGGAGAGCATCTCGGCGTCGGAGACGAGGTTCCCAGCTTCGCAATCGCTACGGCGGCTACGGGCTACCCAGGCTTGCCCCAAACGTTGGTTGTGCAGCTTCCCAAGCTCTACGATGCAAAGCACTGGAACGGCGGCAAACCCAACACGCCCACCGAACACCTACCAGTAGGAAAGCCCTGGCTTTGGTCCCACCTCCTCTTCTTCTAAGAGATGACATCCATCTCCAGGCACCTGCAAAGGAGCTGGCTGCAGCTTCCCTTGCCGGCACTGAGCTCCGCCCAGCCTCTGCTTCTGGATGTCGCGATGCAGACCCCGATCTGGAGCGGCTGGCCTCCGCGACAGTTCAAGGCTTTCGGCTCTCCGAGAGTCCGGTGAATGTGCCATACTGCCCGACCTCGAACCGCGCAGTATCGCGGGTCAGCGGGGTCCCGGTGGCTGTGCTTCCTGGGCAGCCGTGGTAATGTAGCAATCTAAGCTCACACATCTCGTGCATCTTACTCCTGCAAGTGCGCCTCCATGCATCATTGAAGCCGTTTGCTGAACCGAGCCCCATGCCCAAGCTCAGCTGGTTCAAGAATTCCTCCGATCTCTTCACTTCATCCTGGCTGCATCTCCCACAGGTATTGAGCCCTTAAGCAACAAGGATGACAAGCATCGCGACCCCAGCATGGCCATCGCCTCCGTGTTTCCCTTCGGCTCGGGGAGTGGAGGCATGCAGCCCGAAAGGCCTCGAGGGGGGCACGTCCAGCGGCAAGCGAGAGAGAGCAAACTCCAAACTAACAGAATCCCCCAAAAAACAGCGATCCTTGCGATCGCATCATCTCGCACCAAAAATTCCGGCTGAGATCGCAGCTATCACCAGGCTTCAGGCCCAAAGGCTTCCCGGCGCAGGGCCGGACTCGAATCCTCGCAATGAGCAGGAATGTCGATCTCCTTGACAGCCTCTATATTTGCGTTCTACATCCTACGCAAGAAGCTCTAGGCAAAACATGTGCAGCATCAGTGGAAGCAGCGAAGCTTCAGGATCTACACAAGCACTTGGCATGCGAACACCGCTAGGTCCTTGTGCTCGAAGCCAGCAAAAACCAGTCACTTCAATACAACATCACGCTTGAGCCACGCATGCGAAGCACCACATGTCCAGAAGCTGCTTGCATCAGAGTCAGGCATGTGACGACCACTAGCAGCCGTGCTGACCTGTAAATGCACGTGTCGCAGCCCTGCAGCCATTGCGACTGCACTGATAGTGCACATGCTACAGGTTTCAATCGTGCTCTGGGATGGAGGCAGAATCCTTGCTTGCTCCCCACGTTTGGGAAGACACAAGAGCTGATTGAGGCTTTCCGGTGGCTTGATCGCATTTTGCAGCGCCATCTTTCCTGACTGCACGGACCTTCCGAAGTGTCCGAAGCCAGAAGCTTCTCGGGCACTTTGCCTGTCAGCCCCTTGCTCTCTAAGACGCTCGCAAGATGGCGGTGCAAAACCGGCGTCTTACACATGTCTTTGCACCTTCAGCAACTCACGTACAAGTAGCACAGTTACACAAATCATGGATGCGAGCTCTATGCAGTGAGCCCATGCAAGGCAACAAACTTTTGTCAGCTTCAGCTGGTCTGCACCCTCCAAAACTCGGCTCTTGCCTATCCATGCTCTTCTGCAAGGATCTTGCAAGCAGAAGCCGGTCATGCAAACTATATACACCGGATGCAGACTGGAGCACCGCATGCAAAACAAAACGAGCAAAACTTGAAGCTCTCCCAATGCTCGGCCCGTGGCCAGAAAAGAGAGGCAAGGTGCGTGTAGCTTAGATCTCTCTCAGCAAATCCAAGGAGAATCTATCGAAAAGACAGGAACGGCGTCCTGGAAACGAGAAAGCTTGCAAATAGTCTTCTCCCACTGTCCAAATGACGAAGCAGGTGTCGAATTCTTGCTACTCTCGGAGGGAAGCCGCAGACATGAGCGCCAGTGCTGTGCTCAGAAACGAAACGCTGAGAGCACAAAGCACTTTCTGAGTGCGGCTCTTTCCTGCAAGCTCCTTGAAGAGCACGACTCCGATCAGAACAGAGAGCAGCAAGCTCGAAGTTCCGAAAATGGAACCCACAGCTTTTGACACCACAGGCGTGCCAACAAAGAACATGCAGTGCCCTGTTCCAACGCAAGCCCCACAGAGTGCATCAAACAGCAATGCCTTCGGGCGCTTGCGACAGGCCTCGAGGTAGCCGCTCCACACTGCACAAGGCAGCTTCACGGCGCTGCGACATCCGCCTGAGAACCAAACGTAGGCACAAGCCAATGGGAAAATGGTGAGGAGCTTTCCCAGCATGAAGGCAACCATTTGGACATATGGAGACAATTGTCCGATTGTGGCGGCAGCCGTCTGCATGGGAGGATTGCATCCAAACATAAGCCCTCCCACAACTGGCAGCAAGAACCTGCGGCGATCCATATCAGACCCGGAGGCCAGACGCACTTTGGAAGCGCACGCTTCCACATCACTTGTCGTTCCCTGTTGGGGGGCTTCTTTGTGGGTATCCAACTTCGAGGCCGCATCGCAGAAGAGGCCGAGCAAGCAAGCCCCTAGGCCTGTGAAAAGGAGCTTGGCATCTGCCGTAGGCTCGATGGCATAGCTGGCCGCTGTTCCCCATAGCATAGAGATCCCAAAGCCGGTGGGAACTGCAATTGCCACACCCAACACATCAATAGCCTTGGCCAGGACGAACTCTGCGCAACAGATCACAACCCCGGACGAAACTGCAAGAAGAACTGCTGGAAGCCTTTCCGAGGTATCTTGCGCGACCATTTGTGGAAACTGCGTGCTGTCAAAGTTCGGAACACCGTCGGGGTTTGCCATTCCCAGCGTGAAGGAGAAGAACAGGCACAGCAAGTTCTGAGAGATGACGGCCGTTAACCCAAAGTGCTCATTGTCAGAGCCTCCCTTTTTCCTTAAGGGTGGCCAGACACCCCAGCAAAACCACATCAAAAACATCATCGGAAGAGCCACATCGCTCGACTCTGGAGCAAACATGGCGCAGAAACAAGGCCGTCCTGTGTGTCACTGTGACACTTGAGCCAGAAACAAGGCCTGCAGTAAAACCAAGTTTGAAGGATTGCACTTCGAAGATGCGGATGAAGAGCTTCTGGAGCACATCAGTCTCCGAGCAGCTCGGCACGCCACGTCTCGGACGAGGAACCAAAAAGCGGGTGTGCGATGTGTCTGTGCACTCTGGAGAAGCAGCCATCCGTGACAGCAGGCTGCCCAATGGGAAAAGGGCAGGCAGTTGCAGAATGTTGCAGAAACTGCCCGATGAGGCCAAACGCATGCAGTGCATGGCCGACTCCCAAAACGGTTTGTCTACGCGAAGATTGCTAGCTTTTCAGAGGCTACTGACCCTCCAACCCGACTTACATTATGACGAAATGTTGTGGCTGAGACGGAAAGCCTTCCGAAGCCAGGGTCTTGCTAAAGCAGCACTACTTACAGCAACTTTTTCTTGCACATTGAACGCAAGCCGTAAACCATGTGCACTGTGTGCCCGAGAGAGAGCAAGTGAGTTTCATCCATCTCACCAGCACGGGAAGATCGAGTTTTGCAGTGAAGTGCAGCGAATGGTCTGTGACGGCAACGCTCTGCCGGGCCCACCCCAGCCCCTGAAAGTTGGCATGAACTGTCCACCAGTACACTGATGTCCCTACCCCCTCAAGTGAGCAGTTGAGCCGTCGTCGTGGTCTGATTCTCAGGGTTGAAGGATTTCAGGATGTTATGGGGTCTGAATTTCACCGAACCAACCAGGAGGCATGAACTTTGGGCTTCTAATTTAGCGAGGCCGGGTATGGTTTAGGGCAGTTTAGGGTTGAGGGCTTGGCGTATCGGGGCAGGCTGTCGGACGCGAAAACACTAAACACGGTTTGCGGCTTTTTACCTCCTGCATTTAGAGGACGGGCATCCGAAAAAGCCATCTGAGCACCTGCTTGCCATCGCGAAGCCGCCGTCGGGGTTTAAGGGGTTCGGGGACTTCAACTCCAATTGCCTGAGGGGATGTTTAGCAAGTTCTGGAAGGCAAATCGGCTGCCAATAGACACGCCCACGGAGGAGCTGGTCTTCCGGCTGGATGTGACTGCGAAGTCGGGTGCGGAGCGCACGCATGCAAATCCTGCATGTTCCTCCAGCGACGTCTGCGTCGTGCTATCTGCTGAAGACAATCGGTGGGACAAACGGTGGCAGGGAGAATTGGCACTGCACCCAGTGCTCGCACTGGCCAGGTGGTGGTGGTGGCGAAGATGACGAGTGGGCCTTCCCGCTGTTGGCGCCGGAATGGCCCCGCAGCTGGACAACCAGATCAAACTTCTTCGGAACGTGCAGGTAGCCAAGAGGCTCAGCCCTCACGGGAGGATAATTGGCGAAGTACATAAGTCCCCCGCCGTACTAAGAGGTCAAGGGACATCAAGAGCTCCAGGTTCTATGAGTCCACGCCGGTATGCAAGCATGGCACCCTGAGGGTCAGAGCCATCGGGCAGAAGATTCCTTCAAGCTTGCGGCTCTTCCCACTCCTCTGTTTTCCTACATGAACAGCGTCAACCCATCAAAGAGTTTGATGGGTTGACACTGTTCATGTAGGAAAACTCTTTGAACCAGCAGAGACCGCGCATTCCAGTAGAGCTCTGTCCCGCAGGTACCACTGAAGAGTCGATCCTGCGGACTGCCAAGAAATGCAGTCTGGCCAAGTCATGTGTTGCCAATGCACGATGCCCACTGCTCCCGGGTTTAGACTTCGGGTTTGGCCTGGGATGGTGAGCTCTCTCGAAGCTTACAGTCTCATGTTTCGCCCGCCAGTGTCCCGCAGAACATGGAAGCAGCTGTGAGCTCGTTCGACTCATCCGTTGACGACCTGAACCGTTGGCGATGAAGCTCTTTGAAGCAGACCGGCTGGATTTGGCGTCGCCGCTCATGCAAGCTACTGCGACCCCTAGGTGTCAAGTGCTTGAGCTTGGCATGTTCACAGAGATGCTCAGCAGATCCCGACCAAGACTCTCTGCTCGCTGAGCTCCACTCGCAAGATAGAGGAGGTCGTTTTCCCTCAGGCTGGGCGCAGCCTTTATGCGCGCCACGCAAGGCCCACCAACCGTCTACCAGCTCTCACACTCTGCCGCCTTCAGCATGTATTTGGCCTGCTGACTGCCATATGAGTCTCTCATGCACTCTTTCACCATCTGTGCATGACCTTCGCTGCAAATTCAAGTCATGAGGGATGGAGATGAGAATGGAGATGAGGTATGTGGCATGCATATGCAGCAGCGTCAAGCAACAGAGCCTCAGCAAGTGAAGGGTCAAAGCGCAAGGCTGAGCTGGCATCCTTCGAGCAAGAAAGTCTACCTTCCCTCATCCTACCTTGCATTGCTGACCCTTTGCAGCTTTGATGTGGAAGGAACCCTCGCGGAGGTCTATGTAACACATGTCGCAGTTCTGCTTGCCCAGCGCACGACAGCTTGTCCTCCTTGGCCTGGTTCCACAGCTCCAATTCCAGGTGGGCTTGCGCACGGGACACATGCAAATGTGCACCTCGGTGTCACGAACTTCCATCCTACAACAAATGCTACGAAGGGCATGGTCTGATGCGCAGTTATTGCAGGCTTCTTCCAGAAAAGCCTGCAGGAACATGTTATTTAGTTGCATCATCAAACCCGCCTTAGTTAGCTGCTGGATCGGTACGTTGAACCCACGACTCAGCTCTTTGGTAACGGATCAGGCCGTGATGCGCTCCTGATCGGGGACCCCGAACATACAATCACGTGTCAGATCACGTGACCCCTAAACCCTAAACCCTTACCAGAAACCATGTCACGCCCCCTCGAATCCTATGCCGGCAGCTACCATCTCGCTAAATTATGTTGAACGCGACATCTATAGCCCAATAGACTACGATGAAACTGGCTCTGCACAGAGAGGATCACTGAGGAACCGCACGTAAAGAGCTAAGTCCAGGGAAATCGTTGCCCGGAAGCGGCTGCAAACCCGCCACAGCCTACTTCAGACGAGATCTTGGAAGGCTTCTCGAGGTAGTAGTGAGGCGGCACCTTGGAGGCATGGTCCAAGACGATCTTTGGGGCGTAGCCACGCGCTACCTCGGAAAACGGATGCGACCCACGCGATGTGTTCAAAAGTCGCAGGAACGCTCCAAAGGAACCAGGAGGGCTTCAGATATCAGGGATGAGAACTCACTACAAGTGTCATTATAGTTCTTAGGGCTGTGCATCTCTCGTCAGCACGGTGCAGAACTCACACAGGGCGTAAAGCCTGGTCTAGCTGAAGCCCAAACAAAGCACACAGACCGGATCGCGCAGACACGAGGTGAGTCGACAAGTCACAACGCAAACGAAAACGTCGTCGGACAGCTGCATCTACGAGTCCACCAGGAGCTGCAGGGAAAACGATTCTGGGCTTCTCCGGGCCTTGAGCTTCTCCCAACATCGAAAGTCTCCTGTTGAAATGCCAAGGGCTGCGCTCTGTCCCTGCACTGGCTGGCAAGTTCTGCTGCTGCCCCGAGCACCTTCGACGCCAGAACGCATCAGGTGGGATGTTTCTTCAGGCAGTATCGGATCTCCCGGCTCTCCGAGGAAGGTTGAGTGCCGTTGCTGTTCCATACCGCAACTCCCACCTCGATATGGTCCACGACTGGGGCTCCAGTCACCTGGCACCATGTGACACCAAGAGCTTAGGGGACTGCACAGCCTGTCTCAGACCTGCTTCTCGAACTTGTGGAGAAGGTCTGGCTCGCCCCCTCCGACAATCTCTTCATGCAGCCTGACAACATGTCTGAGATTGAAGGAAATCGCTGTTGTCACATGGAAGCAATGCCGTCTGATGCGAGTTCAGCTGATTCATGTCAAGCAGCCTTGAGAATTTCTTTGCATCTTCCACCATGGAGGAATAGTTCTGCTGCAGAAGGCTTGCCCTGCCCGGGCTGCCCAGGGTCACTTTCCGCTTGCGCTGGCATGCCCTAGGGGCCCAGGGGGGCCTTATTCGCTGTGCCCACGCCAGGCAGAGCAGCTCCAGTTGCCCGGGCTTGGCCTCCTCGAGACTGACTTGTCTTTTTGTACAAGAGGATATCTCTCCTTCGATTCGCCTGGTAGCGAAGGGGCCCTCGTCCACCTCCACTCAGCCGATCCTCCAGGCCTCCTCGGCAGACCAAACTCTCTGAATCCCAGAGCTCTGGAGAGCCTGCAATGCGGCACTCCACACTCAGCCATTGCTCGAAGCTACGGCAGCATTGCTCGGCGCGTTCGAAGGCAGCGGAAGGATCCCCTCGCTGAAGCAGAGCCTGCTGTGGTGTGTCTGGGCAACTTTCTGAACTGTGACATGTGTGGAGTCAAAGACCAGCACCTCGGAGTCGCTGAGCAGCTGGAGGTTTGCATCCTGAGGACTGATACTCTGGAAACGTTAGCAGTTGTTATATGCCAGTCGCAGCCCAGATCAGATTGTGTCATCGTCCTCCACTGAAGAACAAGTCCAGTTCCCAAACCTGCCAAACAAGCAAAGCGCTCGTCGAAGACATTTCAAGGCTGTTTTCAATCAGCCATGACACGAACCCCTCGTGCTTCCAAGTTGGGCGTGGCCAGCAGTGTCTCATTCGAAGCTTTCATGGCCTCGCATCTCGGGAATCGTCGCAAGCCCAGCCGTCCTGGCTCTGATCCCAGACAAAGCGCTTCTCCACGGAACTAACATGACCCACAGACTTGCCAGACAAGTCTCAAGAGCCTCAAGAGCTTACACACTTTGGCCTTCTTCTGGGCCCCTGCTCAGCCTGCTAAGTGTTAAAGCCACGTCCTGCACAGCTGCATCTACTAAAGCAACACCCCGCAGATCCATCCCTCCTCCACTGAGCATGTTCGTGTTCTAACACCCCCTATTCGTACGGCCCTGGATCCCAGCAAACCCAAGCCTGGCCCACGAACGCGCTCGTCTGGCCGCAGGTGCTGGCCTCGGGATGCGATGCCGATGCCGCCACCATTTCGTCTCTTGCCGGCGATTCAAAGGACCCTGCCGCGGGTGGCCCGCAAATAACACAGGCAGCGCTGTCTCTGTTTTCACAGAGCCAGCAGACGTCGCCGGTGCCTACATGCAAGTCTGATATCCGCAGAAACATACCAACCGACAGCAACCGAAGAAGCAGAGCCTGCCGCGCAAGTATCAGCCATGACAAAACCCTGGACAACACCCAATTTCATAATGAAACCTTTGTGGATAGCCTTTTGCTTGTTTGGGCTCTGTCCACATCCAGATGTACAGCAAGGAATGCTGCCTGCTGCTTTGGCCCATATCTGCATGTAGTGGCGGTACTGTAAAACATGGAAATAAGAAAAGTATGCTCCATGGCCTGAGTCAAGCTTTGTGGAGCCCAAAAGCAAATCGGGTAAGCAGACAACAAGGCGCGCTGCAGATCGTGGGATGGATCCACCCGTAGAGTTGAGCCGCTCAGCCGTTTTAAAGAGATGGAAGACTGGCGCCCGAGCACTCGGACGAGAGTGCCGGCCAAGGTCCGCGAGGCATCTTTGGCCGGCGGGAGCCATGCGGCGCGTGTCCGGGCTCACGCTGCCTTGAAGGCTTCGTTTTCAAAGATCATCGACGCGGTCTTAGGCGCGTGGCCAAGCTTTTTGACATAAACCTGATCAATCCAGTCTTGCAGGACTTCATCTGCCTTCATCTCCTCAAGAACTCGCAAGCCGTTCAGCAGGACCTGCTCCGAGACTGAATGCTTCAGACTTCAGGGATCTTTCCAAGACGTATATTTGTAGAAACTGCTGGCCTTCAGGGTAGTCCTCAAGGTGCTCTTCCCACCGATGTCATCGTTAATCCTGCGATCCTTAGGATCCTGGATCGTTGCCCACTCCTTGGTGCTGCACATTTTCATGCAGTTGGGGATAGACGCCACCATGTACTGCATGTTTTCCAGCGCCGTGAGAACCACGCCGGTTCTGAGGGTGCCTTTATTTAGGAGTGGCCCACCAGCAGAATGGTACGTGTCGATGAAGAGCTGCAAATACTCCTGTGCAGTCTTTAGGGTTTTCTTCCCCGCCGCAGATTCAGAAGCCTTGAAAGGAATGAGGGCAGAGACATGCATCGTCAGAGCATCGACACAAATCCGTCTCTCGCTCCGTTCTGTCGATTCACATCTTGCTATAGGATCCTTAAGGGAGGGTGGTTCAAGGGGCAAGCGTGCAAGGGATCCTTGGGGAACCTTACCCGAACCTTAGGGAGTACTGGGGGGAACTGAGTTTTCTATGTTATCTACCCCTATGGATACGATAATCTTGTACAGCATACTAAGTCACTAGGTACTGTCGCAATGGCTTGTCTTGGAGGACCTGTAGTCAAGCTAATCCTCACAGACCACATGTACGAGCCCGTCGAACCCCTTGTTTCGCACACGACTCTTTCCCTTCCGACGAAACGACACTGCCGATACCGGCACTGCAATCCAGAAAAAACACCCGAGCCTCCAAACATTCGGCCACCAGATCAAATTCAGCGCAGTTGAGTCCCCACCAGATACGGTGGTGCAGGGGGGCGGCTCCGAAGCCTTGCGTGCTGCGATCTGCTGCAGCTCATGCAGTCTTGGCTTGAAACTTAGCGCCTGCAGTCAACCCATCGTTATTTAAGAATTTACACTGACTGAAGTGCCGCCTCCAAGGTCGAAAATGCCGCAGTCGAGGCGGTCGTCATCATCTCGCCAGAAGTATGCGTTGTCAATGTTCAGGTTCTGATGTCCTAGCGCCACGAAGTCCGCATCCTTGAGCTTCCAGGACGTCAGCTCCTGTGAGTATGCGTTTGACGTCAGCATGGTGTTGAAGAACTTCTCCTGAAAGGCCTGCGTTGTTACATAGTCCGGATAAAGGAGCTTCGCCGTCTCTGAGAAGAACTTGATGGCAACCCGGAGTTGACCGGCAACTGCTTGCACTGGGAATCCAGATGCCTTCTCAGGCTGCACTGTGTAAAAAGCAGCATCTTGGTACATGAGATTTTGTCTCAGAAAATCCTCGGTGCCCATCTTGCCCGTTTTATGTGCTGCGGCAATATGGGCGTGTACTTTCATCAGGCGGCAGTAGTGCTCCTTGTCAGTTCCTCCCATCTCATGGTCTTTGCACTTGACGTAGGGGCCCTCAATCTGAAATCTGTCCAACGGCGGCATACCACTGAAAGCCACACGCTCCGTGATCAGGATAAAGTTTGAGGACTCATTGCTGATATCTCCAAAGTAGAACTTGGGAGTCTTCACAGGCATGGAAGCTTCTAGGAGACGATAAGCATTGATCTCGTAGAAGTCCATGGGTTGCTTGTTCACAGAACTGCTCAAGCGATCGCTGCTTGTCGCACCAGACAGTGGAAACGGAATCTTTGCGAACAGCTTGGTATGGAGGTCCGGTGTCTGCCACTTATACCTGCATTGCCAGCGTCGCTGAGCACGTCTACATCAACTTCATTCCACTGCACAGGCGACTCAAAGTGCCAGGAGCTCTGAGTCTTGTGAACATCAAGCTCTGAGGAGCAGACCTGACCTCGAAGAGGAACCTGTGATGCAGAAGCTGCGTTTCTCTCCCGACGTTTCACTCAGAAACAGCCCCTGCGGTGCCCTCCAAATTCATGGTGGCCATACTGCTAATCCAGGAGCTTGCCGGCATTGTTTCCTGCCGTGACCTCCAGGATGCAGGAGTCCGAACAGAACTATAAACTACTTAACGAACATGCTACATGTGAGACGGATATCTGGTAGAACATGTGCAGGCAGCATCAACCATGCCCCATATCCGACCGCAGTCAGACCACATACGAGGTTCCCACTCCCTCGCAAGCTAAGGGAAACGTGTGCAGGCACAGAATAAGTGATCAGGCTTTGCTTGCCATCGGATTCCGTAAGTTTGTCAGGCACAGGATGGAGTCTGATGCTGTAGCCCCCTCCACCTCCTGTTAGATACCGCTTCAAGGTCCCCTGCAGACAAGGTGACACACACACACACACTCTCCCTCTCAGCACAACGCAAACGGCCTTGACTTTCTTCTCCAGAAGAAGCTCCGTCACAGCGTTGTTTTCGTCGAGGGTTCCAGCCGCATGAAAAGCCTTTGGACGCTGCAATCCCACAAAACCTGCTTTAGATTCCATCGGTGACTGTGCAGCAGCTGTTCGGTATCATAGTACCGCAAGTCCTTTACACAGGTGGTCACTTCATGGCATGACAATCGTGCCTTGGTGAGCCATTGGGGGCCCATCTTCTCGAGTGTCTCCTCGGACCTCTCCAACCGCTCGCGGAGCGCGGCTTGCTAGGTCTGTCGACTTCGGTTGCTACTTTCGCTGGATCATCTGCAGCTCTCAGTTCAGTGCCAGGGGAACTCCAGGTGATAGGTCATGCCCTTGCACATCTTTTCGTGCTTTTGTTGAACCTGTGCGCCACCACACCGGTACCGTGTGCTGTGGAAGATGGCAAACTACTGCAATACAGCGACAGGAGGACAAGAAATGACTGCCAATCAATTCAATTTATCTGAGAACGTGAGAACCAGGCGGCTGACAAGCAAGCGACATTCCTGCCTGCTCGTGTCCGATCCTCTGCCAAGTAATTACCGGCCTGGCAAAGATCGCACTCTCACAGCCAACCCATACCGTTACTCATGGGGTAACGGATAAAACGTCAGGATTCCAAAGAAACATCACCTAGAAGGTGAAGGTTCCGCGTGTCTGCGCGGTGCCACCATCGACCAATGGCAAAATTATTTTGCTATGAAGGTCCGTCCTACATCGGCACCTCGCCAGCTCTTTGTGACAGCGTAGACGGATTCGCTCCTGCCATGAGTTCTGCGTACGGCTTGCGACCACAAGGCTTGTGTTTGGCTAGCTGCGGACAAACACTCGCTGCATCTTCAAGAACGTTCGACAGGGGGAAGCGTGTAAGCCTGGAAGGTCTGATCTGCAAACCAAAGTTCGCAGATCAAGCTTGACTCCTACTGGTGCAGAGACGTGATAAGATGACTTGCACACCAACAGACCGGACGTGCAAACCAGGCATGATTCCTGCAACGTGCAAGGGAGAGCCGCATAACGGGGAGGCCAGCACAGACCGGCAACATGCACTGCGGCTCGGAAACCCCACGTCGCAAATACGGCATGACGATCACCAGCGCAAGACCGCTCTGGCCAATGTCGTCGTTCAGCTGGATGGCGAGGCACTGCAACCGATCCAGCGATGCGCTGCCGGGCGGCCAGAACAGTCAAGTTTCTCAGTCTGGGCAGGAGACGGGTCCAAGTGCGGCAGCTGCACACGGCACAGAGTCGGCACAGAGAGAGCTTGGCATCATGAGCATTGAGCCCAAGCTGCACGTGCAGGGCACAAAGCCGGCGACGCTGCAAGTGGGGAAGTGGTGTGGCGGCAAGACCATGCAAGCGGCAATAGTCACCCGTGTCCTCAGAAGACAGTGCGTTCGCAGCTTCGATCGCCTTCAGCTCCTCGACACGGTCCTGCCGCGGGAAGCTAAACCTGGCTGAAGAGCTAAGTCCAGTACTTTGGCTTGCATGGTCAGCTGCGACTAGCAACACCAAGTTGCACCACTTTCCAAACATCCGCTCCTTCATGGTCAGATTGATCCTTGCCTCAGAGAGGGCTACGGCTAAGTCTACGTGATGCTGCTGCACAACTGCCCGTGCACTACTTCTTGTAGAGGCACCGACAGCTCTGTGGGCCAGCAACTTCTGATCCGCTGTGTTGATTTTCTGCCAGGAAACAGTGCCTGGAATCCATCAGCAAGGAGTGCTCACTTTTTTCGACCGACTAGAGTTTGCGGCTGGCTAAGCCAGGTACTCGTTTCCCCCAGGAATGTTGTAGTGCCATCTGCCTTTGCCACATTTGCGCTGTGCACAACAGCTTGCTGTTGTCTGCTCTCCTGCCTGGAAAATCACCGGCCCTCGCAGCGCATCAATCTGCACCTCAAGAGTTCTAATGAAGATGACACTAGGTCATCACCTTACCGCATGCCAGATCGCACTCTAGCCAAGCCGAACAGGAAACACGAAAGTCCACTACCTTCTCAAGGCATCCGTTAACATCCAGCTCGATGGTTCCACCTGCATAAGCACACTGCAATCATTGAGCAGCAATAGGGCGGCTCTAATCTCCGCACAGCCCTGTTGCACTCAGGAAAGATTGACGGTTGCAGCAGCACTCTCCCTGCACCCTCCACTGGAAAGACCCCACCATAGCTGCCCCGCCAGGTCAGATGCTTCGGCGGTGCCTGGAGCAGGCCCAGGAACCCACATGACAGGACAGCCCACGACTTTGTGCACAGCATTGCACAGCCCTGTGACCTTCGGATCCCTGATGCCATAGCAACGTTCACCGAAAGCTGCAGGAGCTCTGCCAAGGTAAGCTCCTGTTCGGAACGACAGAATGCTAGCGATTCCAGCAGTGACCAGGAAAGGACGGAGCAGTCTAAACGAGACAGGGCATTCTGCCTCCGCCTGCTCTCATGGAGCTGGGTCGTGCCACACATGTGAACCGTGCCTGTATATTCTATAATCGAAAATCTATAGGACTCCGCACTACTTAAATGCAAATGGCGTGCTTCTTCAACGTGGTTGCGGATGGCGTCCGCAGCCTCTGTTCTTCGCACTTGATCTCTGAAAACATTGCAGCATGCGCATCCTTGCCTGCGAACGCGATCACAATTCCAAGCTCTAACTGCACTTCATGCGTCGTTTGCAGCCATAAGTCACCTGGCATAGCCTGGGCTTCCCAGTGCATTGCGGTCCGACCACTTCGATTTCGCCCGCCCCAGCCGAGTCCACAAGCTCTTCGCTCTTTTTCCGCTCAGCAGCTGAGACAAAGGCTAAGTCACGGTGTCTGTTGGAGGGCACAAGGGTTTTTCTGTAACTCCGTTTCGGGCCTCTTGCCGCTGCAAGTTTCCGCTATCCCTCACACCTTCTTTCAAAACCCGTGTGGTTCCTCCGCTGCGCAGTTCGCTGGACACCAGCTTTGCGGGCATCACCTCCCTGCGATCTTGCGGAATTAAACCTGTTAAATAAAAGTTTTAGTAGACTCTAGACAACAAAACCAGCGCACTCAAACAGCTCAATTGATTGGTTCAGAAACATGGTCAGAGTCGGTCGAGCGACCGCAGGCCTCTGTGCTCTTAACAAGGCGAAGTGGAGAGATCATCGCTGTTTCTGTGCACTGCATGTGAGGGGCCAAGCGCCATGTGGATGCTATGCTCGCATGCTATGGAGACTCCAGTGGGCTCTCGCGTGTCGGAGTCAAAGCTCAGAGCACGGAACTCCGAAACACCAGACTACCTGCGAGAGCGCACTCGAATCCATCTGTGCAGACGAATTCCGTGCAGTTCGATGCAAAATTGAGGAAGCGTGCGTACGGATTTGGCACAGCTGTTTGCTGATCTCTATATTCACCGCCAGCCCTTCCCGGCGACACGAAGTCGGAAACTAGGAAGATCGGAAGCAGCCTGCGAATGGACAGGGTTTGAGCCCTGCCTTGGCCTCAGGCAGAGCACAAGGCAAAGTCTTAGCCTTAGCCGTTGGCTCATTTGGGTGCCAAGCTTAGGTTGTTGGCGTTGAGCAAGTTGAGCTGAGGTTCACAGCTCCAAAAGGAATCTCGCAGCCTTCTCCACTCTATGCTACAGGCTGTCACAAGTGCAAACAGGCCGCAATTCAGGGACATGCATTTGGTCTCTGTGCTAGTGTGGCGAACCCTGCAAAGGCTCATCTGTGGATGCTGTACTATCGGAGCTGTAATCCTTGAATGGCCCTTCCGTTAGAGTTCCGAAGGTCATCTGATTGAATATAGATGGCGATGTAGGAGAGTTTTGTGCGCGAAGCATCCGCATGAAGTCGTCGAAGGTTACTTCGCCGTCACCATCCACGTCCATCTTTTGGAAATACTGCCAGGCGCTCCGACAGTTCGGAACTTCGTGTAGGAGATCTGGATCTTGCAGGACGTGTTGCAAGTCGGGATACGTGATTCGATTGTCGCCATCCCTGTCGAAAGCTTTGAAAGCTCGCCAACACAACTGCTCGTTCCTGTGAAGGCGTTGGTCCATTGCGGCAGCAATGAACTCGGTGTACTCCAGTCGGCCGTCTTGGTTGTGATCCAGATTGTCCATGACCTCTGCCACGTTTAGCAACGGGCTGAGATCGACACTTTCTTGAAAACATGTCTGTAAATCCTCAAGTGTCACAAACCCGTCGCAGTCGCTGTCCAACCTCTGGAAAGTTTGGCGGATTTCTTCCTGCTCCTCATCGGTAAGTTGGTAGGCCGCCGCAGTCAAGGCAGCCTTTTTGAATCGGTTCTCGGTACTAAAGGCTTTCAAATTTGCCAGCAGATCTGGATGTAATGGCATCCCACTCGCTTCTGCAGGGCGCTGGAACCAGGGGTGATTCAGAGCATCTGCGGCGGTGATTCTTTTCTGCCGATCCTTGTTCAGACACTGCTCAATGAGATTTTTCGCCACGTCTGACACTGGAGACCAGCGAGTACCCCTCATCGAGAATTTGCCCCTCATTACTCTGTGCATGATTTCAGCATCTGACGAACCATGGAACGGTGGCGATCCACACAGCAGACAGTACATCATCACACCGCAGCTCCAGATGTCACAAGCACGGTCGTACTGCTGCTGCAAGACTTCGGGTGCAACGTAGAGGATGGTTCCGAAGGCTGTGTGCATGAAGTCTCCCGGTTCACAATGCTCGGCCAGTCCGAAATCGATCAGTTTCAGAGGATTCTTGTCTACAGGGGCGTCACGCTTCTGCAAGATAAAGTTCTCCTAGGCATGCTGACCACGAAACGTTTCGAGCATGCATGAACCGCTATCCCAGCCCTAAACATCGAACATAGCTGCCAATTTGGCGAAGCTGCTGGCTTCAAGTCCCGATGAACTATGTGCTTGTCGTGACAATGTGCCACCGCACCAAAAACCTGTCGCATGATGGTCTGGACCGCTGGCTCTGTAAGATGGCTTTCCTCGATTAAGCGGTCGAAGAGCTCTCCACCTTCGCACAGCTCCATCACAAGGTAGATGCTCACGCTGTCCTCGTATGCGGCATAAAGCCTCACAATGCTGGGATGATCCATCTCACGAAGCATCTCGATCTCCTTGCGGACGTCCTCCAGCGCGAAGGATTTTGCCTTGCCGAGCGGCTCAGCTAACTTAAGCATTGCGCCTTCTTGCTAGGGGTGGTGGACGGCGACCCTACCCGTCCAGGACGAAGAGACAAAACAAATACAATGGCACCTACAGCTCCATGTTGAGGTGAAAAACTTCTCCCAACTAGACAGCCTTGTCGATGCGCTTAACAGCCCGCATGGTGCCAAGCGATCGATCTCGGGCCTTGCGCACCGTGCCGAAAGCACCCTCGCCGAGAGTGGTGTCCTCAAGTTCGTAGCGGTCCCATATGCAGGCCTTCTGGGTGATGTCCGCTAGTGAAGTAGCATGGATGAGCCGTGATCTGACGCAGTCACTCTTCGTACGGTGCCGCTTTAATGGAAGCATCGGGCGGCTTTCCGACGAAGGAGACGACCAAGGCGAGCCCGAAGGGAGCGACGTCGAAGCATCGTCGAAAACCGACCCTTTGGGCACCTCAGTGGCGTACACATCCAAGCCCGGCTCCCCGAAGCGGAGATGAATCCGCCCGCCGGGTCCGGAGGGCAGGGGGGAAGGCCAGAAACGATTCTCGCCTCCCTCCCACTCGATATTGCCATTCCGTCCTTAGATCAATGTCACTGCGTGGCGCTGCAACGCATAGCCTATGCACTGAATTGCAGCTAACTTTTGGCTCCAAGCGTCGTTTCACTAGAAGCTTAAATTCCCCTGCGAGAGAGGCAGGGAGCTGCAGCTTCCATACTGGAAAGGACTCCTTCTGTGTGTAAAGCTTCAGAGCTCGTCCGACCTCCCAAGCGCCGAGAATCTCGTGCCCACCGCACAGGAAAAGCTCGTCGCCACAAGTCGTCCTTGAGCAAACAACCTCCAACGCACAAGGCGAATGCGCAGGCTGGCCAACCATGGTAATCAGGAGCACCCAATGGCCGGTCCAAGCTGCTCGAAATCTTGGCTCCGAAAAAAAAACCTGTCACAAACTTGCTTGTCTCTCGGGCTGGGCTGCTAGCATCTGCGGCGCAGCAGTTCCAAGAATGTTCTGTCAACCCTTGACGTGGGACTCGTGCGTGTGTGTTATTTTTCGTAGAAGCGAAGCTTGCATTGCTGCCCGTCGTAGTCCTAAGACTCTGAAGCCCCATGGCCGTGCTTGCTGGAGCCTGACAGTGTAAAGCACGGCTCAATCCACGCCAGCGACTCATCGAAGTCTTCCGATTCTTTTATAACGACTATTGTACGGTACTGCGCGAAAGCAGATGCCTCCCCAACCCACTTTCTTTGGCCAGAAGAAATGACTGCGCTTCCAGAAAATCTTGCCACACCCGGGCCGATGCAACGTGTTGTTGCACTTCGACAGCCGAATGAGAACGGAATGGAGGCTGGCAGCACTACTGAGCTACTGCATGCAGTCAGCATTTAGATGCCAATGCTGCTGCATGAACGCCCGACATCGTCTGAGCGACTAGAACCAGCATGCGAGACTGACGGCATACTGCCACTCCGAATGGGGCTTTAAGAGTCTGAGCGTTAACTAACTAATTTTTCGGACTCTGAGACAGCTCAGTGGAAAGGAGGGCACCCAATCCTTGGGAAGGCATCGCTCTGGTATAGATCGAAGATCGTGTCGGGGACTGTGGCTCCAGGACAGCTGTGGAGTGGAGCATATCCATAAATTCACTGAAGGAAACCAAGCCATTGCCTCAGCTGACACTAGAGCTTTTGTTCTCGCAGTTCTACCGGTCACAGTGCAGCCGCTAGCACAAAGTGCAAGCTTAAGAAACTTCAATCGTATCCCAGTAGCTGTCTTTGTCAGTGGACTCGAAGATTTTCGCAAGGCTCTGGCCTTCGATCATCTTGCTTAGCTCATCACCTCCTAGGACCTGCTGGAGCTCAGACATGGTGATCACGCCACTGTCATCCTTGTCAAAGACCTTGAACGCTCGCCAACAAAGCTCTTCGTTCCCCTGTAATTGCTCGTCCATGGCGGCGGCAATGAACTGAGTGTACTCAAGCCTGTTGATGCCGTCACGAGAAAAGTCGCCAAGAGCAGTGGCTTAAAAAAAAACATGATTGGCCAAGCGGCTTCCCTTCCGCATTAGCGATTCCTTTGAACACTTCAGATAGATTGGTGCCAGACCGCTCCAGAATCGGCCCGAGACCTTCTTGAACCTCCTGGAAGCTCAGATACCCATCGCCATTCTTGTCCATCTTCGTGAAGGTTTCTCGCAGCTCATGCCCTTCTTCTGCAGTAAGATTGTATGCCACGGCTACGAGCGCAGCTTTCTGGAATCGATTTGCTGCGCTGAAGGCTTTCAAGTTCTGCAACACCTCTGGGTCAAAGACTTTCGGGTCGGCTGCCGCTCCGCTTTTTTGGAACCACGAGTGTTCCAGGGCGCCGGTCGCCGTGATACGTTTGCCGGCGTCCATCTCCAAACAGCGGCCTATCAGATCCTTGGCCGGCGCAGATACCTGATCCCAAATAGGTCCATCCAAGCTGTACCGGCCACGCTTCACTTGCCTCAAGACTTCAAGGTCTGTCGGTGCTGTGAAGGGCAGCCGGCCGCAGTGCAAGCAGTACATAATCACGCCGCAGCTCCAGATGTCCACCTCCCGGCCGTACGGATGCCCCAGCATCTCGGGAGCGACATAGAACGGGGTGCCCACGGCGGTGTTGAGACTCTGGTCCTGCCTGCAGGAAGTTGCCAGGCCAAAGTCAATCAGCTTCAAGGGCGTCTGGTCGACTGCCCGCGCCTTCGACATCAGCACGTAGTTCTCGGGCTTCAGGTCCTAAGCTGAAAGAGCACGAGTCCAGTAAACGGCTCTCTGTAAAATCCTCGTCGGCAGCTGCTAACCGACACAGAACACAAACTGTCAAACTCCTACCCTGACCCCGCTGCCGCACCACTCTTGCTCTTGCAAAGCTCCTGTTCCAGATGGAACAGCAGAGAGGGCACTGGGAAACAAGTCACGTCTTTGTGAAGCGTGATTCCTGGACACTCTCTTGCTGCTTTGGGTCCACATCCCATGACATATTGTCATATTACTTCAACGAGCTCCACAGCATGCTATGGGCATATTTAGTATGGGGCAAAACACAAAGAGAAAGAAGCCAATTTCATCCCTGTGGCTCTGTGCACCACATCCCGAGCATGGCAGTAAGCGATCGACGAAAAGACTTGCCTCGGGATCTCCGGGATGAAGCGTGGAAAGGCAGGAGACATACTCATCACTTGCTGGTTTGCAACCGCTGCTATCAGTTCAACCTTGTCGAACCACTACAGTACAGGCTTAGAATAAGCATAAGCACGCCGCGCCTGTCAAACAAGGCACAAGGCATGCTTGAACACTCTACTGTAGAGACTCCGTTCTCTTCGGGAGAGCTCACAGCCCGAATTTTGTCAGACCTGGGAGCTGCTCGGTTTCGACCCATGGCTACGGATGCAGAAAGCAATGTCATCTCAGATTCTGGGGGCGAGAACTCGACGAGTCCATGGTTCATGATTGACTCCACACATGTTACAGGACACAGACATAGACAGAGACCCGAAACTACCCCCACTCGGTTTTTGTGGTTTCCAGTATGTACAGAGCGGGAGGGTCCAGCGATCCGAAAACAGCTGCTACATTGTGAAGGTGTGCTTCATGATCTTTCTCGCCACCGGCTCAGTCAAGAATTTTTCGTCGACCAATCGATCGAAGAGCTCGCCGCCCTCGCAAAGCTCCAGAACCAAATAGAGGCTACAGTGGTCTTCGTAAACCGCATAGAGTCTGACAATGTTCGGATGGTCCATGCGCTGAGTTAGCTGGAGCTCCTGCTTCACCTCATCCATGTGTGTCACACGTGACTTTAGAATGGTCTTCACGGCGCGCCATGCTCCGGTCTCCTTGTCACGGGCCTTGACGACGCGGCCGAAGCCACCTTCCCCGAGCAGAGCGGTTTCCAGCTCGAAGCGCTCTTCGATGTTCTTCCGAAACTTGTCCGAGTTTGCTACCAGGCGCTGCCTGATGTCCAGATGTGTTTTGGCCCTGTGGCCCTTTGGCACAGGTGGGGCCTTGCTGTCCTCGCCCATGTCGAACTTCACTCTCGAATATCCAGAGTCTTTTGCGACCTGCATGTCCTGATCGCCATATCTGAAACAGAGCTTCGAGCCAGTTGGGGCATCGGGCCAGGATCGGTTGTGAGGCACCGGCTCCCACTCGACCGAGCCGTCACGGCCTTTGCTCTTTCTGCAACGGCAACACAGCGGGTGCAGCATGTGCAGCGGAGAGTCGTCTGATGACGAGCTTGAACTCCGCTCCCGCCATCCCCGGCGGCAACTGGGCCGTCCACCTGCGCTTCTGACAACAAAAACATGCTGAGACACGCTCGGACCCGGCCTGGGCCAGAGCTTCGGGCCGGTTTTCAGCTCGAGCGCTTTTGCGGCTTCCCAGTCCCCGAGCTCAGGCCGAGAGCCAAGAAGGCAGACCTCCAAGGCGAAAAGCGCACGAGGTGAGTGCCCCCCCCCTTGCAGACCGGGTTTTGCGACTTTGACTTTGGCCGGTTGCTGTGATGTAAACACCGTGTAAAGGCACGGCAGTCAGCTGCGAGTACATGATGCTGGTTCAAGGGAAAAGGAATCCGATTTGCATGCATGCGGCGTGTGCTTGTGCGTGTGCGTGTGCGTGTGCTTGTGCGTGTGCGTGTGCGTGTGCGTGTGCGTGTGCGTGTGCGTGTGCGTGTGCGTGTGCGTGTGCGTGTGCGTGTGCGTGCTTGCGTGCTTGCGTGCTTGCGTGCTTGCGTGCTTGCGTGCTTGCGTGCTTGCGTGCTTGCGTGCTTGCGTGCGTGCTTGACATAAGTTTGCACGCGACATCACAACCATCGTATCCTGATCAACATTGGAAAGACTGTCAACGTGATTCGACTGGCGAATAATAAGACAATTTGTCGAGAACAGAGCGTGAGTGCTAGACATTTGAAATAAAAGGGTGGAGGCGTTGTTGGAGCCGGGGTGGGATATCCCGGATCGACAACAGCAGGTAAATGAGTCTACACCATTGCGTTAACCACACACAAAGCGAAGACCAAGTTGCGGCTGCTAGTTGCTACCCGTCCATGAGCGTGCTTGGAAGTGCTTGGCCACATATGACTCAACATCATAGAAGAGAGTGCATTATGCTTTTGGCATGGCAACCCTATGACTCCGTGTAGGTACTAGACTATTGGCACGACTCCTCATGATTGCATGCGGCAACAGGCAAGTTTGGTATGACAATGTATGAGTATGGGTGCTTGCACTTGTGTTTGCAAAAGGATAGAGTCTTGAATCGGACAGACTGTAATCGGAAGCAAAAGGCGAACGTCCAACGTCCAAAAACAGAATGTAGCAAAACACATAGAAGCCCTAGGCAACATTGCGGCGTGTGCAAGAACGCATTGCTGCCACTACACAACAGTCATTTTTAAGTGGCAAGCGCGCGATTTCCCTGTTCTTGGGCCATGGCATTTGGGACAGGTTTGAGAACCCAACCTATTCAAAGTAAACGAATCGGATTGGCGGGTAAGAGGCTCGTGAGAAGACGACCCTCGATCCCAAAGTATGCACTGGTAGCACGGGCGGTATCATCGTGCACGCGGGATGTTTTCCACATGCGAATCACACACAGCGCAGTAAATTCCGGTGTCGCCGGTGTCTGTGGATGGTGGAAAGTCGCTGAGAGTGGAATATAGTGAAATCAGTGGCAGCTGGGAAAGCCGTGCCTTGTCCCCATCCTGGGTAGAGGAGCACTCGGCCTCGACCCTCGTAGCCATGGCTGACGTTCTTGGCTGCACGTTACACAAACCCTGGCCGCTCAGGGCCGGGAAAATGCTGGTCTGGTGTAGGGCCGCTTCTGAGACAAACAGTGCGAGTGAAAACACGCTTTGGCGGAGGCCGTGTTGTTGCAGGCAGATACTTAATCCACGGCTTGCCGATCTGGTAAGCTTTTAGCATAAGGCTCAGGAACAGGAGACTACGCAGATACAAAGTGGCTGCAGGCAAGCTTTGAAGTCAGCTCGGCATAGTGCATACACAAACTCAGACAAGACAGAGACACGCTACACAAAGAAGCAAGTGCTGTTTTGGGCGAAGCACTGTACAATCGATACTGGGCGTGACCTCCGTGGCATAACACTCGGGACTAGACGAGGAGCGGAAGACCCCCCAAAAGAATCCGTGCATCCTTGGTCCTTTGAAAGAGACGGAGATCCCAACATCATCGGGCCTAAGACATGCTAGCAAACACTCAGTTGTCACCCATGAGACCATCGACGAAAATCACCTGACACAGCACATTGTTTCGCTTTGAAGTGCGCTTGCAGGTCTGCTGTCGCCAGCATGAACGTCGGGTTCACCCTTGGAAGTCCGAGCCCAGCTGCCTGGTCGCCGACGACCTCGCATTTAGCCTTCTTGTTGCCAATGCGGATCTGCAGAGTCACGGCACTGCAGCATCTGCTCAAGGGAAGTCCTTGCTCTCAGCGCCTCCACATCCAGGTCGGTATCGCTTTTGTCCTTAGATGCCTGCCCATGGTGTGTTGATGCTCGAACCCCTGATGTGGCAGGACACACATCGGGACCAGATTCGCTCAGGCTGACTACAACTACAATCTCTCTGACCCGCTCGTGAAAGGCAGCACAGATCTTTCGCACGTGTCGGCCTTCAAGGTGAAGACGCGGTTCGTCGCAGGACTGATCCTAGGCAGGCAAAGTGACAATCACGTCTGGACCCCAGGCCGGGCACCTGCCGGAAGGTTTTTGACAGGTAATCTTGGATACAGGCTGGACATGCAAAGCGGCGGCGTCATGCTTTTGCTTGTACTAGTATGTGAGGTCCGCACGTACCCTCTGCCATGGCACTGCGGAAGAGACGCGCCTGCAACAGGCTGCCAGTGGCACAATCGTCACCAGTGCTCTCGGCCAAAACACGAGCGAGCCCGAGGGAGCCACAGCAGCATTGCTATGACCCGGCTCGAAAATCTTCACTTGCACGGGCTCATCCGTGCAGTTTGATACCTCCGCCGCACTTCTCGAGGGTGCTTCGAAGAAGCTAGTTCTGCTGTTTCGATCCTGCTTCTCAGTCCAGCAGTGGAGGAAGCAAGATGTTCCGGGTCATGCGGCAATCAGTATCCGTTCAGGCACTTAGGTTTAACTTCCCGATGAGACCTGCTCATGCATGAGAAATGAAAATCGAAAAAGTGGTGGAAAGAAAGAGACAGAGTGCCGTGAAGTTGGCAGAACCTGCTCCCGTGCCTCCAGTGTCGTAGTCGGTTCGTCAGATTTCTGCTCGTCCAGGATGTCCGAGTTGTTGCTCGCAACTTCGCCTCCCAGCTTGGCTTGGAGGTCCTGCACGCTTCAGGATGTAGCTTGGAAAGCCCACGTGGATCCCTCTTGCACGTTTCGCGTCCTCATCCTCGCACTTCACGTCCGAAGTGACTCGGCTATCGCCCTGTGCCAGTGACGCTCTTCGAGCTCAGCGACTCCCTTTTCTTAGTTCCCGCCTCTCGGTCGCCGACGCGGAGGCCACAGTCAACACTGATGAAGCTGAAAACGCCTCCTTCTCGGAACGCGCAGTCCCCGACCTTAGCCCATTAGACACTGGAACCTGGGCCTCTTTGGGGTAGAGGACAGTTATTTGAGATTGGCCGTTGTCACAGGCCCCGCCGAGTTTCGGACCTTGGTATCGCCGTACGCAAAATGTCCTTTCCTGAGCGAGCTTGTCGAATCCGATGCTCCGATCCAGGCAAAAAAACAAGGCCAGTGCCAGCCCCAGTTCATGTCTGGCTTTGGTGGTAGAGGCACCACCTCAGGGATTTGGGGAGCACTCTGGGACGACACGCAAGGCTCCGAGGCTTTCACAATGTACTTATGGCCAGAAGCCAGTTCAAAGTCAGGGTTCTGTCTTTGGGCAGCATCACCGTACACACATTTTACTTACGTGGACATGGGGTCTCCTGTCGTCTATCCAACCTCCTGCACGGCCGCATAACACGCCAAAGGTGCATAAGCTTAGATGCTTGCGGCTAGTCTCTGCGGCGCGATGACCAAAGAGCTGTCGTCCTTCTTGCTGTAGCTGCCAAAGGCCTAGGTCTTTGGGCTGGCATGGGTTCATTAAGCACCAAGCTTGCCGGAGCGGCCTTTTTCATGACGTTGCCGAGCGGGTGATGGTCAAGCGCTTGAGTCCAATCCCCACCCGAGTCGTCCTGGCCGCTGATGTGGCTCACCAGCCTCGGCCTGGCCATGGAGACATTGTACGTTACTTCAGTGACTGCTTCACAGTTTCTGTTGTGGTTGCGACATGCTGCGACTGCAAGCCTTCAACGATCTTCATCGGCTATGCGGCAGAGCTTTTTCCTATTTCGGTTCCACTCCATGCAAATCAAGCCGAATGTTCTTGACCAGAATTCGTCGCACCGAGGCGTTGTGAACCAATACCTGGCATGAAGGGGCTGTGTCGTCGGAACACAAAGCAGAACTTCTCATGCATGTAAGCTAACTAGCTGATGCAGGACGAAGCAGAAAGACTTTCTGCGAGGCTGACACATCCTCGCTTCCGCTCGGCCGGCAAAGCCTCCCACTCGGCCAGCTTCGCTTTTGCCTGTGCGAAAGAAGCTTCGGTTGCAAATCTAGAATTACTGTCGCACAACTGCCGTCTTTTGTGCGTCCACTGACCAGCATTCTCAACTTGACCGACAGCTTGACTACTGCTTACTGGAACTAATGAAGAACGCAGTCACTGTCCCCGACATCCGCGTGGGCGCAACAAGAGCTCTTTCTGCTTGCAGCACGCAGCCAGTAATGAAACTCGCCAGAAAGCACAGCCGCGAGGCTATAATATTTTGCCTTGCAAAGGCCCAGCGTTTCGGCTTCTGCAACGTACGTGCAACATATCTACAACAGACTGTGCAAAGCAGCACAGCTCAAATTGAATAATCTTTTGATCCGGCAGAGGTCATGGAGGCCAGTGTAACGGGCATGCATGCTTCAGCAATGCTCAGTTTGCAGTATCTTTCTCCGTTAATGCCCTCCATCCCTCGACGCTCAGAGAAAAAGAACTACACAGGTGCAGTCATCCACGTAGGCCCCTGGCAGAGTCACTCACAATGTCGTGCTGCATGTTGATGCAACCCCTTGTAGCAACACGCCATCTTCGAAGCGCCTCTTTGTTGCCATACCCTGCGGGCCGAAGCGGTCACGACTTCCGCAGCCTTCGAGAGAAGCTAAGTTTAAAGGGCCAGCACAAGGAAAAAACTCCGAGCTGTCTTGATGCTACTTGATAGCTACAGCTGCGCATCAACACGGGTGGCCGGCCTTCGTCGCTTCCTGGCTGTCGATGAACTGCCGGCAGCAATGCAGAACCTCATTCTTAATGAAGACCAAGGGAGCATGCAGTGCGTGAACCACAGTGTTCGGAGACTGTCGAATGTAAGCTATAGATCGAGCCTTCGGTTCAAAAGAGTTGTTATCTCCCCACAACTCCGTGCTGGCTGTGCGTGCTTTGGCTCCGCTCCTGCTCCCGGTTCGTTGACTCGGAGCCCTGAATTCAGGACTTCAGTCAGTTAAAGGTGTCCGGCCTCGGCATCGGACAGCACATCAAAGACTCCGTCCGAGCCAACCACCAAGACCACATCCTCCTGGCGACACTGCCACAGGCTGCAAGATCCCGCTGCTCCGGCCGGCCGAGGTGCCAAACAGTATGCCCGCGTCCCTTGCGTGGTTTCGCAGATGGTCCTTCGGCACCAGCATCATTTCGTGCGCAGTTGCCTCGGGCGATAAGCCGCAGGCCTTGCCTCAGAAGCATCTTACAGCATCTCACAGCATCAATTACCGTTTCGGGCCCCCTTTGGGCCCCGGCCCAGGGTGTCACCCAGTCCGCGGCTCATGGCCAGGCCGGGCGCTTGGCCCTTGAGCCGATGCCAGAGCCTGCAGCTTCCAGGGCTTCTGCACCCGGTCACCGCTTCCGACACCTACGCACGCGCACATGTCTGGCCGTATACCGATGCCTAATCATCATATGCATTTGTATGCACAATTGCCGAGCACATCATCGCACTGGCTTCTGTTTGGAAACTTCAGGTAAGTATACGGGTCAAGGCCCTTGTTCTACTGACGCAAGACATACGTAATAAAACGAACTAGGAATGAACAGCAGCATTAACAAAGCTGCAGTTTACTGGAAAACGGTCCTGTATTCCGATGCGCTCTCTACTCATACTAGTAACAACAAGACTACGAATAAAAGTGTCTTATTGGTGTTTTAGTGGTAAGATCATTATGGTCCTTATGGTTAGTAGTAGTCGTCGTCGTAGTAGTAGTAGTAGTAGTAGTAGTAGCAGCAGCAGGAGTAGTAGTAGTAGTAGTAGTAGTAGTACTACTACTACTACTACTAGTAGTGGTAACAGTAGTGGTAGCAGTGGTAGTGGTAGTGGTGGTAGAAATAGAAGTAGAACTAGAAGTAGAAGTAGAAGTAGGAGTAGTGGTAGTAGTAGTAGTAGTAGTAGTAGTAGTAGTAGTAGTAGTGGCAGCAGCATCAGCAGTAGCAGCAGCAGCAGCAGTAGTCAGTAGTAGTAGCAGTAGTAGTAGCAGCAAGAATGGCAATGATGATGGTGATGGTCATGATGATTCTGATGACGATGATGATGATGATGATGATGGTGGTGATGATCCTCATGGTGGTGGTGATGATGATGACGACGACTGTGATGATGGCATGATCAACAACCGAGAAAGAAGCACACAGGGAGCATTTCCGTGCCTCTATGCACTGTTGTGACCGTACTCATAACCCACTTCATACCCACTTCTGGATGTATGCTGTTTCCCTCCAGACTTTCGAAAACCCCTCCACAAGCTGGGCGTCCGGCCTGGGAGGCCCCAGCATGGCGGGATCCACGCCCGCTGGCCCCGGCATCTTCTGCCTGACTTTCTCACAGCTCGAACCTTCTTTCCTCCACCTCAAGATCTAAGCCCGCGGCACGCGACCGCCAGCCGCCACGAGCCGGGCGGCCTACAGTCTGAGCCGTCAGAGCTCGCACTGATGCAAGAGCGCCCGGGTACGAATTCTCTGCCATGCCTCCGCAGCCTCCCCTGGCCGGTGGTCTTCTGTGAGCCGAACTGTGGTCCAGGTGGGCCTGGATGTCTTGAGATTGCAGACCCCGAGGCTGCGGGCAAGCTGACCCGGAATGCAGCAGGAACGTGATGTTTGCGTCGCAACACTCAGCGCCGGGCGACCCGGTGCCGTTGGTGGGTCGCACACGACCCAAGACCTGAAAAACATGTCTCGTGCCAAAACTTCAGATCGACGCAGAAGAATGAATGTCGCAATGAAGCGAAAGGATGAAAGAAGCTCGGCATGCTTCGTGGGGAACGCCTGCATCACGAGCTCTATGAGTACACAGACTGACCGATAAGGCCAGCGCTGCACGGCAGTCCCCCAGGTGAGCCAAGGCCAGCCTAAAATGTTCGAAGCGTGCTGATGAGGTGCAGCTGGAAAAAAGCAAGTTCGTCATGTGACAAACGAGAGAAACAGGGAGTCAGACGGGACGCATGACTCGCAAACCAGGCAGGAGGTCAACCCTGCTGCGCGCCTGCGCTCGGCGTGGCCCAAGCCCTCGACCCTCAGCACGGCACCTGATACATCGCGAGCCCCATGTTAATCCATAGTTGCACTCACTTTTTCGCCTGCACGAAAAACCTCAAGGCTTCTTGGATCGGCCTAAGCTCCGCACAGGTCGCGCCGGAGAGCTCTGCTTCCACCTCAGCCTTGCGGTCACAAACTCAGGGCTCTGGCCACGAGGAAACGTGCTCCCCTATGGAAATTCCGCAATGACGGAGTGCCTTCTCGTGGATCAACAGATCCGCATCCACGGTCATGATGACCTGCGCATGAGGACGTCTGAAAACGCCGACTACGAAGGGCCGTCATCCGCGAGGATGCTAGCACGCCCTAGTGATTGAAGCTTGACGTTGGTAGCTACTTGCAATGGACGGGGAGGGATCCCAAGACCTTTTGGAAGCCGAGGCCGTCCGACTTCTGGACCTACTCGGATGGCTGAACCCTGGAACCGGGCTCCAGCTTCATCCCGACTGCTTTGATCCATACCCCGACATGGAAGCCAACCCTCCCTGCTGTTCCTTTTGGATCCGCCCCTTAAGCGAAGAGCCTCGGCCAGTTCTTCTGACATGCCCGCGCCGCCCTTGAGCCTCGGAGCAAACACCAAAGGCCCTTAGAGCAGAAGCGAACCGAAGCAGCCAACTAGAAGAGACTTGAAAAGCCCGAACAAACCAACATAAGAAACAAACAACCCAAACCGATAGCAGAAAAGACTGGCGCAAGCTTGGCTGCAGATGGCTGCAGCAAAAATCGGAGAGAGAAGTGTGAAAGGTGTTCTCTGAAACACAACAAGGATGCCAACAATTCCGCAACAAAAATACGAACACTCTGCATGCATAAACAACAGGTGGTGACAAATGGAAGAAGCAGAACAGCAGAAGAGTCATGATGTCGCACAGAAGAGGAGCAAAACAAAAGTTCTCACACGCTGTGCAAAGCAACTGCATGTTCGGCTTCTCGTGCCGTGTGCAGGCTATGATGAGCTGAGAATGCTTTCGGTCATGTTGACATTTACACTTCGAGCAGCTTCGATGCCCTCATACTTCTTCTAGCAGTGATCATGTTTACAACACACCCGAGTCCTGTGTAGGGCTAGATCTCACGCACTCTCAAGGCCTAAAACAATCAATCTTGACCAGACCTTCTTGCCAACTAGAGGTTCTTCTTCTCACGATATTTACGAAAGCGATCAGTAGCAACATGAAGCCATCCACGCCAAGGTGAACTTGAGCCACCATGCTTTGGTGGGTGGTCGCAAAGCGATCACAAGCAACGCCTTGTCCATTAGGCTACCGGGTCTTAACCGTTCACTCATGGCACAGCACTGCCCCGTGTTCCGAGCTTACATTATGCACGCCCGAGGTTGCAGCTCCGCAAGCGCTTTGGCGATTCCGTCTCGCGCGGCAGCAGATAAGGTCTGACAGAAAACTTGCTGGCCAGAGGTAGCATCTCAATCGGCATATCATCATATCATGCCGGACCTCTTGATTATAATACGACTGATTCCCGGAGGTAGAGGTGGCATGTGGCTGTGGTGGCAACGAGCCTGGCCGCGCTTCCCGTGACCTGAGAGAAGCTTGCGAAAGGCGAGCTGAGGATGCCCCACTAGATGGACATGGGTGGTTGTCAAAATTATGGTCCCTTTTTGGGTCCTTATTATAATACGGCACCTATTATTTAGGGTACCCCAAAAGGGACCATAATTTTGACAACTACCCACATAAATTCTGAGTCGCCGCACCATCCACCACAGCTATGGTAGCCACACTTCCATCCACCTGCGCGTGGAAGGTGTCCTGGCACTGGAGCTTCGCTGCATCTATGTGGTAACCCTGCAAGGCTTCACAGGTAGTCCTGGTTCTCTTTGGGCTCACCATTACGCCTGACAATGCATGTCAACAAGCAGATTTATCGGCCTGTTTGCATGTTGTTCCTGAGTCTCAGACAGCCCGGCCACAGAGGAGCCGCCGAGAAAGACCACCTACAAGCGAATGGGGGGCCCCAATCCTCGCAACCCGACATCCCGTCGAATCCCGATGCGTTGCCTCTGATTCCGCAGGGGCAGACTCGGATTTGGGCCTTGGACCATGGAATCTCGTCGCGGTGCTCTGGCTGGCTTGGGTGGGCGCTCTGGGTTCCCCGGGCAGCACGTTCTTTGCAACAGAACTGCGAAATCGCGCCACATGCTCCTCCGTCCTTGGGGGAGAGCCGGTCACCAGAAGTCCCCTTGCGACTCAGATGGGTTGTGTAAGTGCCTGGCTCCACGTTCCAAGGCTGCAGCAGCGCCAATGTCAGTGAAACATCCTGTTCTTGAGCAGACACGAACGGGCCGAGATGTACTCCCACTGCCGCACCGGTGAAGCGCTCAACCGGGAAGCAGGCATGGATGGTGCTGGAGGACAGGCGAGTACTGGCCTGAACACTGAGCTCAAGCCGCATCATCTCTGCTGTCATCAGTATCGCCTTGCCACCATCCAGGGCGGCTGCTGCTGCCGATGCAACCTGGCAGTTCTACACAACGACACAAGACTCAAGCAAGCCGGCACCGCACTTCAAGTGCCAGACCCGGCCATAGATGGGGTGGCAGCCGAGTGTGCCACTCAGAGCCTGCGTTTCGGGCCATTGCGCTCATCAGCTCCGTACACTTTAACTTGCACTCCAAGAGCCCGGCTGCCCCCAGTGCTACTCGGCTCAGCTTCGTCAGCTGCTCAGCCTGGCGATCGTGATCGTGCGACATTGGAGGATCTTCTACCGGTCAGGCCAGGCAATGCAGGACTGCTCAGTGCTGACGCTTTTCCATCACGTCCCGCAGCGAGGAGATCCCAGTGGCAGCAATTTCATCAAACAGATCCTGCAAGGATCCAACTGTATGCTTTCTGTGACTGCGTCCCACCACATTTTGCCTCACTGTGTGTCAGTTTGTCCTTCGCTGGCCGAGGGCTTGAAGACGTTCGGAGACATGCCCGAAGCCTCGCCTGGTGGAGAATCACATCCTCGGCTCCACAAGCAAGGCCGTCGAGGCACACTGCAAGAAGACAAAAAACAACGAACAAACGCAACAGGAAAATAAAGAGCTTTGTGATGGCCGGGCCGGGACGCCAGCTCCAGCTGGCTCCGGGCCATCTCGGCGGCGAGGTCCAGCACGTGCTGCCACCGGCTCGCGCGGTCGCAGGCAAAGGTCGCGGCACTGCGGGTGATGCCGTCCGACGTCTGACCACGGCCGGACAAGTCCGTCAAGATCTTCAAGACCTGCAGGGTCGTTTGACGACGGGCGGCCATGAAAGCTTCATTGGGCAACAAGTCCGAGGTGGAGCCTGTGACCACGCAGATCGTTTCTCACAGGCACTCGCAGCAGCATTCCAGGAAATGACGTCCGGCGAAAGGCGCAGCATGTGAATGGCACGCAGGCCCCACACAGCGAGCTGCCACTGCAGGGCACCCTCGCAGGCACTGATGGCAGCATTGCAGGTTACGCAGCTCGGTGGCAGCTGCGTTGAGAACATCCTGACACTCGTTGAGGAAGGGCAAAAGACCGTTCTAGCAGTCTTCAACACGTCCACACAGACATGCTTTGAAAAACGCACCAAAAGAGGCGCTCTTGTTCCACCAAGCAGCTCGGACAGCATGGACACTGCAAGCATCCAGTGTCCAATCTTCTCGCAGGAGCTCACCAATGCACTCCTGCGGTTCCATGTCCACTTGCTGTTGCTCCGTGCGCGATCACTCACGTAACGTGCTAATCAAGGAATGGCAGCTTGGCTTCACCCCTCTGTCCATGCAACGGCGTTGAGCTCAAGCAATCGCTCGGCGGCCAGCGCGAAAACTTCAAGGGCTTCTCGCCACTGCTTGCCCTTCTCGCAAGCACTGATGCTGGCAGCGGATGCGAAGATACTGCGATCCAGGCCGGACGTCGCCAAAATCTCTGTGATGTCCAGAGAAACTTCCCATCGGCGCGCCTTCTCACAGGCGCTGATCGCGGCATGATAGCCTGGCCAAGCAGGTGGATCAGCAGAAGATGGAACGGCCTCTGCGCTCGCAGCATGGTCTAAGGGCAGGACCATTCTCGGCTAGACGCAGCAGTGAGCCGCCTGCCATTTCGGGCCCGGGCTTGATCCCCGTAGGTTCCACAAGTTCATCACCTTCCTATGAGGCCAGGTTGACGAGTTGACGACTCAAACACATAATTGCACCCGCCGACAGGAAGACTGAAAAAGCTGTTTACGATTCCCTCTGGAGTTGCTTTTCGCAGGGTGCCTGCTGCACGCAGTAGTTGTAGAGCTGGAAGCCAGCGAGAAGACTTCAGGGGAGACGATGGCACATGTTGCAGCATCAGCCCCACTAGTAGCAGACAGACGAGTTGAGTGACAGACAAGTCCTCCTACCAGGATGCCAAAGAAGGAAAGACGTCGAGTTGATAGTGCTCCGTGTAATCCCAACATCACAAGCCACTCACTGTTGCAACAGTCTTGAACTGGTCGATTGGACCGGCTTCACACTGTGGTGATTACGCTACTGTCATGGACAATTCGCCAACTACATGGGCTCACGGCTAGATCACCTGTTCTGGCATATATCTATATATATATATATGGTAGCCCCCC